TCAGTATAGTGAGGCACATGTCTGTCTATTTTGGCTATATCATTGTTTTACTGGTGGATGAAGCCAGATTATTCAAGTAAGATTGGCAGACCTTTGGCAGAAAAACTGACTATCTTTCTTTGTAAATTGCCTTTAAAAGTTTTGAATTCAGTATAATTATGCACTGGAAAAATAATGTCTACTCTCTCTTATCCCGAGAAGAGGGTCTGGATGGGGTTTACGGAATAGAGAATAATGGGCCAATACTACAGAATAATTAAGGTCATAAAAAGTTAAGAATAGAGAAAAATAGGTAAAAATAACTGAAATAGAAAATAGAGGCTAATGGGGAAAAGGGGGGGGGGGGGGGTTTGGGGGGGGGGACTTTGTAAAATATTAAGAATACGAACAGAGACATGTATACAATATATGTGTATATATGTCTCTGATATGAAATAGAGAAAATTATTGACATTTTATAAATAACACAAAGCTGAGAGGGTGATATGCTCTATCACCCTCTCTGAAATGTGTTATATCATTTATTATACTGTTCTTTTATTACTGTCTATTAAATTTCAAAATCAAAATCTGTCATTTTAACATGAAGTATGATAAATAAAATTAAAGAATACGAAAATGAAGGCCCCTCATCCAAACCCACCTAGACTGTAATTTTGGATTGGTAAGTTGTCATTACATCAGGTTCATGATGTAAATATCTGTCAAATAACTTTAAATAGTCATCATTAAATAAAAAAAACAACCCACAGAAAAAAGTGCATGTCTTAAACATATATTCGATCATATATGTCAATTAAGTTTATTAATACATTGTTAATTATACAATTTCATTGCATTACACCTAATTATGCTACCAGTATTACTAAAGAGATAAACATTACTGTCCTTAATTTTGCCATTGTGTTTTTATATCAATCGTTGTCTGTTGTGATGAAAAAAAGTATAAACAAAGTACATGAAGTATGAAAAGGTATTAATGAATGATAAGCAAGTCATGGTTTTCAAACAAAACATTTATATTTAATATCCATATTGATTTTAGATGCTTTAAACTTTGGTTAATTTTTTATGAGAAAAAATGAATATTTTAAACAGAATAGTTTTCCTCATTAAACTTTAATTGATAAGTGATCATTTCTCTTTATTTTTTCTTCAAATCTGAAACAGTGTGAGATATTAAGGCGGTAAGGGGACGACCATTTGATATTCTGGGGTGGGGGGGGGGGCCAGGAGGATTTGTTTTGGATCGGTTATTTATTTTTGTAAACTAAGAGGACAGATTATTTATTTTCTGCACTGTTGAAGCAAGGTTTTTCATTTTCATTAAAACAAGGGACTGATTATTTATTTTCATAACTATATTAATAATATTTGAAAACATACAATTTTAAATTAATTTTTTATTATAAATAATACATGTACAGTCAAGTCATTAATGTACCATTTAATCAGAATTAATCATCATCCTCTGCGGAAATGAATCTTCTGAATTCCAAACTGCATATACATGTATTGCATACATACACGGTATTAGACTTGGGGCTGTGACTAGCCTCTTTTAAAAGTATTGCCAAATGTATTTACGCTGAGCAGAGCGAGGCAAACAAATTTTGAAGGGTTTTGAAGCCGCTGAAGGCCCAAAGAAACTATAGAACAAATGATGCAAAATCGTGCTTTCTGGGCGTTCCCAGACCCTTTCTTATTCTGAAAACGCAAGTTCTGTTTTAATAATTTTTTGACAATATTTTGGTCTCAAAGTAAAATGTATAGATTCAGCGTAAGACTGAAGTTTATATGGACAACATCAAAAGACCAATATTAATGTGGCTGCTGGTTTTTTGTTTTTTTTGTTTTTTTTTTGTTGTTTCGGCATGCAGAATTTAAATCTTTTATACCTGTAAATTATATGGGGTTTTATTCAAATTAAGTTAAGAGGGGGCTGATTATCAGTGATATAACTATGTCAAGTAATTTTTAATAACACATTTCAATTACAACTTGATGTAGCTCTTAACTGGGATACAATTTAAAGTAATTAAGTTATAAAATTAGCTAAAAAGTACTAAATAAAATAAAAATCATGATCAAGTTGAAAACAAAATTACTAAATCATAAAAGGAATGCAACACTAAGAGAATACAGAAGGGTAATCAATGAACAAAAGACAAATTTAAAGAAACATTGATCCCGAAAAAACAGGTGAGAACAGAATTTGCTTCTTGCAAACACTCGCTGTGAAAACAATTTGATATGAAGACAAGCTTTTGGTTTTAAAATTTGCTACATAAAGGCATTTGCCTCAATGTAGTTACAGCCCTGTAATAAAAGTGAGGTAAGTGTTCCTGAGCCAATATACCTCAAGTTAAATGAAACCCATTTTCAGACATTTCAAGTATATTTAAATAATATTTATACCTTTATTATTAAAAGATTTGGGAAGTGTTTCCCGAATTTTTTTTTGAAAAAAAGATGAATTTTATGAAGAATCTGGTGCCACCTCATACTTTCGAATAGCATTTATAAAATGGCTTAAAGACCTGCTCATGCTGCTGAGTTATTCATTTTCAATACATTGTAAGTCAGGTTATTTATTTTCGAACTACCACAGAACAAACCATTTATTTTTGTGATTATCAAGGCCGAGTTATTTATTTTCAAAATCCTCCTGGCCCCCCCCAGAATATCAAATGGTCGTCCCCTATTACCTGATTAGTTCAAAAATATTATTGTATAACTTATAATAATTGACATTTTAAAACATAATCTGAGACATTACTGAAATAGTATTCTCAGACATAATATTGGATTTGTACAGTACAAACATAATGGCGAGACATATCATTGTAAAAACCAACCATTATATCATCGTAAGTGAACTAGGACTTCTCTCACCACTTCATCCTATCAGTTTCTTAAAGAGAAGTCACATTTCTCTCTGTGATTCTGTGTGAAGTAATGTGAGCCCTATAGAAGAATTATTATTCCTGAAGGACATATTCATTTAATATGACAATATTAAACATCAATAGTTTAGATTAAAACATTTAATAACATTCAAGAAAATCAAGTAATATAGAACAGCTCAAGCTTTTGAAATACGGTGTTGCAAATGTGGCTGATATTAAGTTTATGATTTATATAAAAATAAAAATACATAATTATGTGTATAAAAACAAAAATACATAATTATGTGTATAAAAACAAAAATACATAAATATATAAAAGATATATATACAGTTGGTTAGCCCAGAAGGTTCAGCATGTTTACAGTCCTTCCTGTGTCAAAATCATATATATATGCATACTCACGTTGCTTTTGTGTATGCAAGGTAATTATATATTAGATAGTATAAATATATACTGAATCAGTTTTTTTTTATACTCATCAGTTGAATTATCTCACTGATACTGTGGGGGTTCCATTAGGGTACCCCTAAGGTCACAAGGTCATGTTTTGCAATATTCTCCAGGTCACTTTGAATCCAAGTTTAACAACAAACCTGTAAAGGTCACAAGTCCTTTTAAATAGGATGTCAGGTCCCTAAACCCCGAAGGTTGCAGGTAGAATTTAACCATATTGGAGCCACACTGTGGAAATTCAAAAGGCTTTGACATTTCATTACTAATTGGCTAAAAACTTTGATTGTTGAGATTAAGCCTTTTTTGTGCTGATGTTGATCACCACCGTGATCCCGCTGATTGTTTTGTCAGACTCCTGTATCCCTCTTATTGTTTTGTCAGATCCCTGTATCCCGCTGATTGTTTTGTCAGACTCCTGTATCCCGCTTATTGTTTTGTCAGATCCCTGTATCCCGCTTATTGTTTTGTCAGATCCCTGAATCATGCTTATTGTTTTGTCAGATCCCTGTATCCCGCTTATTTTTTTGTCAGATCCCTTTATCCCGCTTATTGTTTTGTCAGACTCCTGTATCCCGCTTATTGTTTTGTCAGATCCCTGTATCCCGCTTATTGTTTTGTCAGACTCCTGTATACCACTTATTGTTTTGTCAGATCCCTCTATCCCGCTTATTGTTTTGTCAGATCCCTGTATCCCGCTTATTGTTTTGTCAGATCCCTGTATCCCGCTTATTGTTTTGTCAGACTCCTGTATCCAGCTTATTGTTTCGTCAGACCCCTTTATCCCGCTTATTGTTTTGTCAGATCCCTGTATCTTGCTTATTGTTTTGTCAGATCCCTGTATCCCGCTTATTGTTTTGTCAGATCCCTCTATCACGCTTATTGTTTTGTCAGATCCCTGTATCCCGCTTATTGTTTTGTCAGATCCCTGTATCCCGCTTATTGTTTTGTCAGACTCCTGTATCCCGCTTATTGTTTCGTCAGATCCCTCTATCCCGCTTATTGTTTTGTCAGATCCCTCTATCCCGCTTATTGTTTCGTCAGATCCCTCTATCCCGCTTATTGTTTTGTCAGATCCCTTTATCCCGCTTATTGTTTTGTCAGATCCCTGTATCCTGCTTATTGTTTTGTCAGATCCCTGTATCCCGCTTATTGTTTTGTCAGATCCCTCTATCCCTCTTATTGTTTTGTCAGATCCCTGTATCACGCTTATTGTTTTGTCAGATCCCTGTATCCTGCTTATCAATTTGATAATAATGCTTGTAATTTCATGTGTTCCACCTGACTTAATTTCCCTTTTTCACACACAATAAATTGACTTTCACGAGTCAAGCTTACAGAAAATTGGTGAATCCTGTGTCACGCTTAGACCCCAATGTCTATGTAAATTTTGCAGTATTATGGTCAGATTAAAAAAAAATATTAATATCTTAGGATCTTAGGGCCAGTTTTGATCCTTCTAAATAAATTACATAAATTATTTATCATAAACAAAATAAGAATATGTTACAAAAACAATAAAATCCACCCAACCCAGTGGGTTTATGTCACTTTCAAAATCACAAAAAGTGTTTTTTTTTCTCACAGATATAATATGGAGATGCCTGTTGCATAAATAATTCAATATTCATATGTTACAGGTAAAACTTTTAGCTATGGATCAATACGTTGTTCATCATCGGCACCATCCATGCCACCATGTGACTTTATACCAGAGAAGTACCAGGTACATATATTATGAATATCAGTGTTATTTTATCATGTTTTTGTGCTTGTTAATAATTGATATTTCGAAAGTAATAGTTACTCTTTGGCTAACAATAGCCAACAATAATGTAAATATTGAGCCCAGTGATGTGCTAGCCATCCACAGAATACCTGGAAAAGAAGGTTACCAGAAGCCTGTTATCGTGAAGGTTAGAAACACTGACACTAAAATACGGATAATGCGACAAAAAAGATCCTTGAAAAATGAACTTAAATTTCATGATGATATAACACAACGCAATATTGGACTTATGGCAAGACTTAAGAACACTGAAAAATTTGAAAATGTATGGTTTTACAACTGTAACGTGTATGCCAAAACTGAAACTAGTAGCAGAATAAGATTTGACCTGTTTGACAATGTAGATGAAAAAATGAAAAAGAAATTGAAAGAGGGAACTTAATCAATCTTGTTTTGTCAGTTACATCATTTAATTTATTTTTGAATAATGTCCAGCTTTTTATTAATTTCAATAGATAGATATAAATGTAAAAGATAATTGCTGAAGTAAAAAGTGTTTTATATCAGTCGTGAATTACATATTCCTATATAAATAGTTAAGAATATAAGAGATATTCATCTTGATAAATTTGTTTAAAATAAATTATACTGTCACTATACAGTAAAGGGGAAATAACTCTAACATTAATAATGATATAAATATTCAATTTTATCTCCCTTTTAAACATCTATTCCTTTGATAGATTTATGTATAATTGTTACATGCCATACTGTAAATTAATTAATACATTCAATGTTGAATGAAGAAAATAATAAGCGACATCTTATGTTTGTATGTGTGTATGTTTGTGTATGTCAAATTTGTTACAATTGTATATTTGTACTTATGAACTTACTTATATGGTTTATAAAACATCCCTTCATCTATAATCATGGATAATAATGTAACGATATTATCAATGAATGTGAGGGGACTTTTCTCAAATTCCAAAAAGAGGGCAGATGTATTTGATTGGGCTAAGAGTAAAAATACTTCGATAGTGTGTTTCCAGGAAACTCATAGTAAAAAAGACATTGAAAAAAACTGGGAGGATGAATGGGGAAGCACATGTTTTTTCAGTCATAAAGACAGTAAAAGTGCAGGTGTCTCTGTTATGTTTAAAAAGGGTCTGGATTTTGTTGTGCATAATTCTGTTACTGATGATAATGGTCGTTACATTGTTATAGATGTATCAATTTTTTCACAAAGAATGAGTTTTGCCTGTTTGTATGGTTATAATACAGATGAACCTGCATTCTTTGATATAATAATGCAGAACATTTTATCCTTTAAAAACACAAGTGTTTTATTATGTGGTGACTGGAATGTTGTTTTAGATAAATTTATGGATACATATAATATCAAACATAATAGAAACCCTAACTCCTGTAAAAAACTTGATGAAATCATTGATGTTTTTGAACTACTTGATCCTTGGCGTACATGCTATCCAGAAGATAGGAAATATACTTGGCATCAGTCCTCACCTATAAAACAAAGTCGTTTAGATTATTTTTTAATTTCAGAAGACATTTTTTCACTAATGAAAAATACTAAAATTATACCAGGTTATAGAACTGACCACTCAGCAATTATTTTCACCTTCTCAGCTTGTTTAGAGAAACGGGGCAAAAGTTACTGGAAATTTAACTCTCAATTACTCAGAGATGCAGATTATATACAAAAGGTTAAATTATGCATTAAGGATACTATTTTGGAATACTATCTGTCAGGTGATTTGGAAGATCTTCTTTCTGTTGATTTGTCATGTAATGATCAAACATTTTTTGAAATATTGAAAATGAAGATTAGATCTTTGTCCATAAATTACAGCATAAATAAATCCAAGGAGGAAAAAAATTTCACCCTCAAACTTGAAAATAATATTTTACATTTAGAAACTATTATGAACCATTCTCCAAATGAGGAGGTTCAAAAATCTTTACTTGATAAAAAACTTGAACTAGAAAATTGTCGACAAAAGAAGGTTGAAGGTTTGCTGCTTAGATCCCACTCTAACTGGCATGAGAATGGTGAAAAATGTTCAAATTATTTTTGTAAATTAGAAAAGAAAAATTTTATAAAGAAAACAATAACAGAACTAATAGATGATAAAGGTCAACATATATCAGAGCAATCAAAAATTCTAACGGAACAACAATATTTTTATAGAAATTTATACTCAAGTAAAAAATTAGATTGTGATGATTCATCATTTTTTAATCAAAACGTTAAGCTCACAGAAGAACAAAAAGATTTTTGTGAGGGAAATTTAACTTTTAAAGAGTGTGCTGATTCGTTAAAATTTATGACAAATGGTAAAAGTCCAGGTTCTGATGGGTACACAGTAGACTTTTATAAATTTTTTTGGAAAGATATTGGTCCTTTCATCTTTCGGTCTCTTCATTTTGGATACGAGGTTGGAAAATTTTCTGATTTTCAGTATCAAAGTGTAATTACATGCATTCCTAAGGAGGGGAAAGACAGACAGTATATAAGTAACTGGCGTCCTATTAGTCTTTTGAATACTGATATGAAAATAGCTTCTGCTGTTATAGCTAATAGACTTAAACCAGTTTTACCATTTGTCATAAGTGATACACAAAAAGGTTTCATCAAAGATAGATTTATGGGTGAGAACACACGCCTTTTATATGATTTAATGCACTATCTTGAAGAAAATAATAAGACAGGTCTTTTATTACTTGTTGATTTTGAAAAGGCCTTTGATTCCTTAGAATGGTTATTTTTAAAAAATTCTTTAAAAAGTTTTAATTTTGGGCCTTCAGTTTGTAAATGGTTTGAAACTTTATACTCAGGGGCATCAAGTTGTGATATAAATAATGGACATACTTCTAAGTTTTTTCAATTGGAAAGAGGCTGCAGACAAGGAGATCCTCTTTCACCCTATTTATTTATAATTGGTGTTGAATTACTATCTTTAAAATTAAAAGATAATCCTGAAATAAGGGGAATAACTGTAAATGATAATGAATCACTTTTAAGCCAGTATGCAGATGACACATTCCTTATGTTAGATGGAAGGGAAATATCGTTGAGGGAAACACTTTCATGTTTTGAATCTTTTTATAAAATTTCAGGTTTAAAAATAAATGCTTCAAAGACAAAAGCACTATGGGTTGGAAACAAAAAGTATTCAGATATGATTCTTTGTCCTGACTTAAATCTTCATTGGTCACATTCAAATTTTAAACTTTTGGGGATTGAATTTTCTTTAGATTTAAACTGTATCACAGAAATTAATTTTGCCAAGAAGATTAAAGAAGTCTCTGCAATCCTGAAGAGCTGGCAACATCGTAAACTAACATTATTGGGGAAAATTACAGTAGTTAAATCACTTGCTCTTTCGAAATTGGTACACTTAATGACTGCATTGCCAAACCTATCACAATCCAGGTTAACAGAGCTCACTTCATTATTTTATAATTTTATATGGAGTGGAAAACCAGACAGAATTAAGCGTAACACACTTATTGGTGATATTTCACAAGGTGGACTTAATATGGTACATCTTCATTCCTTTAATATCTATTTAAAAATTAGTTGGATAAAAAGACTGATGTCAAACCCAGTTGGTGGCTGGCAGCAGTTGTTACTGGCAGACCTTATACAGTATGGGGGTGAAAGGGTTTTACATCTACAGAAAGAAAAGCTGATTGAGATTTCTAAAAAATGTAAAAATCCTTTCTGGAAGGATGTTTTACTATACTTTTCTATCGCAAAACCTAATACTGAGAATTCTGTCAGTGACATTTTATCATTAGATATTTTGAACTTTTCTTCTTTGGATGATTTCCCATATTATATTCAATGGAAACAAGGAGGTGTGCAGTCAGTAAGTGACCTAATTAATAAAGAAAACATGAATTTTTATAAATTTGAGCAATTTCAAGAAAGAGTAAAAATCAACAATTTTATCAAATATCATGGTCTGATTTCAAGAATCCCTCAGACTATGAAAAAATACCTTAAAGAGAACTGTTTAAAGCAAGATTTGGATAAGCCTGATAATGGTGATATTTTTTTAAAGAGAATTATAGGTAATGTGAAAGCCAAATTTGTATATAAAAATTTAGTAAATAAAGTTATTGAACTACCAACAGTCAAGTTTTCGAAATGGGAAGAACTGTTGATAATTGATACAACAGAATGGTCAGAATATTTCAGGATAACCAAAAAATCATGTAGAGATGTTTATTTAAGAACTTTTCAATACAAATTTTTGCATAGAATCATAGCAACTAATACCTTTTTATACAAAATTAAATTAAAAGACACCAAGATGTGTACTTTTTGTAAACTTGGTGAAGAAACCATTGAACACCTTTTTTTTGAATGCCCAATAACTTTTCAATTGTGGCAGTCTTTTTCAAATGCAGTAAAACTTTTTTTTGTAAACTTTGTTCTTAACAAAGAGAATGTGTTTCTTGGTTGCAAACATGAAAGTTTATTACTGAATCTGTTAGTCATAATTACAAAAAACTATATATACAAATGTAAATTAAATGAAACAAAACCAAATATGGTTGGGTTAAAGAATAGAATAAAGAAATACCAATTTCTTGAATATTATATTGCAAAGAAAAATAATAGAGTCCAAGTGTGTGAAAAATTTTGGTCTCCTTTACATGTAATATTTAATTAATTATTGTTTCATATAAGTGAGAGAATAAAATATCTATATATCATGAGCAAATATTTAGCCTTGAGTTTTTTTTTGTTTTTTTTTTTTTCTTTAAAATATTTTGTTTTTAAAATGTAAGTCAAGATACATCATGTACATATTGTAGCAAAGCAAATGAGTGAAGAGTATTTGTATTGTATAAGAGAAAGTCAGAGAGTGAGAGAATATAATCAAATAAAATTTATATGTAACCTTAAATACTACATGTATAATTATAAAAATCAACTTGTCAGTGATATATATTGTATACTGAATTATTTTTTATATGTAACCCCTTGATACCCTTGTCAGGTGGTAGTGTAGGGGTACATGTATATTAAATCCTGACTATTGAAAAACAAATAAAAGATAAAAAAAAAACAAAAGAGTATCATGTCACAGTCCATAATCACAAATATGAATTTAAGTGACCATTTCATTAAGATTAAAAAAAATAATAATTTGTTACGCCAGATGAGCGTTTCATCTACAACAGACTCAGTGGCAATAGAATCACTTCAAAGTGTAACAGTTCAAAGACCAAATCAAACAGGAAGTTATTAAGTACAAAATATAGAGTTTTGGGTAAGGATTACATGAAATGCAATCAAAACCCTATTGTCCCTGACTTGATAGCTTTATTTTCCAGGCCTCATCTCTACCATCGACAACAAATAATTCTGGGAGGTGAACATTCTTATGTTCCATGTCAAGCAATTTTTGTATTAATAAAATATACTAAGATATTCTACATAGTCAACGGTTTTATATGTATAACCATCCTTTTCACTAAACATGTTTTGCTGAAAATTTCAACTGCAATAATGGACATTTAAGGACAATAACTTTGTTTCAAAATATTGCCTAAATGTGTTCCTCCGGGTGCGGGATTTTTTCGCTGCGTTGAAGACCCATTAGTGGCCTTCGGCTGTTATCTGCTCTTTGGTCGGGTTGTTGTCTCTTTGACATATTCCCCATTTCCATTCTCAGTTTTATTATCCATATCTTAATACAATACAATACTGGTAATATTGGTTTTATTTTAAGTTCATTAGTTCATACTAAAAGCAATCGTTTACCCTTCAGTGCTCACTAACACGCTAATTACACTAGAGATTCAACAGAGTTTTTAATTTTTATACAACCGCAAAACTTTTTTTGCGGTCTTATATTGGTATCACGTTGGCGTCAGCAGACATCATCAGCATCGTCCGAAGTCATTTGGTTTCCAGATAATAACTTTAGTTTAAGTGTATGGATCTCTATGAAATTTAATCAAAAGGTTCAATACCACAATAGGAAGGTTGGGATTGTTTTTGGGGGTGATGGTCCAAACCGTTTAGGAATTAGGGGCCATAAAGGGGCCAAAACAAACATTTTTCTAGTTTCAGGACAATAACTTGTGTATAAGTATTTTGATTGCTCTGAAATTGTACCACAAGGTTCAATACCACAAGTAGAAGGTTGGGATTCATTTTTAGCTCACCGGGGCCCCATGTGAGCTTATGCCATCACTTGGCATCCGTCGTCGTCCGTCGTCTGTCGTCGTTGTCTGTCGTCGTCGTCTGTCGTCGTAAACTATTTAAAAAATCTTCTCCTCTGAAACTACTGGGCCAATTACCTTCAAACTTTAACTGAATGTTCCTTAGGGTATCTTGTGTATAAATTGTATCCGAAGTTTTGATCCATCGACAAACATGGCCGCCATGGCTAAAAATAGAACATAAGGGTCAAATGCAGTTTTTGGCTTATATTTCAAAAACTAAATCTTTTAGAGCAAATGTGACATTGGATAAAATTGTTCAGTTGGTCAAGATCTATCAGCTCTGAAATTTTCAGACGAATCGAACATCCCATTGTTGGGTTGCTGCCACCGATTTGGTAGTTTTAACAAAATTTTGCAGTTTTTTGTTATTATTTTGAATATTATTATAGATATATATAAACTGTAAGCAGCAATAATGTTCAGCAAAGTAAGACAAAAAAGTTAATATGACCAAAATTGTCAATTGACCTCGTAAGGAGTTATTGCCCTTTAAAGACAATTTTACACAATTTGTTCATCAAGTTTTCTAACATTTAAAAATCTTATCCTCTGAAATGCAGGTAAGCGATTCAGGCTCTTGAGAGCCTCTTGTTTGGGTAATTGCCCAAACTGTTCAGGAATTATGGGCCAAAAAGGGTAAAAAACAAGCATTTTTCTAGTTTTCAGACAATAACTTGTGATTTTATACGTCCGTTTACGGGACGTATTGTGGTATACCGTTGTCCGTCTGTCCGTCCGTCCGTCATCAACATGTCGGACATTAACTCAAAAATGCTTTAACCAATTTGCATAAAACTTTGGTGAATTGTTTATATCTATTGACGTGAGCTCCCTTTCATTTTTTATAAAATTTAGATTTTACGTTTCCGAGTTATGGGGTTTTATTCATTAAAAAAAGGGGGATTTTCCAGTTTTCGGACAATAAGTCAAGAATGCTTTCACCAACTTGCAAGAAATTGTGGTGAATTGTTTATATCTATTGACATGAGCTCCCTTTCGATTTTTATAAATTTTAGATTTTATGTTTCCGAGTTACAGGGTTTTATTCATAAAAAAAGGGTTTTTTTTCAATTTTCGGACAAAAACTCTAAAATGCTTTCAGCAATTCTCATGAAACTTTGGTGAATTGTTTATATCTATTGTTGTAAGCTCCCTTTTTATTTTCATAAATTTCTACTATGACATTGGAACTTTATTTGTTTATAGTCTGACAACAGGTTTACTAAGTATTGCACAACAGCAAGAAATCTTTAATTGAATATTCAATTCATATAACCAATTTCAAGATCTTTGACTACATTTATTCAGAAACCTATAATATGTCAAATATTTAATTACAATCCAAATTCAGACCTGAATCAAGCTTGAACATTTTGTCCATTTTTGCCCCAACTGTTCAGGGTTGGACCTCTGCGGGCGTATCTAGCTGCGCTCAGCGAAGCAGTTTATTAAAAATATATGGATGTCTCTTAATTTGTACCACATTTTACTAAAAGAAAATTTCTTCAAAATCATTTTTTTTGAAAAGGGGGAGAGGGGGGGGGGTAAACAATTTTTTTTGAGAGGGACAATTTTTTTTCCTCAAAAAAAATTTTTTTGAGGGGGGTCAATTTTTCTTTCCTCAAGATTTAAGAAATTGTCAATTTTCTAAAGAAAAAAATTGGGGGTCACAATTTATTTTGCTAATTCTTTGTATATAGTCTGAAAACAGATTTACTAAGTATTGCGCAACAGCACAGTGTATTGCACAACAGCAAGAAATCTTCAATTGAATATGAATTCAAATCATACAACCAATTTTGAGTTCTTTGACACATTTATTCTGTGTCAGAAACATTATAATGTGTCAAATATTCAATTACAATCCAAATTCAGACCTGTATCAAGCTTGAATATTGTGTCCGTTTTTTGCAATGACTGTTCAGGGTTGGACCTCTGCGGTCATATCCAGCTGCGCTCGGTGAAGCAGATTATTAATTTTAGCAACATGAGATTTTGATATTTTATTAGATCAGTATAAAAATATGTAGGGTAGATTACTGAAAATTTGGATGCCTTAAATTTCAATCAAAATTTAATCTTAGCAACATGTGGTTTTGATATTTAGGTCATAATAAAAATATGTAGAGTTATTTTACTGAAAGTTTAGAATTTCAATCAAAATACATATGTAAATAGCAAACAATTTAACATGCAGGCAAAAATATTAAAAAATAATCACCTATATCATTTGATGACAACTCAAGTATAAAATTATTTATCACATGAATAACTGTGGATTGATAATATTATTCATGAGATACCAATGTTCCAAGATTTTATGGGTTCAGGTAAATCACAAATTTAAATGTTCAACGAAGTGCATATTTTCTGTATGCTTGTATGCAGACTTTGGGAAATATCACGACATCAAATATCCACGAAAATACAACTTTTCCCCAATCCATGCAAATTGGTACCCACAAAAATAATCAACAGTAAGAAAAAAAACTTCTCATACTTTTGATCAAATGTCAAGATCTTATACTTAAATAACATTTGTGCTCCTCTTTCAGGGAATAAGCTATGATGATGCTATGAAGGTCAGAAGTAAGAACCTGACCCCAGCTTTGTTGACATTCTACAAGAAACCAGTCATGATACACCAGGGCCACATGCAGTGGCTATGGGATGTCAATGGCAACAGATATCTGGACTTGTTTGCTGGTATTGTAACTGTTAGTGTTGGACATTGTCACCCGTAAGTAAAAAAATATTATAACCATTTGTGCATCATACTCAGTAAAAAATTTTGACAATGTTACTGTTATTACAACCACTTTGACCAGTAAGTCATGCTAAACCATCAAAGAAGGAGTTAAAAAATTATTGAATAATGAACCAAAATGTAAGTTTATTTATTACGATTTCAATATATACTTTTAGAATTTATAATGCCATTTCTTATTTTTGCAATTACTATTTTTAGGTAAATTGACTTTTGGTAAGAGAAACATTGTTCAGCGTAGATACTAATGTAGAACTCTTTATTCTTTCTTAGTAAAGTTACAAAAGCAGCAGAGAAACAAATGAGAAAACTATGGCATACAACCAATATATATCTTCATCCTGCCATCCATAAATATGCAGAGAAACTTGTTGCAAAACTGCCAGGAGATCTTAAGGTACTGATATTTATAAAACCAACACAGTTAAAGTACTGTTATTTCACACAAGTTCAGTGATCTCATTGCACTACCACAGGAGCATTTCCTGTTTTTTTCAAAAACTGGGGGAGGAGGAGGCGCCTACCTAAAAAAAAGGGGGGGGGGGCTAGCTGTCATAAAGCAGAAAAAGTACTTAAAAAATAGAAGAAATCAGCTATAAGGGGGTGCCATAGACGAGTAGTAAATAGTTTAAACATTTACTTTTAAATGTAGAAAGTCTTATAACAACAACACTTTAGGGACTGCTGCAGAAAATTTATTGATCTACCCGGGGTACATGTTTTGGTGCCTAGGGCAATCAGTCAAGTGTTGTTCAAATTTGGATTAAACACAAACTGTACACATCCAGACAATAACTTATTATATATTTTAGTTCCATTATGTAAGATGACCAACACGTATTCATTCAACAAACATTTAAATTTCAATGACATTCACATTTTATTCTACTTTCTTATTCAAGTTTACTTCCAAACATGTATACTTTCACTTTCTATTTATTCTTCAGTACCATGGTTACATTGTGACATAATTTATGCATACCCGATTTTGTACTTCAGGCGTAAGAGGGCCAAGTGATCTTTTCTCATCACTTGGCATCCGTCGTCTGTCGTCGTCGTTGTCGTTAACTTTAACAAAAATCTTCTCCTCTGAAACTACTGGGCCAAATTAAACCAAACTTGGCCTAAATCATCCTTAGGGTAACTAGTTTAAAAATTATATCCGATGACCCCGCCCTTCAACCAAGATGGCCACTATGGCTAAAGTAGAACATGGGGTAAAATGCAGTTTTTGGCTTATATCTCTGAAACTAAAGCATTTAGAGCAAATCTGATATGGAGTAAAACTGTTCATCAGGTCAAGATCTATCTGCCATGAAATTTTCAAATGCATCAGACAACCCGTTTTTGGGTTGCTACCCCTGAATTGGTAATTTTAAGGAAATTTAGCAGTTTTTGGTTATTATCTTGAATATTATAATAGATAGAGATAAACTGTAAACAGCAAAATTGTTCAGCAAAGTAAGATCTACAATAATTCTAAACATGAACAAAATTGTCAATTGACCCCATAAGGAGGATTTTGCCCCTTAAAGTAAATTTTTGTGTCTGATGACCCCGTCTGCCAACAAACATGGCCGACATGGCTAAAAATTGAACATAGAGGTAAAATGCAAGTTTTGTCTATTATTATGAAAAACCATTATGAATAGAGAAAATTTGACTGGGCAAAAATGTTCAGAATGTTGAGCTCTACCATCTATCCGTTTACGTCAAAATTGTCAGACGACTTCTTACAGGAGTTATTGCCCATAAATGACAAATTTTACCATTTTTTTTCATTTTTGCCTATTATCTTGAAAACTATAATAGATACAGAGAAACCTTAAATTGCAAAAATAATCAGCAAGACAAGTTCTACAAATAAGTTAAACATTGTTGAAATCGTCAGCCTACTCCTTGTGAGAGTTATTGCCCTTTGATGATGATTCTTACAATATTTTGCGTTTTTGCCTGATTTCTTAAAAATTATAATAGATTGATAGAAACTTAAATAGGCAAAAATGATCAGCAAGACAAGATCTACAATTAAGACAATATAGAGGAAATCGTCGAATCTACTAACAAGTCACATTTTGCTGATTAAGGTAGTAGGCTGTCACTCTTTATATAGGAGTGATTGCCCAGCCCCTTAAATAAGGATTTTTTGTACCCTCTTTTTTGTTTTGAGCAAAAACTAAAGAAGATAGAGAGAAACTAAACAGACTAAATGATCAGCAATACAAGATCAACAAAACAGAATTCTATTCTTGTCTTCAATGTTGGAGAGTGTCCTTTGGGGCCTCCAGTTTGTATTGTTTTTATCCTGATGACGGTGCTCTAGGCACCAAAACATGTAGATCAATAAATTTTCTGCAGCAGTCCCTAAAGTGTTGTTGTTATAAGACTTTCTACATTTTATCTGCTTTATCATAACGACCCTGCATACCCGAGGTATCCACTTCGGGGACTCTACCGTACTACAGATTCACCAGGCGTTGGTTCACTTTCGTTTGTAATTTATTTACTTTTAAAGATGAACTATTAACACTGAAGTTGCTGAATGACAAAACAATCTAACTAATTTATTTGGGTTTTCAGTTATGCTTTAAAAAATATTAAGATTTTATAAATTGAAACAAACACTTGCAAAAGTTTCTGACAATGTCACAGGCAACTGACAAATTGTGTCAAATTTATGCAATTTTTTTTAGCACTTCCCATTTGAAGTTCATAGTAGAATATACAATATATATCAGTTTAAAAAAAGCACTAAACACAATTTTATATTGTTACATGTATTATTGAAAACAAAAACACTGGTTCAAGTAATACTTTATTAAATGATGTTAAATCAAAGAACACTCTTAGATCATGAAATCAAGCTAAAAATACTGTCAAACATACTGATTTAAAAATCAAGCCCTCTTACACTTTAAAGTCTTGAATTGCTACATGCCAATGTTTTCAAAATACAGAACATGTCTGCAGCATAGATACTTTAACATATGATACATTTGGTATGCATTGTACACAGAAACTGGTGGTATACAAATCAAAGTATGTCAAAATGCATTGCTGACAAGTTTTGAGGATTTAATGAATCAAATTAAAGTTAATTTTTTTGTAGGTTGTGTATTTTACTAACAGTGGATCAGAGGCTAATGATCTTGCATTGTTAATGGCAAGGATGTATACTGGTACATTTGAAGCTCTATCACTCAGGTAAACATTGTTAATAGCCAGGATGTATACTGGTACATTTGAAGCTCTGTCTCTCAGGTAAACATTGTTAATGGCCAGGATGTATACTGGTACATATGAAGCTATGTCTCTCAGGTAAACATTGTTAATGGCCAGGGTGTATACTGGTATATTTGAAGCTCTGTCTCTAAGGTAAACATTGTTAATGGTGTTGTGCCACGATTATTTACAGTATTCTTTTAATAATAACCTTCATTCATTGCTTTTCATTTGTATTTCCCGGTGTATATTTTCCACGAAACTAGGTCATACATATTTTCACTTTTGTACACTTGCTTGTTATGCGGAATGATTTTCTATAGTTACAACATAATTACCTTATTCAGAAGTTATTAATGCATCCTATTTTATCCATAGTTATCCTTTTATAATGTTAGAATTATCCAAAATCATACTTGTCAAGTTAAAGGCCATTTTGGTTTACTTTCACAATTGTGTACACGCGTACTATTTTTAGGTGTATTGACTAACTTGATCTTTCAAACGTTTAGAGAAAAGTATAGTCAGTTTCAAATTATAGCCGCTGGCGAACAGCTGAGTTTCAGACAGTGACCCAGAATTATTTATTCAGGTATTTTGGCACACACTGCAATTCTATTTAATTGATTTATTAATAACTATTGTTAATGATATTAGCTTTTAATAAAGCTGCTTTTATTTATTTAAACAAATCTTATTTCTTGATTATCCAAAGTTTGGACTTCAAAACAGTTTTATTACTTTGACTTTAATTGATATTTGTATAATATCTGCCAAACTATTTACAATAACGGTTGGCGCTACAATTGGTGGCAGCGGTAAAAACAACATTTAAAAAAAAAAAGAAAGAAGGAAAAAAGTAATACATAAAAAAAAAAAAAAAACAACAACATACAAATCAGCTTATATTGAAACTCAAAGTGTGGTTTACATATAATATTATTGAACACCAAGAGTTATTGAAATTCAAGGTGTATTTTTCCATATAAATTATTGAACACCAAGAGTTATTGAAATTCAAGGTGTATTTTTTCCTTATAAATTATTGAGCACCAAGAGTTATTGAAATTCAAGGTGTATTTTTCCATATAAAATATTGAACACCAAGAGTTATTGAAATTCAAGGTGTATTTTTCCATATAAAATATTGAACACCAAGAGTTATTGAAATTCAAGGTGTATTTTTCCATATAAAATATTGAACACCAAGAATTATTGAAATTCAAGGTGTATTTTTCCATATAAATTATTGAACACCAAGAGTTATTGAAATTCAAGGTGTATTTTTTCCTTATAAATTATTGAGCACCAAGAGTTATTGAAATTCAAGGTGTATTTTTCCATATAAAATATTGAACACCAAGAGTTATTGAAATTCAAGGTGTATTTTTCCATATAAATTATTGAGCACCAAGAGTTATTGAAATTCAAGGTGTATTTTTTCCTTATAAATTATTGAGCACCAAGAGTTATTGAAATTCAAGGTGTATTTTTCCATATAAATTATTGAGCACCAAGAGTTATTGAAATTCAAGGTGTATTTGTCCTTATAAATTATTGAGCACCAAGAGTTATTGAAATTCAAGGTGTATTTTTCCATATAAATTATTGAGCACCAAGAGTTATTGAAATTCAAGGTGTATTTTTTCCTTATAAATTATTGAGCACCAAGAGTTATTGAAATTCAAGGTGTATTTTTCCATATAAATTATTGAGCACCAAGAGTTATTGAAATTCAAGGTGTATTTTTCCATATAAAATATTGAACACCAAGAGTTATTGAAATTCAAGGTGTATTTTTCCATATAAAATATTGAACACCAAGAGTTATTGAAATTCAAGGTGTATTTTTCCATATAAAATATTGAACACCAAGAGTTATTGAAATTCAAGGTGTATTTTTCCATATAAAATATTGAACACCAAGAATTATTGAAATTCAAGGTGTATTTTTCCATATAAATTATTGAACACCAAGAGTTATTGAAATTCAAGGTGTATTTTTTCCTTATAAATTATTGAGCACCAAGAGTTATTGAAATTCAAGGTGTATTTTTCCATATAAAATATTGAACACCAAGAGTTATTGAAATTCAAGGTGTATTTTTCCATATAAATTATTGAGCACAAAGAGTTATTGAAATTCAAGGTGTATTTTTTCCTTATAAATTATTGAGCACCAAGAGTTATTGAAATTCAAGGTGTATTTTTCCATATAAATTATTGAGCACCAAGAGTTATTGAAATTCAAGGTGTATTTTTTCCTTATAAATTATTGAGCACCAAGAGTTATTGAAATTCAAGGTGTATTTTTCCATATAAATTATTGAGCACCAAGAGTTATTGAAATTCAAGGTGTATTTTTTCCTTATAAATAATTGAACACTAAGAGTTACTGAAACACAAAGTGTATTTTTCTAAAAATATTTTAATAACATTAAAGGTAACTGAAATTAAGTATTAATTAAGTCTGGTATATAAAATATGAATTTAAGACACAGACAATTACCACTTCCTATGTTTTTAAATAATAGAGGGGGAGGGTCCCCAAGAGCTCCCTTATATAGTGTTAATTCCAATTTTTCGGACTTAACAAGAGAAAATGAGACACAATTTGTTTCAAATAGTGGGTTATCAAATATGCCAAGTTTACATGGTTCCTCAAGTCAACTTACCTTGCCTGCTTTAACCAGTAATAATTCATTAAATGAACCGGGGGTGTCAATGATAAGAGACAGTGCACAGAGCATTAATGTTCCTGTACAGAGTGCACTGAGCACAAACGTACAACATCAGAGTGCACCAAGCACATATATTCAAACTCAAGGTGCACCTAGCACATGTATTTCATCCCAAAGTGCATTGAGCACTGGTCATTATACCCAAAGTGCACTGAGCACTGGTCATTATACCCAAAGTGCACTGAGTACTGGTCCTTATACCCAAAGTGCACTGAGCACTGGTCCATATACCCAAAGTGCACTGAGCACTGGTCCTTATACCCAAAGTGCACTGAGCACTGGTCCATATACACAAAGTGCACTGAGCACCGGTCCATATACCCAAAGTGCACTGAGCACTGGTCCATATAACCAAAGTGCACAGAGCATTGGTTCATATACCCAAAGTGCAACAAGCACATTTGTTCAAAACAGTAGCGCTTCAAACACTTTTGCAAAAGTACAAGGTGTACCAAGCACATGGTCCTTTTCCACGGGAGGAATAAGCACATCTTATGCATCTAATCCATTTCATGATCAGACAAAGACGGCTAATATACCACAAATTACATCATTCAGTGACACCAGTTTCAACAGACCAATCAGACATAATAACGGTGATGACCAACAAGAAGTATTTAGATTGAGAGAGAAAATAAGGGAAATTGAAAATGAAAGAGATTATTACAGACAGCAGAATAACCAACCAGATAATACAAGACAGCAAAATTTTCAATCAGAAAATACAAGACAGCAGAATATCCAACCAGATAATGCAAGACAGCAAAATTTTCAAATTGAAAATGAAAGAGATTATTACAGACAGCAGAATAACCAACCTGGGCAACCAGATAATATAAGACAGCAAAATTTTCAATCAGAGAATACAGGACAGCAAAATTTTCAACCAAATAATACTAGACAGCAAAACAACCAAATGAGATACCGAACAGACTCCACATCTAGCATGCAAGATAGTTATCACTCAAGACTACCATTCTACAATGGAAGAAGTGACTGGAGTACATTTCAGATGCAATTTGAAATTATTGCTGAAAGAAATAATTGGGACCCAAGACGTCAAGCTGAGGAAATATTACTGGTGCTTAAAGATGAAGCTGCAAAATTTGCATCAGAGCTACCGCATGAAACAAGGAGCTCGTTTCGACTTTTATCCAAAGATATGGAAAGAAGATTTGGAGATAACAACCTGCCTGAAACCTACAGAAAAGAGTTGCAATTTACCAGAAAAAATTACAAGGAGTCAGTAAATGAATATGCTGCTCGCATTCAGACAATGGTCAGGAAGGCATATCCAGGCATGGATAATCAACTATTCAACAATATTTCAATTGAACATATGTTAAATGGATTAAATGATCAAAGTATTGCCTATGATGTATTGACAAAAAGACCTAAAACTATGGAGGAAACAATCAATCTTGTAGCATGGCATACTACATGCAAAAATGGATTGAGAAGCAAAACTCAAATAAGGCAAATTGAAATTGAAGAAGAAGAAAGGTCTTTTGATGCTGATCAGTCTGATGACATAGAAGTGAGACGAGTTGGAGGTAAACGATTTGTTACAGAGGAGCGTCTGAATCAGTTTGGTAGAGAGATGAAAGAAAGTATCACGACTGAAGTAACCAAGTCTATTGAGAACATAATGAACACAAGGCTACCAACATCAAATACATACCAGCCTAAGAAGAATTTTAACAGCCAAAATTCAAGATGGAATAACAAGGACAAAAACCAGAAGCAAAACAATACAAGATGCTATGCATGTAATGAAGAAGGACATTATGCAAGGTCATGTCCTAACCAGAAACAGACACAAGGACAGGTTTCAGACGGAAATCCGTTAAACTAAAACGGGCTGAGACTAATGGCCAAGTGTCAGCCCACAATTGCAAAATTAAAACAGACTTAGTAGATATAAACCAGACAAATGAGGATCAAGTAGATAGAAACATTGAATGTGTGTTTCTTGGTAAGGGGATTGAAAATCAAATGGTGAACTCTGCCAGTAAGAAAGAAAGTACAGATTTTGTTGCTGAGCCTATACCGGAGGACCAAGGTCTCTCTTTAAATGGTGATAGTGGTCAGGATACAGGTGCTGAAAAGGACGTGATATTTAACACTAAAGAGGAAATTGTAATTGATCGCGTAACAGCAGCCAGTATTAAGGTACCAATGGAAGTCAGTAATCAAAAAGTAAAAGCTGTAATTGATACTGGAGCAGAAGTTACTGTTTTAAATGAAGACATATTTTTCCGCCTTCCAAAAACAAGCAGATCAAAGTTGAAACCAGTACTGAAAAAACTAGTTGTTGCCGAAGCAGGGAAGCAATTGGGAACAAAAGGTATAGCAGCAGTGATGTTAACACTTGGAGACTCAAAGTTTGTCTGGGATGTATATGTAGCAACAATTGGTGATGATTTGTTGCTAGGCTGTGATGTCCTTGATGAAATGGATATAACAGTAAACTCTAGAAAAGGAATTCAACTGAATGGAAAATGGATTGAGTGTGAAGTTAACCGCAAGTCAGACATGATAGCAAGAGTGGTTTTAACTGAAAATGTAACCGTTCCAGCCAATTCTGAGATGATATTATTTGGTGGGAGTGATAATACTGATGCTATAGATACCAGATATACCATGCTACAACCAGTGGTTGAGGATAATCGGAAAATTATGGTTGCACAAATCCTTGTTGACCCTTTTGAAAAAGTCATCCCTGTTAGACTGGTCAATATGGAGGACCACCCTGTACAGTTAAAAAGAAATTATTTAATAGGAGAGTTACATCCAGTTACAAATATTACACAGTTTGATGACATCCAAAACAGTACAAAACCTTTGGAAAATAATACCAAGAATATCTACAAGTTGCACAATTTGAAGATGAATATGAACCTTACAGATGAACCAGTAGGTATTCCTGATGACTGGAATAGTACCATTCGGAAATGTAAAGCAGGAAATTCCTTGGAGATGGATGATAAATGCAGAAATGAGGCCAAAATTCCTGCATTACCAGATCATCTTAGTGATTTATTTGAAAGAAGTAGTAAAAACATAGCAAATGAAGAGACCAAACGAAAGCTTTCAGATATGCTCCTCAAGAACAGCAAGGTATTTGCTGGTTCTAAAACTGATGTTGGAACATGTTCCTTTATAAAGCATAGAATAGACACAGCTGGTGCAGCACCAGTAAGACAGCCACTTAGAAGGACACCAATAGGATTTGAGAATGAAGAATTTGAGAACTTACAAGATCAACTTAAGACGGGAGTTATCAAACCATCAAAATCAGCATGGGCTTCACCTGTAGTACTTGTTCGGAAGAAAGACAACTCTGTGCGCTGGTGTGTGGATTTTCGCAGAGTCAACGATCTTACAATTAAAGATGCCTACCCAATTCCTCGCATAGATATGTGCCTTGATTGTCTAGCGTCAGCGTCCATATTTTCATGTCTCGATCTTCAAAGTGGTTATTGGCAGTTACTGGTAGAAGAATCAGACCAACCAAAGACTGCATTTATTACCAAGTATGGCCTGTATGAATATACAAAGATGCCTTTTGGACTCTGCAATGCCCCAAGTACTTTCCAGAGATGCATGGAGTTGATATTTAGAGGACTTCAATGGCAAACACTCCTGATATATCTCGATGACATTATAATTTTTAGTTCTGATGAAGAAGAACATCTTAAAAGACTAGATGAAGTTTTTTCAAGACTTATAAATGCAGGGCTCAAGCTTAAACCATCTAAATGTGATCTGTTAAGAGAAGAAATATTATACCTAGGCCATGTGGTAGGAAAAGTGGGAATAAAGCCAAATCCAAAGATAGTACAGTCCGTACATAGCTGGAAAGTTCCATCAACAGCAAAAGAGATTCATCAATTCCTTGGTCTATGTAATTATTACAGGCAGTATATATTCAAATTTAGTGACATTGCAGCTCCACTCAGTCATCTTACCAGAAAAGATGTACTTTTTAAATGGACACATCCCTGTCAAGAATCTTTTGAAAAATTGAAAAACGCACTGACAACATCACCAATATTGGCATACCCACAATCAGACGGAATGTTTGTATTGGACACAGATGCATCTAATATAGGTATTGGCGCTGTGCTGTCTCAAATCCAAGAAAACAAAGAAAAGGTTATATCATATGCATCAAAGAAGCTAGACAGGGTACAACAGAGGTATAGTGTCACAAGACGAGAACTACTTGCAGTTGTCACATTTATACAGCAATTTCGGCACTATTTGCTTTGAAGAAAATTTTTGCTGAGAACAGACCATGGATCATTAAGATGGATATTTGCATTTAAAGACCCTCAGGGACAGTTAGCACGATGGATTGAAAGTCTTAGTCAATACAATTTTGACATTCAACACCGTCCAGGTACAAAACATTTGAATGCTGATGCAATGTCTAGAAATTCTAATGAAAATGATCTTTGTATACATTTGAAAGAGGGAAATCTTGATTCCAGTTGCACTGAATGTATTGAATGGAAACGAGAATGGTCAGAATTTAGAAAAAAGGTTGATAATGTAAAGAATTTAACTGATAAACCTATGATAAGGAATGTAACACAGTCAAGCCATAGTCATTGTTCCAGTTGGCTAACTAAATACACAGAAAAAGAGATGAGTACATTCCAGAAAGAAGATCCAGATTACAGTTTTTTACATAGATGGATGGATGAAGAAGAAACACCGGATAGAGATAAATGTGCCAGTTTCAGCCCAGCAGTAAGACATTATTGGCTGAATTGGAGTAATATTGTCCGTATTGGTGGAGTAATATACCAAAAATGGAGAGAAGTTAAAAGTGAACAAGATCACTTACAACTTCTAGTACCAGCTGTTATAAAGAAAGAAATAATCAGCTGTCACGATACTGCATATTCTGGTCATTTTGGTATTAAGAAATCAGTCCAGAAAATGAAAAATTATTTTACATGGTATCAAATGACAAAAGACGTCAGAATACACATAGAAAATTGTGTAATTTGTACTAAAAGAAAAAGTAGAAAATCAAAAGCTTGGTTGGTTGATTATAGAGTGGGTTACCCTTTAGACAGAGTTAGTATTGATGTAATTGGACCTTTACCACAAACACAGAGGAGAAATAAATATTTATTGGTAATAGGAGATAATTTCACCCGATGGATGGAAGTTTATCCTTTGCCACATCAAAAGGCTGATATTGTGGCACATAAGTTTGTAATGGAATTTATAACGAGATTTGGAATACCACTAGAACTGCACAGTGACCAAGGCAGTAATTTCCAGAGTGAATTGTTTAACGCTGTCTGTAGCATATTAGAAAAAACAAAGACCCGGACAACACCTTACCATCCTGTCTCAAATGGGCTTATTGAGAGGTTTAATCGTACCCTGGCAGGAATGATAAAAAGTTTCATCAACAAGAATGCTACAGACTGGGATGTAAACATCAATCTACTACTGGCAGCTTATCGTAGTACACCACATCCTGCTACAGGCTTCTCACCTAATTTTTTAATGCTAGGTCGAGAAATAAGTATTGCAATAAAATTGATATATCCACTGCCAGACCAGAAATATGAAGGGCAAAATGAGTATGCTCTAGATCTTCAAGATAGATTACAAGATATGTATCATATTGCCAGGAAACATCTTAAAACCAATGCAGAACGACTTAAAAAGAATCATGATACTAGACTGACAAAACATAAATATAAAAAGGGAGATCTTGTATATAAATTTGATAAAACTATAAAACAAAAATTTAAATCCCCATGGCTTGGTTCCTATTTTATTTCAAAAGTTTTGAGCACGGTGGTCTATGAAATCTGTTTTAAATCTAGAACTGAAGTTGTTCATATAGATAAATTAAAACCGTATGTAGGTGAAATACCAGACTGGGTTAATAGAAAACTCAATCAATTAGAATAAATGTTATGTTAAGAGTAAACATACACATTTTATACATGTATTTATTTATTCCTGTATAAAAATAATATTTAAGACTTGTTAATTTTATAAAGTATTAAGTATTGATTAATTTTATTCTTACAGAATTATGGTACTGTTTCAATGTTTGAAGTGTCCTTTCCGAGGAAATACAAAAAACACAATTCAACATTTTATAATTAAACATGCTTCGGTTGACCGAGTCCCATTTGTATGCAAAACCTGTAACTTTAAAACAATTTCCCATGCTAAATGGCAGACATTTAAAGGATCTTAAAAAACCTCATGTTAACAAAGAACATATTTGTATGAAAAGTATTAATCCTTATGTGGTGATTGTGGGTGAAGACATTACAGAATTTGAATCAACATGTATAAATGACAAAATATTTATACAAGAAGAAGAGGAGATTGAAATTGTGGAAGTAAATATTGATCCCAAAGATGAACAAATTTTGGAATTAGAGAATAAATTGGTAGAAATGAAATCAACACATGAAAATCAACTTAAAGACTTAGAAGAAAAGCATACATTTGAGTGCCTTCGATTTGGGAATTTATAGAGAGACTGGAAAAGAGGAAGACAGATCTTAAAGAAGAAGTGAGAAAACTCCAAAATAGATTAACCGAGACTCAACCCAAATCCTCTAAGAAGATCAGAAGTTCTGTTTGTGTCATTGAATCAAGAAAATAGAAAGAACTTTTTAATTATATTGAACTTTTAATGAATGAGACTTATTGTGATATATACATGGATATTGTTTTACTGTTATATATGTATGCTTCTTATGTTGAAATTTGAATATATATTCATTTTATTTCATGTCAATTCTAGGGACAGAATTCTTTTTTCTTTGAGAGGAGCAATGTTGTGCCACGATTATTTACAGTATTCTTTTAATAATAACCTTCATTCATTGCTTTTCATTTGTATTTCCCGGTGTATATTTTCCGCGAAACTAGGTCATACATATTTTCACTTTTGTACACTTGCTTGTTATGCGGAATGATTTTCTATAGTTACAACATAATTACCTTATTCAGAAGTTATTAATGCATCCTATTTTATCCATAGTTATCCTTTTATAATGTTAGAATTATCCAAAATCATACTTGTCAAGTTAAAGGCCATTTTGGTTTACTTTCACAATTGTGTACACGCGTACTATTTTTAGGTGTATTGACTAACTTGATCTTTCAAACGTTTAGAGAAAAGTATAGTCAGTTTCAAATTATAGCCGCTGGCGAACAGCTGAGTTTCAGACAGTGACCCAGAATTATTTATTCAGGTATTTTGGCACACACTGCAATTCTATTTAATTGATTTATTAATAACTATTGTTAATGATATTAGCTTTTAATAAAGCTGCTTTTATTTATTTAAACAAATCTTATTTCTTGATTATCCAAAGTTTGGACTTCAAAACAGTTTTATTACTTTGACTTTAATTGATATTTGTATAATATCTGCCAAACCATTTACAATAACGGTTGGCGCTACAAATGGCAATGATGTATACTGGTACATTTGAAGCTATCTCCCTTAGGTTATAAACATTGGTAATGGCCAGGGTATATACTGGTACATTTGAAGCTCTCTCCCTTAGGTAATAAACATTGTTAATGGCAAGGATGTATACTGGTACATTTGAAGCTCTACCACTCAGGTAAACATGGTTAATGGCCAGGATGTATACTGGTACATTTGAAGCTCTCTCCCTTAGGTAATAAACATTGTTAATGGCCAGGATGTATACTGGTACATTTGAAGCTCTGTCTCTCAGGTAAACATTGTTAATGGCAAGGATGTATACTGGTACATTTGAAGCTATCTCCCTTAGGTTATAAACATTGGTAATGGGCAGGGTGTATACTGGTACATTTGAAGCTCTCTCCCTTAGGTAATAAACATTGTTAATGGCAAGGATTTATACTGGTACATTTTAAGCTCTCTCCCTTAGGTAATAATCATTGTTTATGGTCAGGATGTAAACTGGTACATTTGAAGCTCTCTCCCTTAGGCAATAAACATGGTTAATGGCAAGGATGTATACTGGTACATTTGAAGCTCTCTCCCTTAGGTAATAAACATTGTTAATGGCAGGGATGTATACTAGTACATTTGAAGCTCTCTCTCTCTCAGGTAATAAACATTGTTAATTGTTAAACCCGTTGCAATTGTTTGCACCTGTCCTAAGTCAGAAATCTGATGTTCAGTAGTTGTCGTTTGTTGATGAATGGTTCATAAGTGTTTCTCGTTTCTCGTTTTTTATATAGATTAGACCGTTAGTTTTCCCGTTTGAATGGTTTTTACACTAGTAATTTTTGGGGCCCTTTATAGCTTGCTGTTCGGTGTGAGCCTAGGCTCTGTGTTGAAGACCGTACTTTGACCTATAATGGTTTACTTTTATAAATTTTGACTTGGATGGAGAGTTGTCTCATTGGCACTCATACCACATCTTCTTATATCTATCAATGGCAAGGATGTATACTGGTACATGTATTTGAAGACATCTCTCTCGGGTAATAAACATGAACAGGATGTACATGTATATTAGTGTTTGAATCTATCTCTATCAGGTAATTTCTTGTCAAGGGTTCATAGGGCCTGTCAATAACCAACAATCCTTTAACTGGCAGCCCAATTTTCCAGCACTTTAATTCCTTTTAGCCATTTTGCAGAAACTGCTGTAGCAGAGGGAGCATTAAGTTATAAATACCCTTGTCTGTCTGTACATCCTTATGTTTGTACATCACAAAGTTGGTTTCCGTTCTCTTACTTTAGTTTGCCTCAACCAGATGTTATGAAACTTTATCACAATGCTTATTACCACAAAACACAGATCAAGTTTGAATTTTGGGGGCGTCACTATTACCGTTCTAGAGTTATGCCCCTTTACAAGTGGAAAAATTGCTTAATTTTTTGTTTCCGTTCTTAAGTTTACCTCTACCAAATGTTATGAAATTTATATACACAATGCTTATTACCACAAAACTCAGATCAAGTACACATTTGGGTTGTGTTACTTTTATAGTTCTTGAGTTATGTCCCTTTATAATGTTATATGCAAACTGGGTCATCATCTGTGTCCCATGGACACATTCCACATTTATTTGATTATTCCTGTTCTGAATATACATAAAATATCTGCCACAGGATATTAAGGAAACCCCAATCAAAGCCTAGAATGTTTATAAGTGTGTTTGAAGCTTTTCAACGAGATAATCAGATGACAGGTATCACAAGTCTGGAATGGACATTATTGCAATGTTACATTTATAACATTGTTGTTTAAAAATAAGAATACATTGAGATAAACATGTACATTAATTTGACAGAAGGCCCCACCAGGCCTTGTTGCCAAAGTGGTCTAAATAGTTCATCTACCTTAATGACTAGCCTGTTAACACTGAGGTTGAGAGTTCCAACCATACTTGTGGTAGGTGTGAATCCTATCTTAATTGAATAGGATTGCCAATTTTCCCCTGTCATGTTACAGCCAAGAGTGCTGAAAGTGGTGTTAAACACCAATAATCAATCAATCAGTCAATATGACAGCAGCGAGTAAAAAATCAAAGATATCAGAGGTTAACAGACAATCTATCTTCAACAATACAGCAGCAACTACTCAGCATGCTTTAAGTATGTCAAGTTCTAAAGGATCCATGTCTCGAAAAGTAGTTACATAATAAATTTCAGAGAGACTTAAAAAATCTGCCCTCCATATCAGGCACTAACCTATGATTATTATTTAAGTTTTATGGCATATGGATTATAAAATTTTAAAATTATAAAAAATTGCAATATTAATAATGTCTTACAAGAATATATTGAAACGATTTTAGGTGGAACAATGTTTTGTCTATCCTGGTACCATTTCATGAGGAATTTTGGACTATAAAAAAAAGGTTTAGATACAACTTTCAGTTCTTTTTCATGAACATTACAGTGGTTTACATGATAAAAATTTGTATATGCATGTATTTTCTTTATGGGTATTGATAGATTGTTTGTCAATTATGCATGTTGTACTGAAAAATACCCCTAAAAACAGGTTTTCACAGGTTGTAAAAATGACCACCAGCAAAGTAAGTGTAAGATACCAATTCATAATATTCAGTATTTTTTCTCCTAATAACTCCACATTCAGTATTTTCTCCTAATAACTCCACATTCAGTACTTCCCACTCAGTTTTACTTTTGTCATTTTGATGTTGGTATCAGGAACAAATGTTTATGATAGTTCAACAAATTTATATCCATTCTGTTACTTAAATTGTCTATCCTGTTACCGATAGCAGTATTGTATGATGTGTATGCTAAATTGTGAAGATAAAAATGGTTTATTCTTTAAATGAGTTTAAATTATAAAACAATTTTCATTATGTATAAAAAATATATATTGATATACTGTTTTAAGTTTCAGTCAGATATAATATCCTGTTACTTTAACCACAAAATAAGATAGACAAAGTTATATATTTATGAATCCTGTTGTAAAATAACTTTTTCCTTTTGCAGTGTGATGTTTTGCTTGTGTGATCTTGGTTTCCAATTGCACTTTTTATACGACCGCAAAAAAATTTGCGGTCGTATATTGGTATTATGTCGTCGTCGTCCAAAGACATTTGGTTTCCGCACAATAACTTTAGTATTAGTAAATAGAAATCTATTAAATTTAAACATAAGGTTTATAACCACAAAGGAAGGTTGGGATTGATTTTGGGGGTTATGGTCCCAACAGTTTTGGAATTAGGGGCCAAAAAGGAGCCCAAATAAGCATTTTTCTTTTTGAACAGTGTATGGATCTCTCTGAAATTATACCACAAGTTTCCATACCACAAAGGGATGGTTAGGATTGGCTTTGTGGGGGTTATAGCTCAAACTGTTTAGGAATTAAGGGCAAAAAAGTGAGAAAAAACAAGGGTGTCCTGGTAAATGGACAATTACTTAAGTACAAATTACAGTGTAAGGGAGGTAATTCAAACACAACTTTGAATTACCTCCCTTACAGTGCTTTAAAATTATGTAGAAAGAATTTTTGTATTGTCTTGAGGATATTAGCTGTCAATTCATTTTTATAAGATCGCAAAAATTAACAATTTTTTGGTCGTATATTGGTATCACGTTGTCGTCATCGTCGTCCGGCATCGTCGTCAAATGGCATCATCGTCGTCTTCAGCGTCGTCTGAAGACAGATGGTTTCTGGATAATAACTTTAGTATAAGTAAATAGAAATCAATAAAATACACTGTTTTATCATATTCAAAATATCTTTTTCTTCCAAATAAGAATTAATCCTGGTAGTTATTTTTAAAATCTTATGTAAAATGAATCTGTTATCATCAAATAACCAGTTTGTATTACATTATGTATGTTTAACAGAAATGCATACCATGGAGCCAGTCCGTACCTTATGGGACTAACAGCATTATCTACATGGAAATACAACAGTCCGACTGGGCTTGGAATACATCAGGTATTTGAAATCTGAAATTATACCCCCACTCTAGATAAAGGGCTATATTTCAATCACCTTGTCTGCCTGTTTGCCAAGATACATATTAATAAATGTAAACTGTATGTTAATCAATCTTTAAATTATGCTTTTTCTAAAATATATAAATGTAAAAAAAGGATTTCTTCAACATTTCCCTAATAACTTGCAGGCATGCCCAGTTAAAAATTCCATTATTGAATGCTACATTTGTGCAGAATTTTTTTTAAAAACAGTATAGGTCATTTGAAAATTTACAGGAAAATATAACATAAACCACAAAGAAGTTCTGACTGGGCTGGCTTTCAAATTGTCCATGTACAATCTTTTGTCTGTCACAAGCATTATGTTATGTATTTTCAGAAAGATTTTATAGAAAAAATTTGTCCTAATTTATTGTACATTATAGACAATGAATGCAGATCCTTACAGAGGCCCATGGGGAGGGGCAAGATGTAGAGATTCACCGTCTCAGGTAATCAACTATGTAACAAGTCCATAAGGGAAGAACATGTAGTCACATATTTGATAAAATTGGCAATACTGAATTCTATAGACATGTAACAGTGTACAATCTAGAGCAAACTGCTGGGTATCTAAATTTTATATGAATGTGGTGTTTTTGAAAATATCAACAGTGCTCTTACAGCTAGTGTAGAGCCCATCAGGACGCCAAAAAATAATTAAATTTGAAAAATCAGGATAAAAAGATAAGAAAAATATTTAAATGTACATTTTTACTTTGTTAAGTGAGCAATCATGTACAATGTATTATGTAAAACAGTCTGTTGCTTTCTATTTTAATCTATTTTTTAGGAGTACTAAAAAACCATTGAAATGTTTCATGTCAACCCAACACATTTGATTTGAAATGCAATTAATCATTTACTCGTTTCACTGAAATCATAGCTTGAATTTTGATTTATTAGATTATTCTTTGTAATATATCAAATGAAAAGAACCAGATTACCGTCTTTATGTGTGTATAGTACACAGGTTTTACCCTGGGAATGATTTCTGAAAAGGGAGGTGCGTATTATGTATGGCTACACTGTTCTTGACTTTTTTCAGGCCGAATTCTGATCAAGGAACCAGGTAGTTTAGAGGAAAATATTTTCGTAGCTTAAACTGGATTGTTGTTATGTTTTACATGTATATTTGTACATTTTTAAGCATAAAGAGAGAAAAACCTAAATCTTCTCTTTGATAATATTATTGTTTAATAATTGCCAGGTGGTAGGTAGATCATGTGACTGTGCTGAAGGTCAGTGCCAAGCTGGAGAACATTATTTGGACCAGTTAAAAGACACAGTAGCATTCTCTATGCCAAACAAAAGATGTGGTGCCTTCTTTGCAGAATCTATTCAGGTAAAGTGAGTTTGGATATCATTATACTTCATTGGCTTGAAGTTACATTTTATACATTGCTAGATTGTTAATATAGTGCCACAACTACTTGTATTATGTAGCTGTATAAATTAAAGGCAATGAAATTGAAAGATTTAAAATGATTCAAGTTTTTATAAAATACTAGGCAGTTGTGCAATACTTTTAAGTCTATATCTTAATTATGTCATCCTAACACATATTTTTCTCTGACAATTTATAAATTTGTCATACAATTCTTCTACTAATATCTACTGTATTTTCCAGTAAAAGTATAATTCAAAATGGTATTTTTAATTTGATTAAGAAATATTTTTTCGAGTTAAAAAACCTCACAGTTTGATGTCATTAAGTTTCTACTGATATGTCTGATGAAATAGATGAAATAATTTTAAAGTTAAAATTAGAAAACATTTGATTACTATGACAACCAAAACTAAATTATAAATTATTTGTAATTTTACACTTGACTGCACATCAGCTGTTCCAAAGTAAAGATGGTAAAGAAATTATTAAAAGATAAAAGAGATCACTGTAATAACATTCTTCAATCAAAGACAATTTATATTAACATATTGCTTTGAATGAAATAGCTAAGATCAAATAAAATGTAACCATATGTAAGAGAAAATGACAAGATTTTATGCCCCACCTATGATAGTAGACGGGCATTATGTTTTTCGGTCTGTGCGTCCATTCGTCCGTTCGTCAGTCCGTCAATTCGTCTGTCCGTCTGATCGCTTCAGGTTAAAGTTTTTGGTCAAGGTAGTTTTTGATGAAGTTGAAGTCCAATCAACTTGAAACTTAGTACACATGTTCCCTATGATATGATCTTTCTAATTTAAATGCCAAATTAGAGTTATGACTCCAATTTCATGGTCCACTGAACATAGAAAATGATAGTGCGAGTGGGGCATCCGTGTACTATGGACACATTCTTGTTGGGATTTGGGATATATGGTGTAAAAAAAAAGTGTGAATGTTGGATATAAGAGATAAAAAAAAGTGGGGGTGTGGGATAAAGGAGGTAAAAAATGTGGAATCTAAGAAAAGGAATAAAAAAAGTAGGATTTGAGAAATGAGCACCCCTGTGTCACCACCCTCGTTGAACTGCAGGTTACTTTCCTTTTTAATGGTATGAATAAAATGATATGTTGGGTATACTTACTCGAGAAAGCAACTCAATGACAAATTAAAAACCAATTGTTCAGAGAACAATTGAAGGTCTTTCCACCAATAAAGATCTATTTTGATATTAAAATATTAAAAATCAGTCTAAAATGTCAGTTCCTATGGCTTTATGATGTATAAAAGATGAATTTAAAGCAATGGTCAAAATCTAGTACGTCCTATTAACCTATGACTCTGACCTCAATTTCAAGGTCACAAATCAAGGACCTCAAATCAAAAGACACTAGGTCTTTAATATGTATGGTTAATGAGTTATATCACTTTACGCAGAATTCTAAATGTAAGATGGGCAAAAACTCCCATTTATTGTCTACGCACCCTTTCAACCAAAATTTATAAGTTACGACATGTAAATAATTTGTCGAGATGTTATACGGTTTTTGAAAATAAGTGAAAATAAGCCAAAATCAAAATTTATAATATGACCTTGACCTTTGACCTTGACCTAATTTTCATTTTTTTGGACCAAGGACCTTAAATCAATAGACCCTATGTCTCTATCACTTATGGTTTACCAGTTAGAAATGCATATTACTTATATAAAATGCATAAGGGAAATAACTCTCATATGGAGTCTCTGGAAAGCTTCGGTCCAAATGAATATCCTAATCCTGAAGATGTAACGAGCAATTTGGTAAAATGAATTTGTCGTAATCTTTTACGGTTGGGAAGGAGTAGTGGTCACAAGAAAAACAGTGTTTGGGGAGATAACTCTTACAACGTAAAGTGTTCGGTTTAGCAGTTGTCAATTTTCAAAGCGTATAAACTATACAATATCATATTCCAAATATCTAAGCGGCATCTTATGAAACAACAATACTACGTAAGAAGAAAAATTAGGCGAAAGAAAAAAAAAATAAATATAAATCAATTGCTTTTCCCCTTCTGAAACATGATTGATTGATATATGTGTATGTTTGTTTGTTTGTTTGTTTGTTTGTTTGTTGTTTTTTTTGTTTTGTTTGTTTGTTTGTTTGATAGTTTCTTTCTTTCTTTCTTTTTTTCTCTCTTTAAAGGGTCCATATTAGTGTGTTGGTTAAGTTTCTATATTTAGTTTGGAAAGTTTTTATTCTATTTCAGGTCCCGCGCGCTTCTATGTCTTGCGCCAGATTGTGGCGTCACGTGACGAAGCTTTATAATAGCGAAAACTTAGTATTTTTATTTCTTTTTAGGTGGAGACGTTGGACAGAGAACATGTATAGCGACAGAGTACACACAATGTATTTCTTTTGTCATTGTAGGTAATTGACATTTCGATCACAGTTCACGAGCAGTGCATGCTTTGGATTTAATTGATCCTGTGTAACTTTAAAACACGTTTATCGATTATTTTCATACAAAGTACATTTTTTAGCAGCAGTTTGTAACACAGATTTGTATTTCAATCTAGGAGCGGACATTTTATTGTAGTATTTCACTGAGATTTATGGAACAAGCAAGCGATTTTTACGGCATTGCAATTTCTTTTCTCTAGGAAAATTCTTGAGAGATATTTGCACCACAATGTTTTATGAAGATGTAATACATGTATACCCTGCTGGCTGCAAAATTTGGGGTCAATTGGACATGTAGTTTCTGATAACATCTGAAAACAAGCATGTGGATTTTTTTTTCAGAAGAGATGTAAATACAATATTAAACACATGAGACGGAAACATGCATACAATGAATGATTGGTTTGTTGGTTGGTTGGTTGGTTTATTGATTGATTGAATAATAAATTAATTGGATTGATTTGTTGATTGGTTGGTTGGTTGATTAAACACGTGGGATAGGGTCTCTTGAAACAAGCGAAAAAAGAAACAAAGGAAATCTTGGACCCCGTATTAAACACATGAGACGGAAACATGCATACAATGAATGATTGCTTGGTTGGTTGGTTTATGGATGGATTGGCTGGTTGATTGATTGATTGGTTGGTTGATTAATTTAACATGTGGGATATGGTCTCTTGAAACAAGCGAAAAGATCTTGGACCCCATATTAAACACATGAGACGGAAACATGCAGGCATGCAATGATTGATTGGTTGGTTGGTTTGTTTGTTTGTTGGTTGATTGATTGATTGATTGATTGATTGATTGATTGATTGATTGATTAAACACATGGGATAGGGTTTTCTTGAGACAAGCGAAAAAGAAACAAAGGAGATCTTTGACACTGTATTAAACACATAAGACGGAAACATGCATACAATGAATGATTGATTGGTTGATTGGTTTGTTGATTTATTGATTGATTGGTTGGTTGTTTGGTTGGTTAATAAATTTAACATGTGGGATATGGTCTCTTGAAACAAGCGAAAAAAAAACAAATGAGATCTTGGACCCCATATTAAACACATGAGATGGAAACATACATGCATGCAATGATTGATTGGTTGGTTGGTTAGTTGGTTGATTCATTAATTGATTGATTGATTGATTAATCAATTAACTAATTAATTAAACACGTGGGATATGGTCTCTTGAAACAAGCGAAATAGAAACAAATGAGATCTTGGACCCTATATTAAACACATGAGACAGAAACATGCATGCAATGATTGACTGACTGACTGACTGATTGATTGATTGATTGATTGATTGGTTGGTTGGTTGGTTGGTTGGTTGGTTAGTTGATTAACACAGAGAACGGATCCACTTGGATCCTGCAAAAACGGAATTGAAAGCCTAGATACTATATCTAAACACATGGGATTTATCTTTTGAGAGATCACTTAACAAGTAGTAAGGTTAAAGGTCAATGTCAACCTACAAAAGCATTAAAACACAATCAAACTCTTTAAATAGTGCCAAAAACACATAATTTGCCTCTTTGTACATGACCTTGACCTTTGACCTTGACCCCAATTTCAAGGTCATGAAACAAGGGCCTCAAATCAAAACACTCTAGGTCTCTACTATATATTGTTAATAAGTTATATTACCATACAGCTAATATTAGATATAAAAGGGGCGAAAACTCCCATTAAATGTCTACGTACCCTTTCAACTAAAATTTATGTGTTACGACATGTCGCAACTAACAATTCTGTAAAAATATTTTGTCGATATCTTATACAATCTCTGAAAATAAGTGATAACAAGCCAAAATCAAAATTTAGAATATGACCTTGACCTTTGACCTTGACCTTATTATCTTTTTTTTGGACCGAGGACCTCAAATCAAAAGACCTCAGGTCTCTATAAGTTATGGTTTTTCAGTTACAAATGCACATCACTTATATCAAATGCATAAGGGGAAATAACTCTCATATGGAGTCACCGGATAGCTTCGGTCAAAATTAATCAAATCATCCTGAGGATATAACAAGCAATTTGGTAAAATAAATTAGTCGGTTTCTTATGCAGTTGCGACGTATAAGTAATAACAAGAAAAACAGTGTTCGGGGAGGTAACTCTTACATCGAAAAAGTTTTTGGTTACGCGGTGTCAGTTTCAAAAGCGTATTAACTGTTCGATATCATATACCATATGTCTAACATATGTCTTGCGAAACAAAAAAACAGCGAAGGAAAAAAAATTAGGCGGAAGAAAAAAAATAATAATCAGAACAAAACCAATAGGTCTTTCCACGGAAAAGTGGAAAGACCTAATAATCAGAAGAAAACCAATAGGTCTTTCCACGGAAAAGTGGAAAGACCTAATAATAATAATAATCAGAACAAAATCAATAGGTCTTTCCACGGAAAGGTGGAAAGACCTAAATATCCAAAAGATATTTAGATTTCAGTAAATATAATCTTCAACGAAAGATAGGACTAGTGTCTTGACAAAGTGTCAAGCTCTAATCAGTCCTCGGTTTCTGAAAGTTGAATCTGGCAAACTGGACATATAAATGCTTTCACTTAAAAATAGGCAAAGCCCTTTTTTTTTATTTCTTTGTTTAAACTGAATAATACATCAGATTGAGACATACTTTACAGTGTTTTCTGACAATCCGTTAAAAAACTTTTAATGTTTAAACAGCTCAGCATCTTCTAAAATGCTAACTTACAAATTGGAAATCTACACAAATAAAATATCATCAAAATTTTTCTTATACTTTTTCTAGTCCCCTACCGACGAAGTCGAAGGGGACTTTATGTTTGCACTCTGTCCGTCTGTCCCTCTGTCCATCTGTCCGTCTGTCCATCTGTCAGTCTGTCCATCTGTCAGTCCGGCAAATCAGCTTTCCACACTTTTTTTCTTCGTTCTTGAAGATATTGATTTGATATTTAGTATATAGTTTTATCATGACAAGTTATAGATCAAGTTCGAATTTTGTTCTGGTCTGATGATTTAGTCCAGAGTTATGGACCATAACTCTGGACCATTTCTAATGTTAAGAGTACTATGTTAAACCATATCTCTGTACAAAGGGAGATAACTCATTTTATAAAAGACATTCTTTGTTAAATTATTTGAAGAATTTTTTGGCAGGTTTGTTTGTTATTTAGTATGAACTAATTTTCTGAATGCTATATATATATAAAAAAAAATTATGAAGAGAAATCTTTTAACTAGATAATAATCTATTTTTATTAATGTATATATTTCAATACATTACATTACATTGTGTGGATAAAAGTTGTTGACATTTTATAGATAAGTTACAAATCTATATTAGTTTGTGACAAATGAAAGAAAAAATATTTGGAACTTATGGCTTATATAACACATTTTAGCAACCTTTGACAACCCTTGGTAAAATCACGATATATTCAAGCCCCCATGAATTATTTCGATTCTAATAGGACAAATACGGCAATTCTTTTGGATCGAAGCGCTCTAGGTGAAGGCATTATTTGCCGTTCCCATAAATAAATGCACTATTAAATAGACGTAAAAGAACTGGGCAAACTGAATAAATGGCATGCTTAAACTATTTACAATGACATATTTAGATAGGTTTGGATGAATCTAAATGATAATTGTACTTATATGTCTTATATGTATACAAAAAATGGCTTATATAACACATTTTAGCATCGTTTGTTTACGTTTCCTTGTTGTGATGATTTTCGGGTTCACAAGGGTGTATTTTCCCGTAAAATGCTTATATTCTTACGTCATCGTTCTATGACGTCGGGTAGCTCATTCATAAAAAAGCATATGACGCGGGAGTACGATCGGAACAGCCCAAACAATATATTCATATTTTACCACGGGTGTGTACTCAAAGCGTTTGAAGAACGTCATGTTAGAATTGATTGTAATTTGAAAATAGATATACACTGTATTACATCATATCTAATTTTAGAGAACTATTAATCATATCTAATGTTTTTTTCATCATGTTTATAAGATATTGATTGATAATTGGTATATAGTTTTATCTTGACAAGTTACTGATCAAGGTCAAATTTTTGTTTCAGTCTAATGATTTTGTGCAGAGTTATGGTCCTTGGACTTGAAAAATTCACTCTTATAAGCAGTTTTCCACACTGTTTTTAGTCATGCTTGAAGATATTGACATGATATTTACTTTTTGTTTACACCATGACAAGTTATAGAACAGTGTTCCAGTATAATGAATTTTTACCCTGTAGGGGACTATGTATTGCAATGCAATACTCTCAGAATGCTTGTTTAATCCTAAACTGCTAAATTGTACTCCTGCAGAAAAAAATATGCAATATGGTATATTGGGAAAGATAACATTTGTATGAATTGAATATTTTGTAGGGAGTTGGTGGTACTGTACAGTTTCCTAAGAATTTCTTGAAACCAGCTTTTGAACATGTAAGATCACATGGAGGAGTTTGTATCTCAGATGAAGTAAGTTTAATGATCCATTATTCCAGAAGATGTCTCTAATTTGTTCCATTTGCATGAGTTGTCTTTCTTTTAATGGGTTATTTTATTTTCTTCAGGTAAATTAATTGATGAGTGATGGATTTCTCTTAGGAGAAATTTAAAGGTCAGAACAATGACTATTGTATTCTTTCAATCGAACAGTACATTGTCTAAAAGTTAAATTGACACAGGTAGTGCTACTCAAAGTGGGGAAATGTTTTATTTCCTTAGCAATGACAGAATTTCAAATTGCTCAACCATTTTATTCTATGAAACATTATGCAGTTCAGTCAGAATTTTCAGTAAACTGCAATAGGTGGACAGCAACACTTACAATCCAGTCACAGTAATTGTTTGTCTCTCACAAATCTGCAAAAAGGGCCCTTGCTGACATGTCAGTTTTCTAGTATTGAGTAGCAAGTGTTTTATAATTAAAAAAAAAAAGAAGAAAACAAATATCTCGGATAAATAACTATATAGATGTCTTAACACATGTACAAAATGCTGGTATTCTATATGGAAATTATATTTATAGAGAGTTTTGCTACCTACTATATATGTTATTAAATTATTTGGAAAATGTTCATTCTGTTTTTATTATGGAAGACAAATTATCTGAAATTAGTTATTTCTTGTAAGCAAATATTTTATATTTAAGGTGCAGACTGGTTTTGGAAGACTTGGAACTCATTTCTGGGGATTTGAAACTCATGACGTAGTTCCTGATATAGGTATTGTATTAATCTATTTATACTTTTTAGAAAATGGACATTGAAATTATTTAATAGAAATAATAAGCATGTATTATTTATTATAGAAAAAAGTTTTACTGAAATTTAACTGGAGGCTCCCAAGGAGCCTGTTTCGCTCACCTGATATTTTTGTTTACAATTGGTGCATGAAATAATGCAACCATTATACTTTTGCTTTAGTTTCACAGATATAAGCCAAAAACTGTATTTTACCCCTATGTTCTATTTTTAGCCATGTAGGCCATGTTGGTTGGCAGGCGAGGTCATCGGACACATTTTTAAAACTAGATACCCTTATGATGATTGTGGCCAAGTTTGGTTAAATTTGTCTCAGTAGTTTCAGAGGAGAAGATTTTTGTAAAAGATTACAAAAATTTACGAAAAATTGTTAAAAATTGATTTTAAAGGATTTTAAAGGGCAATAACTCCTTAAGGGGTCAATTGACAATTTTGGTCATGTTGACTTATTTGTAGATCTTACTTTGCTGAACATTATTGCTGTTTACAGTTTATCTCTATCTATAATAATTTTCAAGATAATAACCAAAAACGGCAAAATTTCCTTAAAATTACTAATTCAGGAGCAACAACCCAACAATGGGTTGTCTGATTCGTCAGAAAATTTCAGGGCAGATAGATCTTAACCTGATGAACATTTTTGCCCTTGTCAGATTTGCTCTAAATGCTTTAGTTTCAGAGATATAAGCCAAAAACTGCATTTTACCCCTATGTTCTATTTTTAGCCATGTAGGCCATGTTGGTTGGCAGGCGGGGTCGTCAGACACATTTTTAAAACTAGATACCCCAATGATGATTGTGGCCAAGTTTGGTTAAATTTAGCCCAGTAGTTTCAGAGGAGAAGATTTTTGTAAAAGTTAACGGACGATGAGGGATGACGGACGCCAAGTGATGAGAAAAGCTCACCTGGCCTTTCAGGCCAGGTGAGTTAAAAATGTATTGGATTACTCATATTTTGAAACTCAACGTTATGTTGTTTAATTTTATTATCCATGAGATTACAAAGGCTATCGTCTATCAATTAAAGTTGTTCTTTTTACCAGACATTTATTTGCAAGTTAGAGATGTAACAGATTTTATATAATACACAATTAAATCGGTAAAAGGTCCTTATAAAATTTCGTCACCATGACCTACATTTCAATTATATAACTAAATGTGCTCTTCTTTATGTGATCCCTTTTTTGTCTCTTGGTAGCTTGCACACCTTAAGTGCACAAGGTCATGGCTTTAATCCATCCAAAGGTCAAACCAAAGACTTCCTGAGTAAGCATGCAGCATTTAGGAGTAAGAGCAAAGACTGATGGTCTTATGGTCATGGTCATGGTAGGGTGACATTTCTTCCTTGGAATTGTTACTTTGTGAACTAGCATGTTAAAAATACAGCTAAGTGTGTTGATCTATCACAAGCAATGGTTCATATTCATAGTCATATCACATCAACTTGTTCTCATCCTAATATGCATGAAATATTTGCCACTGGACATATAAAACCTATCCTTCGTCATCTCCATTATATAAAATTGTTTAGGCAAAATTATATTTATATTCTTAATTTGAATAGCATAATGTTTTACAGTAACCATGGCTAAGGGTATTGGTAATGGCTTCCCATTAGCAGCTGTTGTCACTACTCCAGAGATAGCTAAACATATGGGAACAGCTCTCCATTTCAATACCTATGGTGGTAACCCAATGGCATCTGCTGTAGGATCAGCTGTTCTTGATGTGAGTATAGGAAAGTTGTTGTTTATATTTTGAGGTTAAAAAAGTCAAATCATTTGACATTTTTGTATGCATCCATCTAGTTTTGCACACAGGCCAATTAAGCAAATGGAATGATTTAAATAGATTTCCACTTCGTATTTTGACCCCTTCTCCCTTATGAAAACCTATGGTCATACAACCATAAGTCAATGTTTTCATGCAGACAATGTTGTATTGATCCCAACACTGCTGAATTCTAATGCAATTATTTTGTATCAATGGTTCTGATTGGATGACAGTAAGCGTAAAATTCTCTATCTCCTTGTCTGTAACTAAGGAAGCCAACATTTTATGTATTGACATGTAATTTTTACAATAATAAGCAAAAAAACTCACATGTTGCACCTAGTCATCTTCTTTTTATCAAATTTTATTACATTCTGAAGTGGCCAAGAAGCCAGAAAACGCCCATTGTTTACGTTTGACGCCGGAAGCATACCTATGACGTCACCTAGTTTAGGGGCCAAAGAAGATAACATCTTTTCGCGGAATTTTCTTTAATGAGAATTTTACACTGAAATAATGATTGAAATTGAATTATGTACTTGTTTTGCATTAGAATATAGATAACTTTATTGTATTTGAAGCTTTGCAGACGTCCATCGGTAGTTTTACTGTTGCAAATACCCGTTTACCTGTCTCCGCTACATGTCGCCAGGTAAACTAAATTTGCGACAGTAAAACTACCGATGGACGTCCGCAAAGCTTCAAATACAATACAGTTATCTCTTAAATGTTTAACATTATCAGATGAATTTTGTGTATCAAATAAAATAGGGCACAGAAAAAAGGAACTATCTCAAAACTAAAGAATTGAAAATTATTAATCTACAGTTATAAAATTTTGCCTCATTAGTCCATTGTTTAAATAAAACATAGGGTCACAGACTACGATTAATCAATCTGAAAGTAAATAAAAGTAGAAGTGGGGTATTACTTCAATGAGACAGAAACAATAAAACAAGAAACTAAAAGGTGTAGATCCAGAGGTCAACATACGATCTTCAAAAATAAACAGGTGTCTGTGCAATATGTAAAGCACTAAATCTTCAAAATCTGAAAAGTCTGAAGTTACATATTTTTATTTTGTTGTGATTCTCACACAAAGCATGCTTTTAAACGTTGAACAGACCACCAGAAGCAACGAAAAGTTGATTGAACTTTATGTGCACAGTAAAGATTCATTGTGCCGAGTGAACTTGGTCTTAAAAATTGAAAATCTTTCATCCAATCTGCTTGACATTTTCAGTTATATTTCTTCTTTTTTACACTGCCGCTTGGTACAGACAAAGACCTCTATCTTGTTGGAGTTGACATAGCAGAAATGATTTTCGATTACTAATAAATCGAATATAAAAACATCTGACCAAAGTTTTCAAACAATTGACAACTGTTTATTTCTTTTGACAGTAAAGAAAAATCTCGAAGAAATACAAACGTGGGTCATTCCGGGTTAAAATATCCGAATGCGGGAGATTCTATACTCCAGCATGGGAGCAGACCAGCAAGTGGGAGATTTCCGGAATTTCTTCGTTTGCGAGGGAGACTCCCACTCAAAACAGGAGGGTGGGCAGGTATGCCCATCTTTCTATCCATTAACCAGTTAAATTGAACAGAAGTCTGATGAAGATGTAGAATACAATATTTTACATTATTTTAACAAACAATAATAAAAGACCAACAATAATTTTTCACAACATAAATTTCTCTTTTTTAAATCATTTTGGCCAGAGACATATATACACAGAGATTGGCAACTGTAACAGTGGTCAGCGAAATCCAATTAAAAACACGCATCACACGAGACTTTAACGAGATCGCCATTTTGCATCTGATCATGACAAGTTCACCACCGCTTCGATTTTTATTTTACATCAAGCATTTCAAAACAGCATAATGTAAGTATATATTTCAATTTCGTAAATTGTTTACCTTGTTTTATTCAGTTTGTAGTAATTGTTAGTTAAAATATTGTGACAATTAACATTTTATTGTGGTCAATAATAAGGGGAAAGCTTGGCCGACATGGATGTTATGAAAATTTTTTATTCGGACGTATTTTTCATTAAAACCTTTTCATTCGAAAAGGAATAAAACCATTTATGAGATGAATCACTTTTCCCAAGACATACTCAGCCCTGCTTTCCTGAACTGGAATTATTCATGAATATTCCAGAATAATTCTAGAACATTCATGAATAATATTCATGAATATTCATGAATATTCAAGGTTACAATTCATGAATATTCATGAATATTCATGAATGTTAAATGGCACCTTGCATATACATGAATATTGTATGAACTGAATAACCAAGAATTAACATGAATATTTATCTACAGAATATTCTTGAATGTGAAAAAGGATGTCCATGAGTATTGATAGTGGAATACTGACTAAGGATAACCATTACTGTGAAATAAGATGTCCATGAATATTGAATGGTTGAATATTCTAGAATAACCATGAATGTGAAGTAATTTTCCATTAATATTTTAGAACAACCATGAATGTGAAATATCCTTGAATATTCTAGAATAACCATGAATGTGAAATATCCTTGAATATTTTAGAATAACCATGAATGTGAAATATCCTTGAATATTCTAGAATAACCATGAATGCGAAATAGATGTTCTTGAATATTGAATGTAGAAATAAATTTAGAATTCCATGAATACAAATATGAGGGGCAGAAGGTCTTTCTCGAGCTTTTATTTTTGCAGGAAATCAGGATTTGACCTTTAAAATGCAGTTCTAAATATATTTTGCTATTTTTGCATTCTTGATATAAAATATTTAAAATATTAAATGACATTTTAATTAAGAAAATCACTTTAATGCCCCTGGTGATGGTGACTGACCCTTGCAAAAATGGGTCAGGATATCACAAGATATCCCCAGCAGGATAATCTTGGGAAAAATCCCAGGGCAATCTTGAGATAATCCTTATCCTGAGATAGGGTTAAACATGGGACGGTATTGGAACAAGGATATTCCAGGGATATCCAGAGACCATCCAGACCATAAATATCATCATGATCATAGTAAAGAATCTTGTGATAATCCTGTGCTTAGGATTCATCAGGTCCTGGTCTCAGGAAATTATCCTGATGTCAGGATTTACAGATTTGCTTGCATTAAGTTGGCCCTGGGATAATTCTTGGATAATCCTGAGAATGTCCTTAGTTCAGGACCAATAAAATGACTTAATGTCTTGCATGTATTCTATAAGGAATTAAAAAATTTGAGTAAAATCTATTTTTTATGCACAAATTTGTTCTTTTGCAAATATTTTCTTTTATTAGTTTAAATGCATATTCCTCATTATAAGGTAGATGAATATTGCCCTTGTTGTATCAAATCTGTCACGTATATATAAACATTGCGGCATGAATTACATTGTATTGGCCATGTTTAATATCTTATTTCAATGGCTGTCAAGTTCCCATTTAAAAAAAATGTACTTGTATTTAATGTCAGATCCTTAAACTTCCATCAAAATTATAGATACTAGTACTACTAGCAAACTTGTTTGCCATTTTTAATGGCTGCTTATATTGTTAAATTACCCATTAATATGGTACTCACCCCACCCCTCCTCCCCATGTTCTCTAACACCTTCAAGCATTTCATTGTCTTAATTGTATTTAGATACGCAGTTTTCACCATGGCTTAATGATGCTCGCTGTTCAGTTTCAAATATTATAATATTAAAAATGTGTGTCAGATATAAAGGATACATGTGAAGTTCTCCTCCATTCTGTAATTAAATTTGCTGTCTCTGTACTTCCAACTAGTATTGCTGAGTAAAGGTAACTGGAATCTGCATGCAATCCGTTTACTTTCAAAATTGGCAGCTCCATTTAATCATTTAATCCCCTAAAAGTATAAAAAAAATCCACAAAGAATCAATTGTTCTAGACATTTTGAAGCAATAAATTCAATAGAAATATTATTGCATGTTTATACAGTATACATTGGAAGCCATTTGGAATCAAATTAATTACCCTGACCCTCTTTTTTTATCCCCTGAAGATAAAAAACTAGCGACTTATTATTTTCACCAAATAACCATTCACACAATTCAATTAAATTTTTACATATCTACCAGTTATGCCTGTTATGTGACAACAAGATTATTCAATGTTGTTAAAAATAAATATATTTTTCAGTTTATGCAGGAACATATATATACACCTTATCGCTATTTTTCCGCCATTACTGGATATCACACAGGTTCCCGTAAAATTTTGACGTCATAAAACAAAATATCTGACGCCACAATGGAAAAGTGATTGTTGTTGACGTCAAAAGTTCAAGCGGCCGGGTCAGCCGGGAATAGGGATCATTCGTAATATTTCTTCCTGTAGACGTCGCTGGTGTTCCATAAGTGGTTGTCGGAAACGTTTTAATCACTTGGACGCTTGAATCGCATTACGTTGCACATGTTTACATTAGTAACCACAAATTATCGACACTCGCTAATTTCACCAACCTAAGCTTCAAAATTGTTGTGTCCCCGGCTGCAATTATTCTGAAGGGGGACCACAGATTCCCAAAAGACAATGAAATTCTTTTGAAATGGAGAGAAGGCATCAAGAGAGTTGATCCACCCATCAAAAATATCTAGCCTTCTAGGGAAACCCGGCGGAAAAGTCGACCAAGTTTGCCATAACCAGCTGATAACCATGTCATGCCAGGAGATTATATAACAACAGGATTAGGTTATTATGTATTTATATTTTTCTTATATTTAGTACATTATTAAACCTCTTTGTTTTATTTTTTCTCGATTAAACAGCCCAATAATTTGACAGGTTATTATTTATTAAAATAGGGGGATGACACAGGGATGTATTTTATTCTTCAAATATACCCTCACACTTTGCAAGTTTTTTCCTAGTCTTCACACTTTGTAAGTTTTTTCCTAGTCTTCACACTTTGTAAGTTTTTTCCTAGTCTTCACACTTTGTAAGTTTTTTCCTAGTCCTCCCACTTTGTAAGCTTTTTCCTAGTCCTCACACTTTGTAAGTTTTTTACTAGTCTTCACATTTTTTCACCCTTTTACCTTTGATTGCATTGTAAATAAGAAATAATAATTATGTTGTGCACTTAATTATAGCAAGTGAAATATATTTCCCTGACAAAACAATGCATGAAAGGAAGAGAACTACATATATTGGGAAATATGACAATCCCTATATTGCATTCTAAAAAAAACCATGGTACACATGAGCATAATTTTTTTATTTGTTTGTCGCAATAAAGTCTGAATTTTCTAAGGACTTTACATTAAACTTATGGCAAAAGCTGTGTGAACAATTTTTTTTAATTCTTCAAAGTTGGAAATCAAGAGTATTTTTGTGAGAAAAAAAACATCACACACATACCCGCATTAAACGCTTGTCCTTTATGAATGATATAAGAAAAATTTTGAACCTGCAGTTTATTAAATAACATGATGCTTTGTGGTTTCCTGTTTTAATATTTCAGAAGCCATCATGGATAACAGACTTTTTACCCAACCATGAAGTGATGGATGGGATACATCTTTATGTTTGAAATGAATTCATGGTTAAAATCCAAGTGGCTGCAAGTGCGAGGATCAATACTTCTGTCAGAACCAGATGTAAAAAAAAATTTGACAAAGGTGACAACAAATGGCAAATAGTCATTAGTGGAATTATGGAACAGGATTTATTTACTAGCCAAGACAGTTCGATCCTTATATTAACACACAAACTTTTCTGAAAGGGAAATTCCAACTAGATCAGAAGAAAGTAGTTTGTGATAGAAAAGTGTCATCCAACCGAATTCACATTAAAAGAGTCCTTGTATTGTCTAAAAGTTACACAAGGGTAAAACTTAATGCCCCTCCTTCGCTGTGGCAGGGGAATAAAAAATCTGAAACATGTAATTCCACGTGGAAACTTCTAATTCAACTTGGTTCCAGAATTATCTATGTTTGCTGTGTTCTTTCTAATCTCATAAAAATACATTGTAAATAAATATGCATAAAAGATGAAATGGATTTACATGCAATTGATTTTATTATTTGTTCTAATGTGGTGCTGTTTCACCACTGCTTTCCCAGTTAGCACCAAAAAAAAATAGAAAATGTTGAAAAAATATTGTAGAAAAATATCAAACTCATGCAAAAATGTATGGCGTTAAAAATATTTTCAAAACATTTTCATGATACTTTTCAAACATCATTAAAATGTTACTGAATTTTGATGACAATGTTTGTAAAATGTCTTATAAATGATTTGAATGTGTTTGTTAATCAAATATCCCTGAAACATTTGAAAAACATATAAAAATTCATTTCTGCAGGATAAAATGTTTTGAAAAAGTTCAAAAAATATTTTTTAACAAAATGTTTTAATCATCTTCATATTCTCAAAAAATCGTTAAAAAAATCATTTAAATGTTATACGAAATATCATTATAAAAATGTTTTCTAACATAATCTTTCAAGTCCTTTTATAAAATATTCAGAATATAATTGAGAATGGAAATGGGGAATGTGTCAAAGAGACAACAACCCGACCATAGAGCAGACAACAGCCGAAGGCCACCAATGGGTCTTCAATGCAGCGAGAAACTCCCGCACCCGGAGGCGTCCTTTAGCTGGCCCCTAAACAAATATGTATATTAGTTCAGTGATAATGGACGTCATACTAAACTCCAAATTTTACACAAGAAACTAAAATTAAAAATGATACAAGACTAACAAAGGCCAGAGGCTCCTGACTTGGGACAGGCGCAAAAATGCGGCGGGGTAAAACATGTTTTTTGAGATCTCCCCCCTCCCCCCATACCTCTAGCCAATGTAGAAAAAACAAACGTACAACAGTACGCATAAACAATGTTTAATATCAGAGACAGATTTAGGAGTGGGGTGCCTTTATGGCCCTTATGGAGCTACATTTATGGTTAATCCAGATTTTTTTATTACTCTCAAAACTTTGTCTAGTTTGGGGTATGATGACCCCTTTCTATGCCCCTGCAACTGAAAGTTGGGGGTAGGGGGCATATTATTTTACCCCGGTCTGTCCTTCTGTCTGTCTGTCCGTCCGTCCCATTATTGGTATATAGTTATTCAGCACAACTCCTCCTACAGTTAGAATCCTAGGAAGTTTTCACTTTGATGTCTGTTTGTACATATATTGAAGATGTTCATGTGGTCAGGGTTTTGATTTTTATTAATATTTGCTCTTTTGGGAGATACAATGTAGTTGAACTTTGTCATTTTTGGGGTATAAGCGGTTAAATGTTATAGTTATTTTAAAATAACACTTTGCATCTACGGGGGCATCAATTGTGTCTCCCAGACACAATAATATCTCAACGAAAGTCCTACATTGACTTTGTTTTAATACAGTTACTTCAGAGTGGAGTGGGGGGGTCACTTTATTTAGATTCAAAATCCTGGATCAACATTTGAGAAAACAACTGCCGTCATACTGATCTTTACCCCACATCTCCTTTTACATTTGTCTGCATGCTGTTGATGCCGGCTTAATCTACATATATTTTGGCTATTTTTGTCGGGTTGATGTCTCATTGACAAACCCCAATATTTCCTGTCTTAGATATCAATTTTATTGAATAGTCCATTTTTTTGTATTTTGCACTGAACACATATGAAAAAGAAGATGTGGTATGATTGCCAATGAGACAACTCTCCACAAGAGACCAAATGACACAGAAATAATTACAACTATAGGTCACCGTACAGCCTACAACAATGAGCAAAGCCCATACCGCATAATTTGTTTCACTTGCATAGAGGTATTAATTTTTTCAGATTATAAATATCCTCATGCATTTCATTTGGTCCAGCATTGAACAAATTTTTTTCTTAGAAGTGTTTTTTTATCTTTTGTTTGATCATGTGTAGCATCTGTCATTTTCTGTCTGAACAGCTTTTCGATGGTTTTTTTTGCTGTCTTGGTCAACAATACACAAGATAACAACAATAAGAAATGCAAAAATTTTATTTAATTTTGTCATTTCACTGTTCTTTTTCATTTTTTCTTTTGTTCCATTCTTTTTATTTCTCTTGACTTCTGCTGGCTTCTGTAAAGAAAATGTTAACAAATTAGTCCTGTTGTTTAGTGAGTAAACTAGTGGAGATAATTTAAATTTCACCAAATTACACAAGAAAATTTTATTTTAATCCAGTCTGGTTTCATAAAAATTTATATTGAAAAGCGACATCTAATCAGTGTGGCTGGATTCGGAAGGAATATTCATAGCTATTAGATATGCACGTACATCTGTGGAGTTTCAGGTGTATTATTATCATACGAGTCTGTAACGGTAGAGTTCACCAGTACTAAAATAAAACTGTACAGTACCATTTTTCCAACTGAGATTAGGTCCTGTAACCTTTACTTGGTCTTAACACAAATACATTTTTGTGATATAGATTGAGGCTATAAAAGGATAAATACCTTCACACAATCTGCTCCTCCAGAATGTTTTGAACCTAAGCTTATACATTTTGGCTCCTCTAATTGATTCCACAAAAGATAAAAAAAAAAGAAAAAATATCAAATAAAATACAGTCAAGAAAAAATCACATTGAACAAGTCAGCTACAAAGGTCACAACATTCAAAAATGAAAGAAAATTCAAACAAGAAAACTAATGGCTTGATTTTAAATTATAAAATAAGACAATAAAAAAAACAAATATATATGTATATATATCAGAAATTAACCAACTATAACTACTAGATTAAAGGCTCCTGACTAGGATTGACACATTAACAATTATCTATACTTACAAAAAATGTATCTGGCCTGGCCTGAAGGGCTAGCGATTAATCACAGGCACTTGCCTCAGAAAAAATTTCCTATATGCCTTAATATAACACGTGTTATATTAAGGTATATAGGAAATTTTTTTCTGAGACAAGTGCCTGTGCTATTAATCATGAAAACTGTATAATGAATATATTGTCTTTCATGGTTACAAATATCTATCAGTAGAAAATGTCTGCAATATTTCACTATTTTATATTACTTTACTAACTAATACATTGTTGATGACGCTGAAAACAGCATACCTAATATATGCTATGTCTTGATTTTGGACTCTGTCAAGGCAAGACAAAAAGGAAAGAAATCAATGATTCAAGTTCAAATATATTGATGGATTGTTGGAATCTTAATGTCCAGTGACAAATATTTAATGCATGTTCCAGCCAAAGTTTAATTAAACAAGCTAAGGAATGGTTTGAATTTTTTTAAAACATGTAGGTACAGATTTTTTAAAGTACTATTACATAGATTAAAATGTTAGGATTACAAAGGAGGTTTCTGCTTGCCATGAAATATTTGAAAAACAAGATATCAAGTGGATTTAATGGTATAACTAATAAAATTTTGAAAAATTCTTGTATGCTGAATGTTGGGCATGATATGTATATAAAATTATGAAACACTACTTTTTTCTTAAAAATTAATAAAATTTTCTCTCTAGCAAGAAGTTCTTATTGGAGAGAAAATTTATTTAACCCATATTCAAAGGAAGATGTTTTAATAGCCCTTCAAACCATAGAGGTATAACCCTTTTTACTAGTTTAGGAACATTTTTTTCTAGAGAATAATAGTTTAGAAAACTATTTAGAATCATATAAGATTATCTGCCAAGAACAGATAGGATTCAAAAAAAGGACGTAGAACTATAGGGACCACATTTCTAAGTTTAAAAAATATTTAGTTGGGTTAGTTTTCATAATTATTTTCTAATCAATTTTGAAGAATTTGAAATTATTCCATATTTAAATAATTCCTTGTTTGAACTTGAATTACAAATAAAACTTCATTATAGATGTATATATCTTTAAAATTTCCAAAAATGGCCCCATCATGTTATATGTAAAAAGTTTGCAGAGAAGGGCCTTTATATTTTTTTTTTACAGTGTCTTTTTTTTAAGTTGATGAAGCTGAGACATATTAAAAGATTTAAAGCTTAAAAATGTAGAATCATGTCTTGTTTAAAAGTGGTATTGGGAGGATTTAATACTTTCCTTGTGTAATTGTCCCATTTTCAAAAGTAATAAATTGTTTATATATAACTGGGACTATAATACTATTAGTATAATAGTCCCAGTATATAACAAGTTAAATTTAGTTTTCCCTTGCCCAGTCTGCATGGTTTATATCACATTTCATGGCCAACAGATAATATCTGTATAGAACCCCTATTTTTAATTATTATTATACAAAATCATTTAAATGTATCCTAGAAAGTTTAATTATACATTCATGACTATTTATAAGTTCAGTGGGTTTTTTGTTGTTGTTTTTTTTCTAACTTGGGGTACATGTATTTGTCACTTGGTATTTCACACTAAATATTTCATATAAAATTGCATTTCAAAAGATTATTTAGGGGACATTTCTGATTTGATTTTATGCAACTTGGTACCAACAGCAGAATAATTATTTGTTTATTTTCATTTTCTTCTGAGATAAACATAAATATTATTGTCTATTATAAACAATCTTGCTATATACCCAAACAAAAAAAATTGAGGAACAAATCATGGTAACAAATGATAAACAAATCGTATGATTTCTTTGTGATTTGAAAGTGATAAAATTTCACATGCAAATGAGCTAACAAATCACAATAACAAATCACGAACAAATTGCTTACAATTCATAAGCAAATCATAAACAAATTGTGAAGAAATTGTTTTGAAATCATTAACAAATCAGAAGTAATTGCTTTCCTACTTCAAGCAAATCACAAACAAATTGTTTTCAAATCGTAAAGAAATTGTAAAGAAATTGTTATCAAATCTTTAACAAATTAGAAGTAAATCATATTCCTACCTCAAGCAAATCATAAACAAATTGTTTTCAAATTATGAAGAAATTTTTAACAAATTGTTATCAAATCTTTAACAAATCAGAAGAAAATCATATATTCCTACCCGAAGCAAATCACAAGCAAATCGTAAATAAATTGGCATCAATCATGAATTCACAGATTAAATCATTTACATCCAGATCAAAAATAAGTTCTGCCCCTGAAAACCCCAAACTTTGAAGCGCAATTGTCTTCATTTTACCTTTAATAGCTACTCCTCTAATTGTAAAAAGGAATACTATCTTTGGTTGCGATGAGGGACGAATTGTTCCCTCTGTGTAGGTTTCTCTTCTTTTCTCCCGAATTTGACTATAACGAAATTTGAGAAAAAAAACATAGGCCACCACGTGTACTTAGTAGAATGATGTCGAATAGGTGATGGGTCTTAGTCTTGGTCCAAATCTGCTACATTGTATTATAGCTTTGTCCATTTTGCCCGGGACCTGGTCAGTAAACAACAATTAAAACATTGAACTTGCCAGTGAATTTTGGCTGCTGGCACGGGAAGCTAGTCTTGAAATGAATGTTTTGATCTGTTTACACATCTTTTACACATTTTTTTTTTGAAAATTAATCCTTACAGCACAAAAATATCATGATTATAACGAGATACTGAAATGCACAGTTTCTGAATTTTAAAGGTTAATTAACGTTTGAATAGTATTAGTTGAATATGTGAAATTATAAATAAATAACTGAGATTCCTTACCACCATCATCTTTCATAGACTGAATAAAACTCCTCATCTTGCAACCTTCTTTGTTCAGTTATTATAGAACAGTATTTGAAATTTGAATTTGACCTCAACCAGAAGTCAGAGAGATAGATAAACAAAGAAAGTTTGAATGCATTAATATTTTATTCATTGTAGCAAATTATCAATGAATCACACCAAGATAGCTAACAAAGTTAACAAATTATTTTCAAATCATTTTATATGATATTCAAAGTTAACAAATCATAACGAAATCACACCATTCTAGCTAACAAAGTTAACAAATCTCTTTCAAATCATTTCATACGATATTCTAAGTAAACAAATCATAAAGAAATCACACAAAATAGTACATGTGTTCACATCAGGAGAAAATAAAAACAACTGATGACAGAGCTATGACAAAACAATCAAATACTCTTTATATACAATTCAGCGTTTTTCAACACATTATTTGTAAAAATACAACCATAAATGCCTCCAATAAACGTGTTTTTATATGAAATATATAGCCCAAAAATGTAGGTGACGAAATCTTTTTGGCCATGTACTGTAGCGGCGTTTCCGCTTTATATAATAGAAGAAATCTCAATATTTTTTAAATACATCGTTTACCTTTCTATAAGATCTATAGTTCTGTCTCTTGTGACAGCTCCACGTAACGTTAGTTCTGGAACAGACCAGGTGATGTAATCATCGGATGCCATTGTTTACGTTGTAAATACAGATGCAAGCGTTTTACGTGATTGAAGCGTTCAAGTAACCACTTATGGAACCGCAGCGCCGCCATGCGTGAAAAGTCGTGAATGATTCCTATAGCGATAAGGTGTATTAGATATACTGTTCCCAGGTTTATGCTTTCAGATTTTCTGATGTTGATTTTCTAAAAAAAAAAACCATAAAAAAATCATAGTTCCTCAATAAATTATATTTTATAATCTCATTCTAAACACATGTTAAATTAAATTTTTAATGCACTTATCTGAAAACATCTTCACATGGAATCTTCTATTTTGCTACAGCGTAATCACATTTTGATGACGTTTTTATTGAGTACACTAACGTCGAGGTGACAATCTCGCCCCATATTATATCGGCCAGAAGTTGATCCGTCCCCGTAACGGTATTATAAAAATAAATCAAGGGTGTCGTATAAAAGTATTTGTTACTGGCCAGTTTTTAAAAATAAGAAAAAAAACCTTTAATTTAATCGGCACAGGGTGCATGCGGATGAACTAGTGGCCGCATTATCTAGGACGGTATTTTCTAGGGTCGGACTGTTCAGTACAATTACTAAAAACCACGTGGTCATGACTTGTTTACATAAGTTGAGAACCAAGGTTTTACGATGTCGATCGTTGGCCTATCATTGATCTGATAATTTTTCTATGTTATTTAAATGCCGGACAACAGGTAGAAAATCAGAAACGATCCAGCTTGTCTGGCAAAACAGCCGTTGGCGTTTCTCGGGCGCCCTGTCGTTTTTATCTCGAAAATCTCGGCATTTTTCTGACTTTGAAATACTGTCAAACTGAAATTCGTAATTCTTCCATCAACAGGAAGTTCAGCTAGCTGTGTAAACTGTCAAATTAAGTGACCCATCAAGTGCAGGGCTTCACCTGACAGCTTTGGTGTCAAACACACTGTTAACTAACACAAATAACCTTTGCTTTATGTCATAAATAATTTGTGTATTTCAAAAATGTTTCAGTTACTTCCCCTTTTTTATCACCTTTTCACAATATATTCCTTAAATTTATTGTTTTTTTTCTAAAAAAAAAAATAAAATAAAACAAATTGAATGCAAATGCATATCAGAATATTACTTTTAATTATTTTTAACCTGAAAACACTTAAAATATAATTATTTGAAAATTATTTTTTTCATCTTTACTTCCATTAATTGATCTATCAAGTGCATTCAAATTATAATTCAAATTTTTCATTGATAGAGGACAACTTTTATTTTTAGAAGCATTAAGTGGGGGAGAGGCATTAAAAAAAGGGCATCCAATTTTTCAAAGCAGCAGTTTTTAAGTGGGGTCATTCAAAATATCAGACATAAGGACTTGTCACATGAAATATTCATGATTTTTTTCATCTAATTATTGAACATATTTCCTCAGCCAAAAATAGTCCAAATAAACAACAAAATCCTAGAACAAATTACATTTTGCATCGGTATTATTAATGCAGTTGGTCACTCATAATTCTGAGTCATTATCATGCAGCTTTATTCATGGTTATTCGTGTTTGTCACACAATCGAGAAATATTTTAAGTCCAAATTTCATTCATCATTATTCATCCTTATTCATGTTATATGACTATTAGAAAAATTCTAAGTCCAAACATTCAAGTTTATTCATGTTTATTCATGTCCCAAAAAAAGGTTTCTTTTGTCCCCAAATTAGTTTTAGAAAGAAGAAAACTTCATTATAGTAATCTTTAGGCATTTTAACAATTCTTTTTGATTGTCTTCATACAGTTATTAAGAATTCATGTATATTCCAGTTTATTCATGCTTCTTATTCATGAATAATTTTGACACTGGAATAGAACCCATGAATAAAACTGGAATATTCATGAATATTCATGAATATTCTTCCTAATTCATGAATATATGAATATCATGAAAGCAGGGTGGTTTTGTGTAAATATGTTGAATTTTTCATTAAATCACCCAATGTGATGCAATATTACAATTAAAATTCAGTATTCTCGCTGTCGGCCACGTTCAATTTTTTAAATATAAAGACAAGCCCTGTCCATGTCTACAGTCAATAAACTTTTCCATCTTTAGAGAATAATTATTCCCAGCACATGAATTACTTTCTTATGACATACTGGATTTGTGTATAACAGTTGTTTTTTCCATATTTTCACCAGCTTTGATGCAATTTACAATTAAAAGTGACCATTCAAGCTGTCGGCCATGTTCATTCTCTTCAATACAAAGACAGACACCTCTCCATGGCTACAGTTTATAAACTTGTCCATCTTTAGAGAATCATTGTTCCCAGCACATGAATTACTTTCCTATGACATACTGGATTTGTGTATTTCAGTTGTTTTTTTCCATATTTTCACCCACTTTGATGCAATTTACAATTAAAAATCACTATACAAGCTGTCGGCCATGTTCATTCTCTTCAATATAAAGACAGACACCTGTCCATGGCTACAGTTTATAATTGTCCATCTTTAAAGAACAATTGTACCCATCACAGGAATTACTTTCCCAAGACATACCGGTTTTGTGTATATAAATTGTTTTTTTCATTATTTCCACCACTTTGATGACATTTACAAGTTTATATACATATATATTTACATTCAGTATCTGACAGCATTTTTTTTTTAACAGGATCCTGCATGTTATAAAAGAACAAAGATGTTGATCAAATTTACCTAACAGTGCAGCATACAAGAGATGTAATATCATACATGTGCTGAATATAGGACTCCCTAGCCTTTCTGATTGAAAAAAAAGATTCCCTGGCAGACAGGAACAACTATTAGTGATGACTGTTTTCAAATGTTAGTGCATAGTCATGTTGTGGACCGATTACATGTACTACTATCAATGTGATACTAAAAAATGGTTTTGTAAGAGAGAAAATGACATGTGCTTATCCTGACTGTGAAAGCACCATATTATTGTAGTTCAAATATCATAGTTCATATGCCAAACTTGATGTACATGTGTATGCGATTTTTGTGCAAGTGATGGTGACATCATTGAACTAAGAATAAATACAAGACTCCGCATTCAATCTATTGAATTTGAAACAGAAGTGGCAGTTGTGCAGAGACTATACGGAAAAAAATGCAAATAAATATCTTGTGTTCTACTTCGTTTGTCTTCTTTACGTTTACAAAGTATACATGTACATAATTTTTACATACATGTATAACAATATGATGATGTAGTATGATTGCCAATGAGACAATGATTTACATGTATGACTATCATTGGAAGGCCACTCTATAATATCTTTGTACATCATGAGAATGGAAATGCTACCTTTGTAGCATAAAGGTAGCATAATGTAAAAAAAGGGAAAATGTTCATTTATTCAACAAAACTCCTGTGAATATATAACTTGACAATACTAAAGGCAAAATATTTCGTTTCACAAATTCCTTCCTCTCCTCTGAAAATAACATATTTAATTGTTTACATGAAATGACAAAATGTGTAGAATAAGAAGCAAGAAATGTTCACTCTACTTGTACACTACTAGTCGCTCATATTAGTCATCATCTATGTTTGTTTCAGTCCTTTAGCAATGGTGCTTGTTTATATTTATCTGTTGTGTTGTGTTGTTTCAGTTTTACATGTCCTCATTCTGTGATCACTGTTTCACCTCGCCTATTTTGAAAAATGTTTATGCAAATATTTTCTGCAATAAATTGAAAAGGCACAGCTGCTATGACTATTCAGAAATGTGAGGTATATGTCAATGAGACAACAACCCAACGACAAAAATATTCTTTGCACATCTATGAATGTTTAAGAATTCTTGTGGAGGTCAAAAGTACATAACATGTACTTATATATTGGTGACCTGGTACATGTATGTACCTATTGATGCATTCCGTCCTAAACATAAGTTGTGTGAAGAGACCAAGCAGTTAATATGATTATAAAAAAACTGATATTAAAATGAATTCCTGTATAACAAATTCCGGGAATGAGACACTATTTTATTTAAACCAGATGAAATATTAGTGGTAAAGGTTTAAACAGAAGCAGGAGATGTCAAGGGGCAATACAAAAAGTACAAGGTCATGTAACACATGAAAAAATGACAAATGAAAAGAAAATAACAGCTCACATAGCACTGCACCGAAACATAAACCCACAAAAGATCAGATAAAACTTGTCTACAATTTTAAATCTTTCTAATTTCAAACTCGAGTTTCACTACCCGATAGGAAAGAGTAAAGATAAGGATGTTGCAGTACTTCTGTGGTCTATGAAACAGAACATTAAAATTCTACAGTTCAGCAGAGCATTTTACTGTACTTATGATACACATTGTTTTTAATCAGGGTCTGTGATATTAAGTCTATAAAAAACTACAAATAATGACAGATTTATATTCAATATTTCATGACAGCAAAAATAGTGATTTCGACAACACTGTACATAATGTACTTTCATTTAGGAAATTCATGCAAAGGTTCCACAAATAATGTAATTGTAGGTCAATCAAAAATTAATCATTTAAATCAGTTTTCCACAGACAAATTTCTACTGGCTACATATTTTTTTTTATATAAAAAAGTTGCTTTCTGATTTCTTTTTTTGACATGTTAAATGACTATTTTTGTTCCTGATTGAATACTATAGTAGAATGTAGGACAGTAAGTCACAGGACAAAAAGTCACGGACGAAAAGTCACAGGACAAAAAGTCACAATTCAGTTTTGAGATTATTTTTCTCTGAACAAGAAAACACTAATTTTAAAAATAATTTTTGGATTTTTTATTGAACTATAATATATGAAGCAACTTTGTAATTAAAATTTATTCAATAAATATCAATGATGATCAAATAATTGTTATGATAACAAAATGTCAAAGTGGATTGGCACTTAAATGGCTTCATGGTGCCAAGAAATATATTATTTGCATGATTAAAATTTAATAATTTTTCATTTATCAAGGCTTATGAACAATTTCCTGAACTTAAAAATGAATAAATGTAAAAAAAGATATTATTTGAAGATCTTTCTCTTATATATTCAAACAATTTTCAATAAATTATTTGTGACTTTTTGTCCTATCCAATTTGTGACTTTTTGTACTGCGACTTTCTGTCCGTTTACCCTATTCATAGTAAAGCCCAGTGTTTCTGTTAAAATAAAGTTCTGGTCATGGTTAAAATAATGTCAGAATTTGTTTAGTTGTAAAAACAATTACTAAGTAATAATCCACTTAGAACTTCACCTCCGGCAAAATTCAGGTGATCGGAGGGCAATAAATTGCGTAATCGCACACCTGTGAATCCACAGTCACAACTCTAAGGAAATAATGACCGGAAAATCGGACACACATAATTTCACTGTGTAATTTAGAAGCAAACTTTAGCAAAGAAATGTTTCTTGTAATATCATGATCATAACCAGATTTTACTTTTTAAATTAAAAGAAATGCCGAAAAAAAGAAAAAAATATTTTCTCAATCAAATACATTAAAAAAAATACAACTATTTCAAGTAGTTTTTTAGAAAAAGAATTTATTTGATCTGAAATAAGTTTTCCTATTACTTTTCTTGATTAGCTATCGAGGTTATTCATCCCTGACTTGTCTACATGTTGTAGAATAATTATCGACGAGAATCTCATTCTGGGCCGCGTTTTTTAACGGGATTTCACAGAGTTGCCAATCTCTGTGTATATATGTCTCTGTTTTGGCTATTATAAATTAATATATGCCATATAGTGAATATTTTGTAAAACTATTTGAATAAATTAGATTTGATTAAAACAGAACATTTTTATGTCTCTTTTTTGCAGGCTATTGAAGAAGATGGAACACAGCAAAACTCACTTGAAGTTGGAACATATTTTATCAATAAGTTAAGAGAACTGCAGAATGAATTTGATGTTATCGGAGATGTAAGGGGCAAGGGACTTATGATTGGTCTAGAATTAGTATCAGACAGGGTAGGTGTGAATTTAATGTTATTGGAGATGTAAGGGGCAAGGACTTATGATTGGTCTAGAATTAGTATCAGACAGGGTAGGTGTGAATTTGATGTCATCAGAGATGGAAGGGGCAGTGACTTATGATTGGCCTAGGAAGAGTAGCAGACCAGACCCATTAATAGGGTTTCTAAAACAGCCATATTTGCCAGACATATACTTTTCTTTCAATAAAGGTCCAATTACAATAACACTGGAAAGAGAATTTCATTTGATAAAGAAAAAATTAAAATTTAGACGTCTTTTTTGGCCTGACAGTTTTCACTTCCAGTCATAAAAGTGACACTAAGAGTAATTATTGTAAAGACAAGCTCTTTTAAACTTCATCAAAACAGTTATTAGCATGTGTTAATTGACACTTGTGATTTACTTGTTCACTTGACAGTCAACAAGTACCAGACATCAATCTGGCTTTTGGAAGTTGTAATTCATGTTTAACTTGTTAGACACTAATTATTTAAGCATGACAAAATTTCAAAATAAACAATTAACAATTCATAGAATTGTTATAATGTATTCATGTTTCATGAGTATGTTAGACAAGACACCATCTAATTAACCGTTGAGATGATCTCTGAAGAATACAGAGGGTTATATCACCTGACATAATCATAATTATGAATATAAATACATTGCATGTGCAATCGTTTTCTAGCTAGGTCTGTTTGATTTCATGCCATAAATTTAAAAAATATGTAAATCATTCTTTTACCTGTATAAGAATGAATTTCAATGTGCTCAAATCAGTCAAGGCAATTGTTCTTCGGTATGGCTCCCTTGTTTCACTTTTCAATGTTGACATTCTTTTCTTTTTGATAACTGAAAATGCTTAGCACATGTGTAACCATCTCCAGCTAAGGGTTAAAATGAAGGTGGCATGAACACAGATTCAAAATAGTTTGAATTATTGACTTCCAAGCCGATAATACAGTAGCAAGGTAATTGAACTTATTTTGACCAAAGTGAATGATTAACAGGGTAATATTATTTCAAAATTTTGCTTTTAAAAAGGTTTGAAAAAAAAAAACATTTTGATTTTTTGTCAAAATCGTAGCTGCCTCTTTCTTCCCGTGCCTTGCTTAAATCTATGGTAATTTTATGATTAATGATACTGCCAGAGGAAACAAAAGTGAAAATTGTATTTTTGTATAAATATTTATTACACAGGAAAAGAGAACACCATTGCCAGCAGATAGTGTTGGTAAGATCTGGGAAGACATGAAAGATATGGGTTTATTGGTTGGAAAAGGAGGACTTTATGGCACAGTGAGTTTATTTATATTCTGTTAGATGATTATTAAAACTGTTCTGAATATTTGAGAGAATGAAAGATTCAATACGAATAGTCATAGAGGATGAAAGTTGTTGCATTCCTATATGCCACCTGATCATTTATATCATCCATATGTATAGTGATGGTTGTGTCTGTTGATCTTTTTAGCTCACCTGACCTGAAAGGTCAAGTGAGCTTTTCTCATCACTTTGCGTCCGTCGTCCGTCGTCCTGCGTCCGTCGTCCTGCGTCCGTCGTCCGTCGTCCGTAAACTTTTACAAAAATCTTCTCCTCTGAAACTACTGGGCCAAATTTGACCAAACTTGGCAACAATCATCATTGGGGTATCTAGTTTAAAAAATGTGTCCGGTGACCCGGCCAACCAACCAAGATGGCCGCCATGGCTAAAAATAGAACATAGGGGTAAAATGTAGATTTTGGCTTATATCTCTGAAACCAAAGCATTTAGAGCAAATCTGACATGGAGTAAAAATGTTTATCAGGTCAAGATTTATCTGCCCTGATATTTTCAGATGAATCGAAAACCCGTTGTTGGGTTGCTGCCCCTGAATTGGTAATTTTAAGGAAATTTTACCGTTTTTGGTTATTATCTTGAATATTATTATAGATAGAGATAAACTGTAAACAGCAATAATGTTTAGCAAAGTAAGATCTACAAATAAGTCAACTTGACCAAAATGGTCAGTTGACCCCTTAAGGAGTTATTGCCCTTTATAGTCAATTTTTAACCATTTTTCGTAAATTTTTGTAATCTTTTACAAAAATCTTCTCCTCTGAAACTACTAAGACAAATTTAACCAAACTTGTCCACAATCATCATTAGGGTATCTAGTTTAAAAAATGTGTCCGATGACCCCGCCCGCTAACCAAGATGGCCGACATGGCTAAAAAATAGTACATAGGGTAAAATGCAGTTTTTGGCTCATATCTCTGAAACCAAAGCATTTAGAGCAAATCTGATGAGGTTAAATTGTTCATAAGGTCAAGATCTATCTGCCCTGAAATTTTCAGACCAATCAGGCAACACGTTGTTGGGTTGCTGCCCCTGAATTGGTAATTATAAGAAAATTTTGCAGCTTTTGGTTATTATCTTGAATATAATTATAGATAGAGATAAACTGTAAACAGCAATAATGTACAGCAAAGTTAGATCTACAAATAAGTCAACATGACCAAAATTGTCAATTGACCCCTTAAGGAGTTATTGCCCTTTATAGTCAATTTTTTACAATTTTCATAAATTTTGTAAATTTTTGTAAATTTTTACAAAATATTTTCCACTGTAACTACCGATCCAAGTTCATTATAGATAGAGATAATAGTAAGGAGCAAGAATGTTCAGTAAAGTAAGATCTACAAACACATCACCATCACCAAAACACAATTTTGTCATAAATCCATCTGTGTCCTTTGTTTAATATGCACATAGACCAAGGTGAGCGACACAGGCTCTTTAGAGCCTCTAGTTTTTTTGTCATCTGCTTTTTATTTGTATCTTTGATTTCCACTTTTAAAACTAGTAATTCAACAGAAAAAAGGGGGTATTGAATTCCGAACTCTGTCCTCAGGATTTCTAGTATCTAATTAACAATTATTCATGAGATGATTGCTCATGGTTTATGGCAATTTTTTTATAAAAATATTTATTTATTTATTTAGTCCATCAAATGGCCAAGTTGAGTCATGGTAGCTTACTTAGTTACTTATGTTAGAAGTCAATTTCCATTTGGGTCAAAGCAAAGACTTTACAATTGTTACTTGCTGCTTCTCTGCCATTTAGGAGTAATAGCAAAGACTGGCTGGTGTCATATGGTATTTTGAACCCCCTAAAAAGTGAACCTGGGGTCAAAATACCATGCGGTATAATGACCCCGGTATCAGTCTAGTGCAAAACAGGGAATATTCATATCTTGATAATAACATGATATGATCTTGATTATGCATGTAATACTGTAAATTCAGAATTTTTGGTAAATATTGCAACAGGATATGTTTTGGCAATAATAAATACTGACATTCTATTTGTTCATAGTATTGTAAGTTTTGTAGGTTATCCTGAAATCCCAATAATTAATCTTCATTTGTGTCCTTTGTTCAAAAATTACAAATTGAAATGCATGAAAAAATTTCTGAAATTTACAGTATTTGCTTCTTAATTTTTAGCAGCCATCAATTTCTTGTGTGTACCCTTATAGTTCCAATTTAAGATTAAGGATGCACTTAAGGTGGTACATAACACTACAGGGTGATAACTCTGTGAAAATCAGCTGAACGCTTTAATCACATTCTATTGTTAAGGAAATATTAAGCTTCTCAATGTTCAAAACTAGTGTTTGTCAAACTGCTATATATCCAATGAAATTTTTCCGATAAAGTGTGTGGTTCAAGTTTTTTGAAATTTTTTATATTTTTGTCAAAGGGTCAGAGTAAATATTTTGTCAAAATTTTATGAAAATTAAACTAGCCAAATTAGTTTTAGTTAAGGTGTTTGGTACCACCTAAGGTCAGATTTAGGAATTTTTTTGTCAGATGTTCGGACTCCTCGGTTTTTAGCTCACTGGGCCCAAAGGGCCCCATGTGAGCTTATGCCATCACTTTGCGTCCATCGTCGTCTGTCGTTGTCTGTTGTCGTCGTCGTAAACTATTTCAAAAATCTTCTCCTCTGAAACTACTTGGCCAAATACCTTCAAACTTTAAATGAATGTTCCTTAGGGTATCTAGTTTATAAATTGTATCCGAAATTTTGATCCCTCAACAAACATGGCCGCCATGACTAAAAATAGAACATAGGGGTCAAATGCAGTTTTTGGCTTATATCTCAAAAAGTAAAGCATTTAGAGCAAATCTGACATGGGCTAAAAATGATAAACAGGCCAAGATCTACCAGCCCTGAAATTTTCAAACAAATCAAACAAACCATTGTTGGGTTGCTGCCACTAATTTGGTAATCTTCGTCGTCTCTCGTCGTAAACTATTTCAAAAATCTTCTTCTCTGAAACTACTGGGCCAAATACATTCAAACTTTAAATAAATGGTCCTTAGGGTATCTAGGTTAAAATTGTATCCGAAGTTTTGATCCATCAACAAACATGGCCGCCATGGCTAAAAATAAAACATAGGGGTCAAATGCAGTTTTTGGCTTACATCTCAAAAACTAAAGCAGTTAGAGCAAACGTGAAAGAGAGTTAGAGTGATGATTAGGTAAATATTTATCTAATATGAAATTTTCATGCCAATTGGAGAATTTTGAGAATTTATTGTTGGGTTACTGTTAGAAGTAGTTATTTATTAGGAAATTTTAGATTTTGATTATTTTCTTGAAAATTATAGTAGATAAGAAGAAAGTGTAAATGAGAAAAATAGTATTGATCTATCTGCATGAACATGTTCAGAACAAATTGCCAATCTGTTGTTGGGTTACTGTAGGAAATTTTTTTTTTTGGGAGAAATTATAGTTTTGGTTATTTCCCTTGAAAGATTTATTTTTCACAATTTTCTTCTTGAATCATTACTTTTTCTCTAAAACTACAAGACTTAATTCAACTCCTTTTCACCAGGTTTACTTATAGATAATAGATCAACTTAGAATTTTGTTCCAATACAATGATTTTTTACCAATAGGGGATTATGTATTGCCATGCAATACTCACAGAATTCTTGTTATATTTCATCTCTAAAGCACTAAGAACATACCGGTAACTTAGATATTTATTTTGAGGCATATATAACCCCCCCCCCAAAAAAAAAGGTGCATTTTTAAGCAAACACCAATATACATTATTACTCAAAAATATAAATCATGATTGATGGAATGAATTAAGCTTTAACAAATCAGGTGAGCGATTCAGGCTCTTGAGAGCCTCTTGTTTTTCCTACGATACAGGGTAAAATATTTTGCCCCATAACACCCATTTTTCTTTTCATATAAGACTTCAATAGCTCATAAAAGGTCATTTACCAAAATTTAAGCAGATTCTAGATTTAAATCTTTCAATTTAAGACCCAAATAATACCAATATGAATATAAGGTAAAAGTCCTAGTCAGCTTTATCTCACAATTTTTTAAAAATTAAATATCTTGAAAAGGAGCTCCATAACCTATCAATATTTTTAGCTTATTTTGTTCCTTAGCTAATGCTCTTCTGACTTCTTGTATCAATTTTAAATTCTTGATTTTTTTAATTTCACCTAATACATCCTTGAGTAAAAATAAAATGCAAATTACAGGTTAGAAATCCAACATTACTTACAGCAATAGTTTATTATTATTATTTACAATTTTTTGACTCATTTTTGAAATGTTAAATATTGAAATCTTTTTTTCAGACACTAAGAATTAAACCACCCATGTGTATAACTAAAGAAGATACAGACTTTGCAATTGATGTTATGAAGAAAGCGTTTCAGAATTTCTGTCAGTGAAAAGAAAATTCAAAATAATAACTAGAAGTATTATATGGTGCTAACTTCTGCAAGATTATGATATTTAGTATATTTTGTATGCTTAATTTAATTTTTACATGAAGTTTATATAAAATTCAACCTGGTCATATGAGACAGATATAAAGCATGAAGAAATATTTGCAAGTTTTCATTAAACCATTTTTGACCAGGGTACAATTATTAAAGTTATGTTTTTATCTGAAGTTTTTTCATGTTTATTTTTTACAGTAAAAATGATCAAGTATTCAATGCATATTATATAAAAGATCTAAAAAGAGCTACTACCTCCTTTTTACAAAATATGTAATTATCTCCTTTTGTTCAGATGCCAGAATCTCCAGAAAAACCATTTGACCTATTACCAGACTTACTTCATCAAAGGGTCAATGCTTGGACAGTTGTTTTTTTGTATACATTTTTAATAATTATTTACAGAATTGAATGAAAATCATGATTTTTATTTACCTAAACTCAATTAAGTGTCTATTTTAGCTTTGTGGATTCTCCATTGACCACTTATGTTTAAAATATTAACAAAAATCATCATTTTGTTTGAAATTATTGCAGATAATATAATGTATATACTAGTTCATCAGTTTTATTTCAACAAAAATTAAAAATGAATACATTTACATTTGCTAGAGAATTTTTATATCAGGATAATTTGTCATACAATTGGAATCAAATAAATTTTTGAGCTGATTGATATAAACTTTTCTTTGAGAATGGTGTCAGTGGTCATGGGGTGAATGTTTAGCATCCAGTGTTAAAAGTATCTTTTAGAGAATATGTATTTGCTATACAATCAGAACTAGATAATCAGATTTCATTGCTGATTGACAGTAATTTGTTTTCTTCTAAGAAGAATGGTTTTATTAGTCTTGTAGTGCAAGCTGGTATTCACTGTTAAAGGTTGTGGGATTGATCCATATCCAGGTCTTATTTTGGTGTTATAATTCTTTTTTGTTTTGGTATGATAGATATTGATATGTCTAATTACCTTTTTTTTATTACTTTCAGTCTGATTTGATTTTGTTATTCATTTGTAAATAAACCCTAATCTTCTAAAATATACAAAATGACAAATCAAATTAATCAAACATTCAACACTTCTATGTCATTTGGTCTCTTATTTTTATATTACAATAAGATTTGCAAAAAATTTCATAAGCTGAGCAAACATTTCTATAAGATGTACTATGCAGAATGTTTTGGTATAGCGTAGCAGAGCTTAAATTGAGTTCCTCTGAGGTCATTTATGTTTGAACTGTTAGAGAAAATATTAACATTCATCAAACGATAAATTCCTTTCCTTTGATTCATATTTTGCTTGTTGCTGTTTGAATAGAACTTTTCTTGCAATACTATTAATCAATACTAGTTAAAAAAAAGAAAAAAAAAGGTATAATGTTGTTTGACATATTTTAAGCTGTTTTAGATTAATTTTTTTTGGAAATCCTTTCTCAAATTTCAGGAAGAACAAAACTTTGCAAGAAGTCGTACTGAACGAAGATAATAAATATAAAAAATGAAATTTAAATGTTTTAATCTGTTGATGCTGTGCAGTCAACAGTAGTATATGTATTTAAGCATGGGGTTAATTAGACACTTTTGTATATTTTATAGAGCATATATCAATCTTTTTAGTTGAAAATGTGCACTGCTTTTTTTCTAGTCATAGTTATTATAATGAAATCAATTTTAGTAATATAAGTATATGTTTTTATCCAACGCAATCATAGGTTTGAACATTGTTTTCAATTTAGACTTGTTTATATATATATATATATATATATATATATATACATCTCATGGATATGTCTGATATATTATGGAAGAAACTGGTCTGCAGTCTTACATTTTTATAATTAGAGTGTATGTTTTTTGTAATAATTGACAGGGTTAAAAAGAGTGGATTATCATTATAAATTACATTACATATTTATAATTATGAAAAATTTGATGTAATTTAATTAAAACCAAAAAATATCTAGTCTACATTTAAATTATTTATGCATATTATATTACATTAAGTTGCACATTATAGTCATAAAACTTTTACAACTGTTTCATAGGCTGATATTCAGTGCATATCTATATAGTATTTTTGTATATATATATGTTTTTATATCTAAGTGTTGATGGCTTTATATAACATCACTGCAATTATAAACTGGGTATATTGATATTATATATGAATAAATACATTTACAAATTACATGTTGTACTTTTCGTCCTACTTTATTTATTTCAATTTCTACAATCAGAGATTCTGACACAAACCATTCACGCAACTGTCTTGAATCCTTAAAGTAAAAACTAATCAAGTCAATCACAATTATTTATATAAAAGAAGAAAAAGAAAAGAAACATACCAATTTCCTGCAGAATATTCATTTTCATCCTATCTGGTGCAAAGTTATTGTTTCAAGTTATGGTGTAATACCACCATTGATTTTCCCCTATTAGTCTTTGTTAAATTTGCACTTTTCAAAAAATTGTGCAGAATTTATCTTTGTTTCAAATAAAGAAATACTTGGCATGAGTAAAGTTTTATCCTGTCCAGTACTATAGAAAAAATTTCACATAACATTTCATTGCATATAAGAAAATAACCATCACTGGAAGTTAACCAATCAAATTTCCCCCCTTTTTTAACCTGTGTACAAGCTTTAGTAACCATGTAACCTCAAGTTTCCAAAATATTCTATTGAAACCCCAAATAAAGAAATAATGGTGCTTTGAAATACCCAAGATATATGTTTATGACTCAGAAATGTTTTACTGCAATGAAATGTAGGATCAATTACCTACAACTGTCAAATTCAAGGGAATATTTTTTTTCGACCTATTTTCGTATGCAACCGGATGTGACGTACTATGATTTGGTGGTATTACACCTAAAAAAGACTTTTTTGTTGAATAAACTGAATGTGACTTTTTTCCTTTGTAATACTGGTTATTTCAAGCATTCCTGTCAAGTTTTGTCATAATCAGTTCAATAGTTTGAGAAAAATCTAGTATAATGTAAGACGACATCTACAGCGATTCGAGCAAAATTTCTTCAAAAAATTCAAACCAAGCCGCATCATGATAGAATATAGTGTGGACCAATAAATGATCAAATATTTATCTCATCTGCCTACAAACAGTTGAATATGATACAAAAGATGACTTTAGGATGATAAATACTACTAATGGACCTCTTATTCTTCCTTATAAAGTCTCTTTTGGTCCATTTATACCTCTCATTTCCTCAAAATTTCTACTTTTTAAGCCAATAAATAAAAATTTTGGGGTAACTTTCACTCATTTATGATAGGAATGTTATTATAAATGATTAATTGAAGTATTCAAGCTGCTTGAACTATCCGTATAAAAGTTTACTGTCTCCAAGGAGGTTTCAATAAGTCCTTGCGTAAAACTTAAATTTACGCCACGTTCCAGAGAGGGACATAAAAAACTTCTCTTTTGGTGAATAATTTGTTGTTACTGCTTTAAAAATAATTTCATTTACTTAAAACTATATATTTATTAAAGTATTTCTTAGGAAAAATTTTCTAGTATAGCAGAATATAAGAAATAAGGAGAAAAAGCTCCCCAAGACTCTAAGTATGGCTTGTTCTGTCAACTAATATTCATGGTAAAGTCCTATTTCAAGGAAATTTTCTCATAAAATGTATTTTGGAGACTCAATCCACTCAGAATATTTCATTATTTGTAATATTTCACTTAAATAGCAAGAAGTTTTAACACATGTGAGTACTCACAAGGTCAAAGGTGCATGTACAGCTTCCCATATTAGGTGTAATACCACCATTGATTTTCCCCTATTAGTCTTTGTTAAATTTGCACTTTTCAAAAAATTGTGCAGAATTTATCTTTGTTTCAAATAAAGAAATACTTGGCATGAGTAAAGTTTTATCCTGTCCAGTACTATAGAAAAAATTTCACATAACATTTCATTGCATATAAGAAAATAACCATCACTGGAAGTTAACCAATCAAATTTCCCCCCTTTTTTAACCTGTGTACAAGCTTTAGTAACCATGTAACCTCAAGTTTCCAAAATATTCTATTGAAACCCCAAATAAAGAAATAATGGTGCTTTGAAATACCCAAGATATATGTTTATGACTCAGAAATGTTTTACTGCAATGAAATGTAGGATCAATTACCTACAACTGTCAAATTCAAGGGAATATTTTTTTTCGACCTATTTTCGTATGCAACCGGATGTGGCGTACTATGATTTGGTGGTATTACACCTAATTGCCAGACGATTTATTTCCTAATTACACCTTATGTAAGAATCCTGGGTTTTGATTGGTTGATATCCAGTGTATTTTTCACCAATTTACTGTTATCAAATGAATATCGTTCATTTTTTAACGACGCCGGGGTATATGCAAAAAGGATATGCTTTTTTTACCCTCTCTGTCATGGTATTTGCCAAAAAATACTCTATCCGACTGGACGCTTGTAACGTCACGATCATCAATGCGTTTTTGAACGTTAACATTCAGTGTTATTAAACAGATATAGCATGTTCTTGAGGGGTATTTGTGAAAAATATCAGTCTTTAGATTGAATTTCCCTCGCCTTATGGCTCGCGAAATTTAACATTCTCTCGACTGGTATTTTTCGCAAATACCCCTCCTTAACATGATATATCAGTTCAAAACACCCCCTCAAAGGTCCATAATATATAATAAATAAATGGAGAATGTTTCCATGGGACACAGATGATGCCCCCGCTTGCATATAATGTTATAAAGGGGCATAACTCCAGAACGATAAAAGTGACGCCACCAAAATTCGAACTTGATCTGTATTTTGTGGTAATAAGCATTTTGTGTAAGTTTCATAACATTTGGTTGAGGCAAACTAAAGTTAGAGAATAGAACTAGTTTTGGGAAGTATGTACGGACAGACGGACAGACAAGGGTAACACTTAATGCCCCCTCTGATGAAGGTGGGGGAATAAAAGGGATAGACCAATGGACAGACAAACTAAAAACCGACGGACAAGGTCATTGCAATATGCCACCCATTCTGTGAGTGGGGGTATGCTAATTGAGCTATTATTTACAGTTAAAAACTAGCTTTATCACAAAAATGTTAATCAAGTATTAAGACAAAAATGAGGTCAGGTGACAGACAGGCAGTTATCAAACAAACTACAGTGTGCTACTACTGCCATGTGAGTAGTAACTGAGAAACTTAACCTAATAAACACAAAAAATTTGACTGATCAACAAACTATGAAAATGGGGATAAGAAAAAAATAAGGTGGTAGACAACATATATTTAGCTATTACTTAGGGAGCTACCATTTGATTTTTATGGGGGGGCTAGGATGCTGGACAGTTGGAGACATCCATCAGTTACTCTGTCCTTCAGTTTTTCTGTCCCTCCCTCTTGTATATTCTTCTGACCTTAAACCACTTGTCAGAACTTTGTGTGAACCTTTCTCAGAATCTTACTCGCATGATGTACTTTTTGACCTCTTATTTCATTTGTCCATGTGAATGATTTTTAGTTTTTATTTTTGTTTGAAATGGACTTTGTCATATACATGTACTGCAGTACACATTTGTATCCAAGAATTAAAAGAAACTCTCAGAATAATCATCAAATACATGTATAATGCCATTGTGCACCAATATTTCATTTTTAGGCAGTTAAGCTGCCTTATGCGAGCACCCTAGATTTGTGTTCTACCAAATAAATGCTGAAATAAGTGCCATTGTTATTATCTAGCTGGCTATTATGTTATTTATAACTAATTGGAAATTTTTTTAATACTTTTATTTCTGGAATACAAAAAATATGACCAGAAAAACCTTAAATGATCGTCGAACTACCCGAAACTTTTGAAGTTGCACATAGGAAGTAGTGCTCAATAGAAATCCATACATAGTTTATTATCCCCTGTGCTTTTGGCTGCGATGTCAAAGAACAATTGTATGAAATATTTCATCGCCAAAAAGTACAAGTCGTTTATATTTCCCAAATGGCAAAATGCGCAGGAATATTGTTCATGTACAACAAATCTCTATGATAGAGGAAATAAAGTTATACAAGTGGGCGGCAGTTTTTAACTTATCTTGCCAAATAAGGTTGTTTTGATTTTATGAATGAAACGAGGTCATGAAACAGATGCGGAAATCGACGTTGATGGGATGTTTTAAGTAATGTGTACAACTCGTCCGCTAGACAAGTCGGACTGAATCCACTCAAACCGTCTAAGAAGACAACTTTGACCGTTTGTCAGATTTACTTAGGGTTTCATAAAATATTAGACTAACATGTTAGCGGAGCCATTAATCTTTTGTTTGTGCATTGGGGTCTATTTAGGGGTATTTGGAGGGGCCTGAAGAAGGGAGGGGTTTACTATAGAACCCTATGGGATTTTATTTTTTTAAATTTTCAAATGACTATTTCTCGAAAACAGTAAGTGATAGACACATGCAGTCTTCAGTAATGAGAACAGGACAATAAAAAAAAAATCAACAAAAATATAGGGTGAGTCCCTGGGGGTCATCCCAACCCCCTTCAATTTGAAAATGTACTTTTATCTTGTAAACTGTCGCGATCCCCACCCCTAAACAATAAATATACTTGTATGGGACAATAAAAGAAATCAAATGAAAATAATTTGGGGGAGTCCCCGGTGTTGTCCCATCCCCTCCTGTTTGAGAACTTGGAAATGGTCGAGATCCCCACCCCTAAACCATATATATTAATGTATGGGACAATAAAACAAATCAAATGAAATACCGTATAGCGGGTTATTTTCGCCGGTGTAAAATTTCGCGATTCAGGGACAACAAAGTGTACGAAAAATTTTGGCGGAGTCTTTAATCACAATTAGATATTTTGGCGGATACTGAAATTTTTGCAGTTAAAAGATTGTTAAATTTGACAAACAAGGGTCTATTATTATGGTGAAATGGTTGTTTTACGTGCATGACGTATTATTTATTGATTATATTTTGACACAGTTAATTAATAGATTACCGATAGATAGTTATTTGTCAGAAGTGAACAAACTTCTTGTAAATGTTTCTGTTGATTAGTTACAAAATTGACCACAGGACCTTTGATGTACTAATTAGATTATGAAATTATCATGAGGTACTTGCAACTCTTATAAAATTTGACACTAATTAATAAGGACAAAACACTTGACAGCATTATCTTACTCTCTTACATTATTATTTGGTTTATTATGTAACCAAATCAACTTATTAACACCTGACAACCAGTGAACAATGACATTTGGAATTGATGTTGGTTAAATTAACATAAACCGTTATTGATTCGTAGAATTGCGGAATTTATTTTCAAGATTTCCCCTGACCCGCCAAAATAAGCGAAAATAAACACCCCGCGAAAAATAATCCACTATACGGTATAGGGGGAATCCCTGGGGTCACCCCACCCCTTCCTGTTTGAGAACTTGGAAATGGTCAAGATCCCCACCCCTAAACCATATATATTCATGTATGGGACAATAAAACAAATCAAATGAAATATAGGCGAGTCCATGGGGTCACCCCAACCCCTTTTGTTTGAGAACTTGTAAACAGTCAAGATTCCCACCCCATAACCATATATATTCATGTATGGGACAATATAACAAATCAAATGAAATATAAGGGGAGTCCCTGGAGTCACCCCACCCCCTCCTGTTTGAGAACTTGTAAACTGTCGAGATACCCACACCTAAACCATATTTATTCCTGTTCATCATTTCAAAAAGATTTGAATGACATACAGGGTCAATCTCCTAGGTGTCACATATGCACATCACTTTACTAGACCAAACCAATATGAACTGGACTTTGCCCAATGTCAGGAGACCATGGGAATGACGAATTATGGGGGCTTTGTTTGGGAGACTTCGTAACGGCATCCTGTTACAATTATTTTTTGTTTATTATAAAATTTTATTGATGCAAAAAATGCGTCTAGGTTAATTGAATTTACTTTAATTATTTATTAAATTATTTCTGGGCCTATAATAATTTTCATTTATGGCTCATTTTAAAGAAAACATATAAATCTTTCAAGCAGTGTAATGCCCAAGAATGTTTGACAACTGTTTTTTAATCACCTGTCATTTTATTCCAAACTTGGTATGGAGTAACATCATGCACTTGGGGGTGAAAATGGGGGTCATTTACATTGATATATGAGTTGCTTTTGAAAACCTTGATGAAAAATTTGCCTTAATAATCAATTCATTTAATGAACATAAATGTACAATGTACGAATGTTTCATGTTTGTTCTTTCAAATCTTAAAAAAAAATTGAAGCAACACTGCCACAGTTTTCATAATTACGTTTGCCTTGGTTTTTGGTTAACTGCCTACAGCGCTTACAGTGCTTTGATTTTTATATATTATTTTTCCGGGTTTTTGTTAGCATGCCATGAACTTTGCCATTTGTGTTGGATTGAAACTTTCTTGGACTCTTAACCATATAATGCCATTATGCATCTATTTAGTTTTTTATCTAGAAATTTTTTTGAGTTTCCCCTTTACTCTACAAGGGTTGGTTATCATTTGTGAGCTTTGCTTGTTGTACCTCTAGGTATTTTAATTAGTCCCCTACCGACTAAGTCGAAGGGGACTTTAGGTTTGCACTCCGTCCGTCTGTCCATCCGTCAGTCCGGCAAATCAGATTGCCACACTTTTTTTCTTCATGCTTGAAGATATTGATTTGATATTTGGTATATAGTTTCATCATGACAAGTTACAGATCAATTTCGAATTTTGTTCCGGTATGATGATTTTGTGCAGAGTTATGGTCCTTGGACTTAGAAAATTCACTCAAATCATCAGTTTTCCACACTTTTTTTTGTCATGCTTGAAGGTTTTGATTTTATAATTGTATATAGTTTTATCATGACAAGTTACAGATTGGGTTCAAATTTTGTTCTGATCTGATGATTTTGTGCAGAGTTATGGTCCTTGGACTTAGAAAATTAACTCAAATAATCAGTTGATGGATATAGGAAGATGTGGTATGAGTGCCAATGAGACAACTCTCCATCCAAGTAACAATTTATAAAAGTAAACCATTATAGGTAAAGGTACGGCCTTCAACACGGAGCATTGGCTCACACCGAACAGCAAGCTATAAAGGGCCCCAAAAATTACTAGTGTAAAACTATTCAAACGGGAAAACCAACGGTCTAATCTATATAAAAACGAGAAACGAGAACTAGGTATGAACTACATAAACAGATGACAACTACTGTACATCAGATTCTGACTTAGGACAGGTGCAAAATTTGCAGCGGGATTAAACGTTTTAATGGTACCAAACCTTCTCCCTTTTCTGAAACAATAGTATAACATCACAACATAGAAAGACACACTATAAAATATCAATTGGAAGACTTAACTCAATCAATCTTTATATTTGTTATATATTTTACACCTTGACAAGTTATAAATCAAGTTAGCATTTTGTTCCAGTACAATGAATTCTTAACTGGTAGGGGACTATGTATTGTTATGCAATACTCTCAGAATGCTTGTTGTAACTGAGAAACTGGCCTTACTACAATGACATTTGGTCTCTGGTGGAAAGGTGTCTCATTGGCAATCATGCCATATCTTCTTATTTTTATACTATTTACAGAAACTTAACATTGAATAACCTGTTTGCCCTTTTAAACTGACTTAATTACAAACTTTAACATGTAAACTTTAGTTTCAAAGTCAATAGACCTTGACTGAGGGGCAGGGCAAATTAATCTCCATCATACTGAGATGTGCCAATGCAAAAACAAGTCCATACCATACATATTTACTATGTGGGCAATGAAGACAAATGATGAGGTTTTTTTCAATAGATATTCTTCTCCAGTGAATGAATATCATGAAGTACAGTAAAGATTTTATTACTGTGAATTCTGTCTTATTTTTCTTTACAGAACTTTTTTGTTAGTCTACTAGTTACTAAAAGTGCTTTTGATGTGATTAATAAAACAAAACAAAATGAATCACTTCTATCATGTATAGTTTAATGGATACCAATAACCAAATACATGTTCTGTTAAATCAGAAATAAATGTGTGCATTTATTGTTGCAAATCACTGATTACTGATAAAAATTAGAGATCTAATTTAAAATGTGATTGCAAACATTCTGTGAAAGAAAATCACCACTGAAATTAGAATTAGAAAGTTTTCATTATTGCAAACCTAATACTGTCTCATTTTTGCATTAATGTCAACACTGCAATAATTTCTGAATTTACAGTATATAAATCACAAATCATAACCTATTAAATGAAAATGTACAAACAACTTAAGACTATAAGATGATGGATAGTTAAAAGTGAAAAAGCTATGAAATAGGTAATTAGATTAAACATTGCACATAAAAAACCACAGATAAATCATGCACTTTAATAATATAACACAATAATTCTACAAGCTTTTAATATCAGTCCATAAAACAAACATGCAATTTTCAGAAATAAAAGTGAAACCAAACCAAACCTGTCATTTCATATCTCTTTATATATAATAAGAATTCTGACTGATGCAGCTTTTTTAACTGAAGTTGTTACATAATTTTTCAAAGCATGAACATCTATTATCCTTGCAGTCTAAATATACATCAGAAAAGCTTAATCAACGAATATTCAAATTCATATTGCACAAAAAAATAAAATAATAGCTAATTTGAAAATAAAAAAAAAAAATATTACTAGAGAAATTTTCAATTCAAATGCTTACTTATGAGAAATATTATAAACTGTCGGTGGAGATGGAAAGGAACAAAACAAAAAAGAAAGAGAAGCAGATAAATATCACAAGACCCTGTTGACCTGTATTTTACCTTCAGACCCTTCTGGCAAAAATTCCTGATAAAATGAAATTTGGAATGTCAAAACTTGCCATTGATACTCTTTCATCTTTATGCTTCTCCAAATTCAAGAAAATTTATATATGCCTTGTACTGTCAGCTGTGTACATACTTTTTTATAAAATAAATATCATACACTAAGTAACGAAAACTACACACAGTCTAGTAGTGCAAAATGATAATTTACCCCTAGAAATTAATGGTAAGAAATATTATGTCGAGTTTAAGCAGTAAGTAGCATTACCCTGATAGTATGGTGCAAAGAAAAAACTATTTTTAATGCTGAAACCTTAATTCTACCTTGAAAAGCAACTGAAACTTTGTATTACTGTTACATATTAAATGTACAGTATGTTATTTCAATAAATTAGTACTACCATACGTTTGCATACATACTATGGATCAAACAGTACATACATGAAGAAATAAATATAACATAGTAACAATAGTAACAAACAAACACCTCATGTAGAATAATTATGTGTATTATCTACAGGTAAATAGTCCCAAAGACTCATTTCAAGCATGGGAAATAGACTTGGACATTTAAAATATCATATTTCAGGGGAAATAACTTTAATCTGACACTTGGATTTCCAGATGAAAGTAAATAACAATCTTTGTTTGAAAAAAAAATTGTTTCAAGCAACAATTTCAATGAAGCTAACAAAGCTTGATAAACAAAACCAAATGTTTTATGACCTATTCATTTTTGGAGGATATCTAGTGAACAATAAAAAAAAAATGTGATATTAAAGTCAAAATATCTATAGAATAACTAATCGAAGAATTCAAATAGAGAAAAATATTCAACGAGTTACCGAACAACACATTAATTCACGAATGCGCGTAGCGCATGAGTTAATTATCAGTGTTGTTCGGTCACGAGTTGAATATTTTTCGATATTTGAATTCTTTGATTAGTTATTCTTTTTATTACATTGAAAAATGGCTTTTTTTGTGAAATCAAAGTAGAAAATGTAAGGGACTATATCGTTTTCTACGCATTCACAATTTGTTTTGATCCGACGTTATCGACGTCTTGACAACGCCTATTGTTGTATGACGTCAGAGGAGTGAAATAACCACGTTTATTTCACATGTGAAATTATCGGGTTTTATTTCACTGGGAAATCAATGTAATTCATTGCAACCAATGTAATAAGTTCAAAAAACAATATTGGAAATTAAGTCAAAAACTAATTTTAACAGTAATGATGAATAGACCAGTCTCTAATGGAATGGACTAATCTGTAAACTATAGTATTTTGAAGCATGTTGTGTAAATATTGTTTATTTTCTATTGGTTTTCCCACACTGTCTTAACATTTAAAAAAAGTGAACACATTATACAGAAACTGAGACACTTCATAAGATCAATCAAAACGGATTTCACAGTTATTCCCTTTTGCTTATTTTTCTCATATAAGATAATGTCAAATATTATAATAGCCATCAATTTTCTAAATACCCTTTGCTTATAATTTCTACTTTTTGATTCCTTACCAACCTCATATGATGAAAAAAACGAGGGTGACCTGGGTATTTATACAAAATTGCATTTTTTTCTATCATATATTCAAATATTCTTTTTAAAGTTCATGAGCACATTGAGCAATGTCTCTTCTAGGCCTGTATACAGGAATGTAATGTCATAACTTTATCACATGTCATCAATTACTGGAAAGGTATGTCTTGCAAATAGTTGGTGATCATAATCAGTGCTGGTTGTGGTTTGTCTGTGGGAACCATGTGACCTGCTCCCTAGAAATAACAATTAAATCACACAATGTACAGTTGAATATTGTTTTCTTAAACAAAAATAAGGTAAAATTCAAATATTTCATTCAGTCAAAATAAAATTACTGTCACACAAGAGTGAGGATTAGGGCACCATAAAACCTTGTCCAACTCACTACTTTCATTTGCAAAGAACCTGTACCAAATTAAGAAATACATCACAGTTGTTATATCGGTGGCCATTTGAAGACATTTTTCACAAATCTACCAGAACAATCAGAAACAGAAAATTTGTAAGGGTTTTTTTTTTAGTTAAGGACATTTACTATTACTAAATCTTTGGAACACAAGAACTATCCAATTGCAAGCATATTATGGCTACCATTCCAAAGCATCTTATCTGATCTGATATAACCAAAAAATATTATATATATTCTATAATCATGATAATATTTAATTGTTTATTTTGTTTTTGTTTAAATTTTATTGTCATGGCCTTGTATTGTCATTTTTATTTCTGATATCTCTGTTGTCTCAGTGGTGTTAAAAGCTCTTTATTTTTTTCTGTAATAACAATATATAATACATATAATAATTTTTACTGCCTTTTTATGCTCATGATTGTTTTTAGGGATTTGGTGTTAAAGTCAAATATTTCGTCATTCCTGTTGAAATACCCTAACAGGTTGTCATATGGTAAAAGTGTTTGTCTCTTTCTGAACACATAATAAATTTAAATGTGTATTGTTGGTGAATTTGTGCTGTTGGGTTGCTATCTCACTGATGTTTAATCTTTATTACAACATCTTCTTTCATTCATTTATACTAACTTTAAATTTATTTTACCTAGACTTGATAATTACCAATAGTTCTTTACAAGACTTAGAAATGACTTACTCTGACAGTAACAAATGTTAAATCTTCAAAATGTTTTACAAATCCTGCAACTTGTTTACTGGTGGTGCCCTCTGGTGTGTAATGCCAAGCTTTTCTTTCTGTCACCAACTAAAACATAAATATATGTGAACATGTATAAACATGTCTCTTCCTCATAAGATGTCATATTAAGATGCTTGAATTATGCCTAAATCTTGTTCATTTCAATGTTTTGCCTTCAAATTTTTTTTTAATTTCTTCCTCATATCATAATAATAAAATACATTTTTCTTTCTAATCTTTTAATTTCTTTAACCATTTTATCAGTTAATTAAGAAATAATTCATGGAAGCCATAGATTTGTTGGACATTTACACATGGCCTGGGCCGTGATATTCGAATTTTATCCTGAGCGTTAGCGAGGGATAAAATTAACGAATGTCACAGCCCAGGACATTTGTAAATGTCCAACAAATCTATGGCTTCCATGAATTATTTCGATTTTAATAGGGCAAATACGGCAATTTAAAAACTGAAGCAAAGGTAAGATTGCCGTGGGTATGGCTGTTCTAATTTACCCTCTGTAAGATAAAAGCTACAAATTTCAAATAAATCTAAGTCTTGCATGGATTATTTCTTAAATAACCACTGCAAAAATGTGTTCAATCCTTATAATTCTTAACCCAAACCTTTTTTTTTCGTTGGCTACTATTTACTGTCAAATCCACAATTGACATGTTGTAACTAAGGAGTGAGCCTCCATGTTGACTTGCTGAAATCCACAAATTTGCAAATAATGCAATAGAATGGAATTGAAACAACACCTACCTCAAAACTCCATTTTAATGCAATATTACGCAAACTTAGGGTGTATACGTAATGAAAAAACTTCGACTAGAGAGTTTTCATTCTTATAACGTCATGTTATGACATGACGTTGATGCGCCAAGATCTTTCATGAAATTTCGCAGAATTTTATTTTATTTTGATTTTATACATTTTTAAAGCTCTTGTGCATTACTTCTTATTGTTATGCATTTTAATAGGAATAACGGTTCTGCAGTTTCTTTTTCAATTTCAATTTGAACACAACGAAATCGACATAGTGTTTGCACACAGGTTACGATACATGTGGATTTACGTGGGAGGTAAATAATAACAGCCATCAATATGCACATCTCTGAGTCTGCGCTAAGTATAGATATATCGAGAATTTTATCAGGCTGTTGTTTACAAAGCGAAAGAAGCACATCATATTAGAATACAATATAAACATTTATTTAATAAATATTAACAACCAAATTATCTTAAAAAAAAGTTATGAATACTCTTTGTACTGTCTTTATACAAACCATTTGATTAAGACTGTCCACAAACCACTCACCTTTTGATTGAGACTGTCCACAAACCACTCACCTTTTGATTGAGACTGTCCATAAACCACTCACCTTTTGATTGAGACTGTCCACAAACCACTCACCTTTCGATTGAGACTGTCCATAAACCACTCACCTTTTGATTGAGACTGTCCATAAACCACTCACCTTTTGATTGAGACTGTCCATAAACCACTCACCTTTTGATTGAGACTGTCCACAAACCACTCACCTTTTGATTGAGACTGTCCACAAACCACTCACCTTTTGATTGAGACTGTCCACAAACCACTCATCTCCAAGGAAATTACAAGCCATATCTATATCTCCATTATACACCATGACTTTTTTCTGTAAGGGAAATCAAGAATAAAAATATCTCTTCTATAAAACATTAAAATATCTACCCCTCTCGTCTAAACTCTGCCAATTCTGTTTTTCAGAAGCAATTTCACCCGATGATTGCCAATTGATATCTGCTGGATATTCTTTCATTTGATCTACTTACTGAGAAACAAATTTTTTGTGGAAAAAGAATAATTTGTCATCAGAATATGCAAGCACATTCAGGAACAAATATTTATTTTCTCTCCATATTCAATAAGATGTTATTTCACTTAAAAACTAATTTCTACAAGTTATACATGGAATATATATCAGTTAAATTGTATAAGATATTCTAGTTAGTCTAAAGAAAAAAGTGAAACCTGGTCTACCTTTCAGTGAGTGTTTTTAACTCCTTTATCCAAGTGAACTTGAAATTAAGGACACTACCAAAACTTGAAGGTCTGCAACACATCTGGATCTTTTTCTCGTTTTTGTCACACACAAAAATTATGGTGACCTATATTTGCTTACATTCAAGTCATTATGACTCGGGTGGATGTTCAATATTAAATCAAAATACATTTTAAATGAGTTAGGATTTATTGCATTCATGTGATACTTTTAAAAATACTTTTTGAAACTTTCAGAAAAAAAGAACAAGATATTTATTACTTGTGTGTTTGCAAGAAGAAAAAAACAATGCATAGGATTAATGCTATATGTGTGAGAGTTGTTAGAACTGGAGAAGTGTTTTACAGTTTTCTGAAAACTAGCTTTAGTACATAGGTTAACTGATTATAGTAGTATACTTTAATGTAAAATTCCTACAAATCAATGTAGTAAGTTTTACCAACTAAATAACATTAATCTGTAAATTACATTAAAACAACTAAGACTGTAATCTTTTTTTTTATCATACACTTTTACATAGTAAAGAATTTTACAAATACTGCAACTTAAGGTGGTACCTAACACTACAGGGAGATAACTCTGTAAAAATCAACTAAACGTTTTAATCACGTTGTATTGTTAAGGAAATATTAAGCTTCTCAATGATCAAAATTAGTGTTTGTCAAACTGCTATATAACCAGTGAAATTTTTCTGATAAAGTGGTTGGTTCAAATTATTCGAAATTTTTATATTTTTGTCAAAGGGTCAAAGTAAACATTTTGTCAAAATTTTAGGAAAATTAAACGAGCCAAATTAATATTAGTCAAGGTGTTGGGTACCACCTTAATAGTGAAAAGCAACAAGAAAGTACAGTGTACAGAAGATAGACTGGTAACTACACATTATCTGTACTAGATATGTAAGCAGTAGAGTTCCTCAGTTAGTAAATTAATAATATAAAATTGCCATGCACATCTCTACAACCCATGCTATATTAAAAAAAATCATGCACACTTTCACTTGCCTTAGCTAACAAGACCTTCTGATATAGTTTATCCACTGAGGAATATATATGCTTATATCCCATTCCTACAACCGCACTGGAAAAATATCAAAATGGAATTTTTATCAAACAATAATTGCTCATACAGCATCTATAGTACAGTTAATATGCTCACCTTGGCCAATAGTATTTTGTTATATTGGTCCTTCATTGAGTTATATTTTCTGCCATAATTTAAATTTATATCTGCACTGCAAATAAAACATTAAATAAATGTAGTGACAGTATTACTTTTTAATATTCAACTATTTTTTAGAACTTACATGTACAGTATGGAGTATTGGAAGGTCAAGGACAGTGATTTCAATTGAAGGTTTTGTTATTTAAAACCACAAAGAATAAAACAGTATATAAAATGGATGGATGATTACAGTAAAATTAATCACTATTTTATAGAACCTATATTGCATTGTAACAATTACTAATTCTCAGGAGTACAACTGAATGTCATAGTTGTGTGCCCTGATAGAAACCTTACCTCACTTGATAAAAGAAAGCTCCCTTACTGATTTTAAATTTTCGTACCTACAGATATCCCACTTTTGTACAGTATCAGGTATGTGTAATTGTTTCCTAACTTCAGCAGTGTTCATGTACTTGACAACATTGCTGTAGTTCAGGCATGGAGGTGTTAGTCTGAGGTGATTTTCCACATCTGTGAAGTCTTGGATAAACTACAAAATAAAGTGTGTATTTTTTCAGGATATAAAGATATATAAAAAGCCATATCAGACTGTTAGTCTGAGGTGATGTTCCAGAAGGTCAAATAATTTAATCACTATCCTATACATGAGTGATATTTTACATTACATGTCTAAAGGTTTTAGTCAGAGGTTATGTTCAAGGTAAGTAGGCAAATGTTGTTCAACACCTGTCTATCCAATCTGCAAAGAAGATTATATTTTATTTGCCTTCCTACATATTTAATCTGGAACTTTTTTACCATGCACATTTACCAAAGATATACATTGTAATGATATTGGTTTTTAGAAATTTTTCTCATAATAACTAGTAATTGAAAAGAGTTAATTTTTGTGAAATTTACGATATATGGTACAAGGTTAATTGTCTAAATTGTATTCCAGTTATGTCCATAGAATTTTTTAGTTAAAAATTCGTAAGGGTTCCGCGGAACCCAGTGTCTCGCCTATTTTTGCTATTAATCGCAGGCTCAACAAAAATGAGGGAAAAAAAATTAAAATGTTCCTCTTGATACTATCTTTTGATTGTAAACAAGCTTCTGTCCAAGTTTAGTAAAAATCCAGGATAGTTTATGAATCTAATAAATGTTTTAAAAACTTTAACTGCAGACTGTATGTAATGTTAACTGGAAGAAAAACTAAGTCCATTGATAAGTAAAATACGGAAAAACAGGAAAAAAATTTCTTCTAGATACTAGCTTTTGATCATAAACAAGCTTCTGTCCAAGTTTGGTACAAATCCAGGATAGTTTAAGAAAGTTATTAAAATTTTAAAAACTTTAACCACAGAGTGAATGTAATGTTTCCTGGCAGAAAAACTAAGTCCATTGATAAGTAAAATACGGAAAAAAATGGGAATTTTTTTTTTACAAATTTTACTTCTGGATACTATCTTATGATCATAAACAAGCTTCTGTCCTAGTTTGGTAGAAATTCAGGATAGTTTAAGAAAGTTATTAAAATTTTAAAAACTTTAACCACAGAGTGAATGTAATGTTTCCTGGCAGAAAAACTAAGTCCATTTAGAGGTAAATTACGGAAAAAATGGAATTTTTTTTTTACAAAATTTACTTCTGGATACTATCTTATGATCATAAACAAGCTTCTGTCCAAGTTTGGTACAAATCCAGGATAGTTTCAAAAAGTTATTAAAATTTCAAAAACTTGAATCACAGAGTGAATATTTGTGGACGCCGACGACGCCGACGGAATGTAGGATCGCTATGTCTCGCTTTTTCGACAAAAGTCGAAGGCTCGACAAAAACCAAAGGTGTGCATATTGTCAGATTTATGATTTACTTTAATTTTTTGTCAAATTACAAATTTGCTAAAAATAATCACTTTCTGTAACAAAATTTAAAACATATAAGGTACATGAAATACATATCTTAATTCAAGTACATCATAGAACTTATGGATGTGTCATATGTGTATTACATACAAAACAAGTTTATGACAATAAATCACTGTTTGCTTCTTTACCTCATGTGTCCAAGTGTTGTGTGGGGATATGCTTCATTCTCTAGTTAAAACTTGTGTCTTAATGATTGATTTCAAGCATCATTCTCATAGGTTATACATGTTCCCTTCTCATAAAATAATATTAAGGCTTTTTCACACACTGCCATTGTTTCCCCTTAGTAATGAAACAGTTTGCATTACTCCTAGACATTGAACTAGATTACATGGAATCAAATCTATATGGGACCAGTATTTATCAGTATTTGTCAGTATTTCCCAATAATTACAACTGACCTGCTCCATACTAGTATTGACCCTTGTTAAGGTACATTCCTAAATAAATTGACTGATCAAGCTAATCAAACCAAACATCTAACAATAATTTAATTTTGGATGTAACACGTCTTCTGATTGGCTGAAAGTGTTTTGTCTATCAGCTCATATACATAATTTTGTCATGTGACCTTGACGTCACCAACGTTTTTTTTTTTAAAATTTACTCCTTAAAAATGGAATTTAGAATTAAATTATAAGGAATGACTGTAATATTTTTTCTGTCTATTCGAAATAACCTAAAAAATGTGGTGCACACTTTTAAATAACCCTCTATGCAGGTTATTTAGTGTGCACCACATTTTTTATGTTATTTCTTCATAGACTGAAAATATATTACAGTCATTCCTTAAATATTACTTTACCTTCATTTTCTGGGAAAGAAATGGATTATTTTTCATTTGCCACTTCTGATGTGTGAATGCCACTTTATTCGACTCTTCATCAAAATAGATGCCAATGCCACCTTCACATGTACCATATAAGTTATACTCATTTAAACCACTGCCATACACAACCTCCATTACAGGACCTAACTGTTTTTAATAAATACAAACATAACATGAACACATATATAAAATACAAACATAACACAAACACATGTATAAAATACAAATGTAACACGAACACATGTATGTATAACAAGTATGTGTGTCCACATGACACCATGCCCTGCTCACAGTATCACATCACCACGTTCAGTGAACTGTGAACAATAGGACACCATGCCCTGCTCACAGTATCACATCACCTCGTTCAGTGAACTGTGAACAATAGGACACCATGCCCTGCTCACAGTATCACATCACCACGTTCAATGAACTGCGAAATCAGGGAACAAACTCTAATTTGGCATATATTTTAAAAAGTTCACATCATAATGGACTTAGGTATTAAGGATTTGAAGACTGGGATGACAGACATTTTGCTCAAATAAACTAAGATTTTTTTTTAATGTAAATACATGTACCAATAACCATAACTAAAAATTATGAAATAAACTAATACCTAAGATTGGAAATATATACATCAAATACCATAACATACTATTATTCTGTAAAAGAACAAAGTCATACTAAGTTTCCTGGTCATAACTTACAGCTTTGCCACAATCCTCCTTTCCTCTGTTCTGTGAAAATGCACACCTTGTCATGTTACCCTGACAACAGTACTTTGATAAATCATCCCACAAACTGAAAGTAAATACAACATACTCATTCATAGCAAATGTGGTAACAAGAGTATAATTTTTAATATAATTACACCTTATATAAGAATCCTGGGTTTTGATTGGTTGATAACCAGTGTATTTTTCACCAATTTACTTTTATCAAATGAATATCGTTCATTTTTAAACAGCGCAGGGGTATATGCAAAAAGGATATGCCTTTTTTGCCATTTCTGCCATGGTATTTGCCAAAAAATACTCTATCCGACTGGACGCTTGTACTGTCACGATCATCAATGCGTTTTATGTCACGATCATCAATGCATTTTATGTCACGATCATCAATGCGTTTTGTACGTTAACATTCGATGTAATTAAACAGATATAGCATGTTCTTGAGGGGTATTTGCGAAAAATACCAGTCTTGAGAATGAATTTCCCTCGCCTTACGGCTCGCTAAATTTAACATTCTCTCGACTGGTATTTTTCGCAAATACCCCTCCTTTACATGTTATATCTGTTCAAGATAGAATAGATATAATGGTGGATGTATTACTGTAAACCAACTTATTTTCACAGATACCTAATTTTGCTTTCAGCCCTTTTCTGCTGACTTCACAGAGATTTATTTTTGTGTTTTCCTAATTTTCTTGATGTATTTATACATGTATAAGGGACGACCAAAGTTTTACATATCTCTGACATTTCTAATCCTATTGAAAGTCATGAAAAAAAATCACCTGCAAAAATGAGTTGGTTTACAGTATGTTCAACTTTCCTGTTCTCTAGATTTTTACACACGTTGAAGTACTTACAGGTGATGTTTTTAATCAACGTGGAAAATTTCCATTTAAAACTTTGTAGATTTCCATCCTGTCAGACAGATTAGGACAGCTATGTTAAGAAGTACGGATGTCTAAGTCACAGTGAGCTTATTTATTAGTGCTTAAATTAAACTGATCAGTTTTGGATATATTTATTGATTTCTTCACTAGTGCATGACCTAAATAATATCTTAACACATAATAAAAGGATAAAAATATTTATTATATTAATTTCTTACAAATTTACCTTAATTTATTTTAATTAAAATAAAATTTTGAAATAACATATATGTGCAAGAATTCACATAAAAACTAAGGATTCTACAATCACTGAACTAAACTGCTATGGCAGCATAAAACCAAACAATTATCTAAACTAAATTGCTTACTGCTTACATTTTATATATAAAAAAAGTTTTTTTTATCTGGACATGCATGGGAGCTTAGATATGATAATTTGCATGAACAAGGAAAGATCTATATGCGAAAGCCACAATTAATGACAGCTTGCAGAAATAACACTATTTGTTTACCTGTCCCCTATCAATCCATGATAATAGGCGAAGTAAACGAGAGAATCAGAATTCATACTGTCATCAGATAAACCATTTCCTACAACAAAGCCTTTGAAGTTGATAGCAGTATCATCAACAACTCTGGCAGACAGTGTTGGAACATAAATACCGCCATAGCTTTCACCAGTTATATAAAAATCACTTTTGGCATATTCCGGAAACTTTTTGAAGAAATTTTTCAATGCCATGTGATTGTCTAGTGCCACTTGATCATCATCTGTTGTGTAGTTTTTATCTTGCGAGTAAGAGAATCCTACCCCCGCTGGAGCCTCCAGATAAATCATATTGGCTACCTTTAAAGATAATCAAATATCTATAATTATTACCTTCATGTAAATGTTTGAAATAGAAAGTATTTACAGCCAGTCTATCAGCGATAAAGAATAGTGCCTTTTTGTTTTGGACAGCTGTATTAATATAATACATATCATGACAAATTGACCTCTACCACAAATGTACATAATAGTTGTTACTCGTTGATTATTTATATTATATCTGTATCATGTGTATATTTGGGTATTGGTTTGGAGTGGCACAATGAATGTGATATTCTCTCTTTACAAAGTTTGGAGATTTTCAAATAAATCTGTTATCTTATACCATGTTGAAGAGGTAAGCACTGCAACTCTTTCCAATGGTTGTTTTGTAGCATGGACTTCTATACATCACCTATTTGTCCTATTGTTCTAGGAATTAAAAAATTTTACTCAAACAGTTTCAAAATACATGCTATTCAAAAGTGTACTTCTTATTTTCTTAAATCATATTTCAGAATAAATGGAGAATGTGTCCATGGGACACAGATGATGCCCCCGCTTGCATATAACGTTAAAAAGGGACATAACTCAAGAACGGAAAAATGACGCCACCCAAAGGAGTAGGTTCGATAAGGCCCTAAAATGGCCCTTAATTCTAGCTGAAATTTGAAATTAGGATTTATTGACTAATGTCACAAGGAATCATAGGTAATATAATGACTAGATTGCAAAAACGTCTTTTTGTTGAAAATTTATGTTTTTGCGTTCTATTCATGATGTCACAAAAAGCACTCATTTTGATTTTCTGCGAAAATTCGATGAAAACGGGTAAATTTACATCGATTTTTAGGAGAGGAAACATACAGCGCATGCGTCGACAACAAAGATATTTTAGCCTAATGTTTGTTATGAAATTTTACATATCTGACTTGAATATTTTGTTTATTGACGCCTGCGCTCTATGTTTCCTACGTCGTAATTAGGTTGAAATCAGGTCGATTTTGTCCAATGTCGCAAAAATCTCTATTTTTAACCTATTTGGGATGTAAAAATCAATGCTTGAATATAAAACTTTGGCAAAAATAATTTTATTTAACTTTCTCGCATGTCTTTTCGCCAACTTAAAACACGTTTTATCCTGAAACATTGCACTAAATAATTGGGGCCAAATTTGGCCCTTACTGAACTTACTCCTTTGAACTTGATCTGAGTTTTGTGGTAATAAGCATTGTGTATAAGTTTCATAACATTTGGTTGAGGCAAACTTAAGTTAGAGAACGGAAACAAAAAATTCAGCAATTTTTCCCTTTGTAAAGGAGCATAACTCTAGAACGGTAAAAGTGACACCACCCACTGGTTGAGACAAACTAAAGTTAGAGAACGGAAACCAATTTTGGGACAAGAGTAACAATTAATGCCCCCTCCAGTGACGGCTGGGGCATAATAAATAATTCTTAACTTACATTATTCCAGCTGTGTGGATTATATGTAACACTAGCTCCATCTTTACCAATCTAAAAATAAAAATTCTTGGTATTATCATAATACTCTTATACTGCTGATTAACACAATGAATACTGTAAACTCAGAAACTATTGTGATGTTTTCATTAATACGAAAAAAACAGTACCAGGTTTCGCAATAATAAAAACTTGCATTCATAGTTTCGGTAGTGATTTTCTTCATGAAATCTTTGCATTCACATTAATTTGATTTTGTATTTTTGCCAGAGGTCAAGGATTCACAACAATAAATGCATGCATCAATTTCTGAGTTTACAAAATGGGATTTTTTATTGAATTTTAATAATGATGCTAGCAAAATTACTATGATAATATGTCCATTTGAATATTGTCAGAGATATTTGAAACTTTCCTAGAAAATGATGTGACTTATAATTCTAAGTTGAATCTCACCATAATTTTCAAATTTCAAATCCTTAAATGGCGTAGCTTACAACAAAAATTTTTACAAATATCATCTGAATTGATTAAATTGAAATAATTTCTGAGAAAGTCTGTTTCTCTGAGTCCTGAAAATTACAGTGATGCTGAAAGGAGCTAATGGCTGTTTTTCTTAATTTTTGGCAATCTCTTCAACTTATTTCTGTCTTTTCTCTTATCAGACACATCATGAGATTTGAACTATGACCCTAGTTCAAATCCTTTTTACTTGTGTACCAACAGTGCATATAAGATGATATGATATTGACAACACAAGTATTTTGAATAAATTAAATAATTCTTTAGTAATACATGTATTAGCATTTATATGTATAAAAACTCTTTTTCATCATTCAAATGTAATGCTGAACTGAAATAACTTAAAATTCTTAGCTATGGAGAAATGGATTATGCAGCTGCCTACAATATATATATCAATTTCAAACATACACATTGTACAATAAGTTATTTTACCCTAAAAGGTCCATGTTCTGAGAGTAAACCTAAATCAGAACTACATCCTGGTCCCCCATTCATCCACAGAACCAGAGGATCTTCTGATGGTTTATTAGCTGACTGTATAAACCTGGCAAAGATAAAGACAATATTTTACCCACTTTATATACACTTTTTATTGTTTTGCATCATCAATATTCTTCTAAGGAATGACAAGTATTGAAACCAAAATTGCTGAGGCAAAAATTTGGTAGAGGTAAGGTAAAGGAAAATTAACAAATTAACTAATGAATTATAAGATTTAACAACTAGTACCTGGAATGGTATTCAGATGTAAACAATTTACCAATAACCATGTTCTGTGAGATCTGGATTTGAAATAGACAAAGTTATCTCTCTTGGTATTTAAGCAACTTGTCCTCTAATTTCCCCTTCCGATCCTATCAGAAATGAGTTTTCTTAATACAAAATTTGAGAAACCCTGATACTGTCAATTTTTACAATATATTCTATTTTCTTTTAAACTATGAATATTGTTTTTTTCTTACCAGTAATGTAGCTGTTTTGTTCCAGTAGCATTCAAATACCCAGAGTACTGTTTCCAATATGGCTGCTTGTGTAGTCCTGGCATGTATTTAATTTCATCTGCAGGTGGCGCTCCATAACTCATATGAAGTATCAAAGTAATTGTCAAAACTACAGTAGTCCACATGTTTGTGATCTGAAACAAATAAATTGTCTGTTATTGGTGCTGACTAATTAGCATCAGAAAAGATGTGTCTATGGGGATAGATCTAGCTGATATGAGTGAACAATTGTACATACAGTACACTTTTAATAGGACATACTGAGATAAAAGACAAACATGGTCTGATGTCTGTCCTCCCATGACAGACCATGTGTCTGTCTTTTGCCCTTTAGATATATAAGTTAAAAAAAATAAAAATCATTTAACACCTTGGTCATGTGGAATCATAAGGTTATACCTTGCACAATCTTACCAGGTGACTGATACACATGTTACCCCTTCTACATGTACTTACTGATAATACAAATGATAAAAATTGACCTTTTTCAAAGATAAATTTGATATATATACAAGTATATTTTTTATGTTCTTCTACTTATTAACAAATAAACATTTCAAAATGACACATAGCTGTCATTTTAGCTGATAATATAACTTTAATCTAATAGTATATATATAGTTTGGCATTTTTTACATAAATATATATACATTTGTACTCTAAAATGTAAGGTATGAAACACTTTCAAATAGTAATAAATACGTTTCTTTCAATACAGCCATAGGGCTATAGGACTCCTCAGTCTGAATTGGGCAGCTATATAGATCTACTGAGAGAGATTAAAGAATATACAGAAAACCTAAAGCCAAAAAGCTTATCATGGTTATTATATCATGGACACCAGAACATGCTAACATACCAGTTAATGATGAGGCTGACATCCTTGCACAACCAGCAGCATAGGAAGCAAAAGATTTACAACCATAGTGCTACAACATAACCTCCTTACAGGATGTCAAACAAGGGGCATACAAGAGCACTGTAATAAAATGGGAGAAAAGATTAAAGATATTAGAAAAAGGCCCATAGGGATCTATATCAAAAGATACTGACCATCAATCATACAATCTTTCATGACTTCCTGACCAAAACATACCATACCACATTTGCTCAGCTGAGAATAGGATACTCAGAACTCAATCACAACAAGAATCAAGTAGGCCAAACTAATTCCAATGAATCATGCAAATGTGGAGCACAAGAAACACCTCACCACCTTATCCTTCAGTGTCCCTGCTATGAATTGAAAATGAAATTATGTACCACAAAATTACTGAAGAGGTCTAGAACAATCGGGATATGTGAAGTCATCTTAGCCACTTTACTTACTATCCCCCTTAAGACAGCTCTTAAGATTAAGGATTGAGGAACCCCTTGATGGTTTGGAAAGGAATCCGACTCAATGTAAACATGCTTTAGAAAGCTTTCCCGATACAGGCATACCATAGTGAAATATTTGCCATTATTTGACTTTTATTGCTTAGTTCAGATGGTTCAAAACATTGCCATTTTGTACAAAAATGCCAGACTGAATCTCATTTTTAATTGTTTTTGGGCAAAATGAAATACTTTCATTATTTCTGTTTCCTGTAATTAAAAGAAATCAACATCATTGATAACAATTGTTGATGTCAGTATGATTTTGAATGGCGAGCGATTTCAAGTAATGATCAATTTCTGGGGACAGGAATTACAAAAAGTATAAATTGGAAGAAAAAAAAAGAATGTACACGTTTTATTTAATGACCTGAACACATACATGTATGGTACTAACAAGCAGAATTCAGAACTAACTAACACTTTATTAATACTGTTAATTTTATCATACATTTGTAAAATCATTGAGAAATACATAGGCATCCCAACTATATCTTTAAAAGTTCAAAAAGGAATTACAAATTGGAGTTAATATAAATACACCTGTAGCAATCTGCTTCAAAATACAAAATGACCATTTACCGGTAAACCATATTGTATTTTTTCTTTTATGGAGATTTTGAATATCACAAAGACATCCATTTTTTTTTCATTTTTCCTATTGGTTACCAGTCATGCCTGTATCAAAGCTTGGGCACAACCATTTTATTAAAATTCATACAGTTGTTTTACCTAATTAGCTCTGTGTTAGGTGTCTTTGTTCAAAGAACATCACTTTTAACAACTAAAACTGATGCAAATCGAATATTAATATACATTTATTGACTTTTGATGAGGTTGAATGATACAATGATTTATGAACCCCAGATATATGATATTCACCAAGGCAAAGTCATTGTATCAACTGATATCAAAAGTAAATAAACTGCTTCGCTGAGCGCAGCTGGATACGCCCGCAGAGGTCCAACCCTGAACAGTTGGGGCAAAAATGGACAGAATATTCAAGCTTGATACAGGTCTGAATTTGGATTGTAATTAAATATTTGATATATTAAAGGTTTCTGAATAAATGTAGTCAAAGAACTTGAAATTGGGTATATGACAGATTTCTTGCTGTTGTGCAATACACTGTGCTGTTGCGTAATACTTAGTAAATCTGTTGTCAGACTATAAACAAATAAAATCTTATAACTTGGAAACATAAAATCAAAATTTATAAAAATTAAATGGGAGCGTACAAAAATAGATATTAACAATTTACCAAAGTTTCATAAAAAATGCTGAAAGCATTTTTGAGTTATTGTCTGAAAACTGGAAAATCCCCCTGTAATGAATAAAACCCCATAAATCGGAAACATATAGTCTGAAATTTATAAAAATCAAAAGGGAGCTCATGTTGATAGAAATAAACAATTCACCAAAGTTTCTTGCAAATTGGTGAAATTGTTTTTGAGTTATTGTCTGAAAACTAGAAAATCCCCCCTATTTTAATGAATAAAACCCCAAAACTCGGAAACGGTAAATCCGAAATTTATAAAAAACAAAAGGGAGCTCACGTCAATAGATATGAACAATTCACAAAAATTCCTTGCAAATTGGTGAAATTTTTTTTGAGTTATTGTCTGAAAACTAGAAAATCCCCCCTATTTTAATGAGAAGATATAAACAATTCACCAAAGTTTCATACATATTGGTTAAAGCGTTTTTGAATTAATGTCCGATATGTTGACAACGGACGGACAGACAACAGTATACCATAATACGTCCCGTAAACGGGCGTATAAAAATTGTTTTATTATATGACTTCTTTTTTTATTCTCAAATTTTCTAGTATTCGTTCAAGAGATTTAACAGCTCCTTATTTTTATAACTAAATACAAATATATTATCTGCTTTGGCAGTTGTTATCTTTTATAAGTTGTAATTTTCAATAAAATTTACTAAAATAACCAATTTCAAGAAAAGAAAAACAAAAATTTTGATAAATTCATAAACCTTCCACATTGATGTTGCGTATAAAAATAACTATTTAGGTAAATGATAATTGTTAAAGTGTTTCAAATATTATATTAATATTCATATAACCGCTCATGATTTTTCCTGTGTTCATGGTGTTGAATATAATATTTTACAAAAGTAGATTCACTTTCCTTTTAGCCAATGGGAAAACAGAAATTTTATAGTCATATAAGCATGACCATTTGATATTCTGGTGAGATGGGGGCTATCTATTTTCATCTGTTGTCACACATGCTTATTTTTTTCCACTGCTTCGTTGCAGGAAAATATATTTTCCCTTTTGCACAACTGTTTACTGCACTCAAGTCTGATTTTAACGTTGACTTCAAGCCGACTACACAAAACTTAATTCAATTCAAAATATTTTATTGTTCAAATATCAAATGTACATTTAAACATAGGCCTGAGGGATTGGACAAAAGGCAATGCCTATACAAATCCTTTCCCATACAAGTTGGATTGAATAATCTGATAATATATAATATATTTCTGATAATTCATAGATCATTCATTATTGCAGCGAGTCAGGGGAGGCAATCCCCCACTTCTTGAAATATTGGGTATGCATATATAAATAATAATTATCAGTGAACCCTTGAAAGTTTACTATTGAAGATAATTATGTCAAATTCTATACCACATTAATAAGTAATGTAAAGAATCAAATAAATCTTATAAGTGATATTTACTCTAATTCACTAACTCACTGCAAGAAAGACTTGTTCTATTCATATAAATTATGCTTGAATTAAAAACTAATGTATACATACTTCATCCCCTTTCTCATGTAACGCCTGCATCATATTAAGAATTATTGCCCCTTACTTTGCAAAACTTAAAACACTGTAACATAAGTACATGATATATATATATATATATATATATATCTTATAAAACATTTTCAAGAAGATTGCCTTTTAATCCCAAAGGGGATTAGATTGCCTTTCACCATTGCAACATCAAATATGACATAAAAAATACCCACATCAGTAATAAACGTTAGATACAATTCTTCTTTCAAACAATGTCCACATCCAATGACAATGTAGTCAATTTTCTATTGGAATGTCAAAAATAAGGAAATCTTTGAGATAGACCAGGAAGAAATAAATAGGAAAATTTATTTTCTTTGACAATAACGATAAAAGTTATGGTTCGCCTATTGTTAGGATTAGGAGTAAACATATTTTATATATACCTCATACAATGACAACCTACCAGAGAAATATTATCATTCAGTCATGAGATTCTTTCAAAGTTTGATCACGTGAATATTTTTTCGTGTGATATGGGATATATCTGATACCCAACTATAGGAACTTTTGAGTATCACATTCTTTACTGTTCATTATTTTTTACCATTATTTTATTTGTCTGAAATTGCAAAACAATACGATTGGTGTTAAGGTAATTCCTGAGAATATGTATTTTTTGTTTTGAATTTGAAATAGTCATTTGGTTTTATCCTACTTTGTCGTTGGTGATTGGCCTTATTAACGTTCCAGCCGGAATGTTAATTCAACAAATCATTTAAATTACAGCATAATTATATAAAAAAAATAAAATAACAACGCACCTCGAAGGACCCTATTTAAATTTGTCAAACTTTGATGGATCCTTAGTTTCCGACTTTGTATGACCTTCTTGGGAAGTCAAGTAGTTAAACAATAGTTATAAAAGATAAATACAGAGTGTCGTTTTAGCATAAGCAAATAAGATACTTGGTTGTTTATTATATATTGAGGATGCAAAGGGTTCATTGTTATATCTAAAATGATTTTGAGTGACATAAGTCTGAAAAGAACTTTGGTTACCTGTCAGCAAGGGGAAGTAATCTCAACATGTGCTAAATTTAAAACGAAAAGCAGACGATTTTACAGGTTTTGAGATGACCATATGGGAAGATGAGCCTATTTTCTCGAAAATTCTGGAAACCAGGTACATGATCATTTCACTCTGTGTTTTTTTTTAGTTCTTTTATCCTAAAATTCAAAACAAAACAGTTCAACATAACTTCATAAGTATAAGCGCTTGTTATGAAAGTGAATTTGTTCCAGCAGTGTACCCTTTCCCATTAGCTGTTTAGAAGAAATACATTAATGTAAAAACAAAAACCATGACAGATTTTCCGTAGTTTTTTATTTCTTTGCTGAATAAAGGCATGCAGATTTGTCCCATTAACCAGAGGTTTTAATCCTGCTGTATTTACAGACTAAGACTTAAAGAGTATAAGAGTCAAGACCTACGTACCATTGTACCAATTTGACCCACTAATGAAAAGAAGTCATATCCAACTTACCACTTTTATTGGTGGGGCAAGATGGCAGGCTTGATTTAGCAAGATTAAATGCCAATTCATTAAGCAGTTGGCAGGCCTTTCTTCAGCAGGATAAAACTACTCTATAATTTTTTTTAAAACATTGGTAGAAAGAATTAAAAAAATTAAAAACTTTCATTCATGTTAATATTTATGCCCCCGCCGTAGCGGAGGGGGCATTAAGTTTTACCCTTGTCCGTCCGTATGTACGTCCCAAAGTTGGTTTCTGTTCTCTTACTTTAGTTTCCCTCAACCAAATGTTATGAATCTTATACACAATGCTTATTACCACAAAACACAGATCAAGTTTGAATTTTGGTGGCGTCACTTTAATTGTTCTAGAGTTATGCCCCTTTACAAATGGAAAAATTGCTGAATTTTTCGTTTCCGTTCTTTAACTTAAGTTTGCCTCAACCAAATATTATGAAACTTATACACAATTCTTATTACCACAAAATACAGATCAAGTTTGAATTTTGGGGGTGTCACTGTAACCGTTCTAGAGTTATGCCCCTTTACAAATGGAAAAATTGCTGAATTTTTTGTTTCCGTTCTCTAACTTAAGTTAGCCTCAACCAAATGTTCTGAAACTTATACACAATACTTATTCCCACAAAACTCAGATCAAGTACAAATTTGGGTAGCGTCACTTTTACCGTTCTTCAGTTATGTCCCTTTATAACTTTATATGATATGCAAGCGGGGGCATCATCTGTGTGGACACATTCCCCATTTATTTATTAGTTACTTTAGAATTTGTATTTGCTGTTTGACATATTAAGAATGGTCTGACAATAGCAGTATTAAACATGTTAAAATGAAATGAAAGAGAAAATATGTGAATGTATCTAAAGTTCTTTGTTATGTCTTGGTAGCTAAATGTAAATGTGCTCACATATTTATCAATTTTCACATTAATTAGGGCCCCGCCGAATGGCGGATGCCCTATAGTGATCAGTATGTCCATCTGTCCGTCCGTCTGTCCGTCGTACCGTCCATCTGTAACAAATCGTGTCCGCTCTATATCTAGAGAACCGTTATGATTTCAAAGTTTATACTTGACATGTATATTAACCAACACCAGAGGGTGTGTCATATTGTATGTACAACTTCCTAGGTCAAAGGTCAAGGTCAAAAACTTTGGTTTTAGTTGACAACCCCATGTCCTATGGTAAAGGTCGTGTCCGCTCTTTTTTATTTTTTTTAATTTTTTTTTTCTCTTTTTTTTTTGTTTGGTGATACCCTGGATGTTATCACGCAACACTTTCCTGTGACGCTTGGCGCCTCCTTTTCCTCTGCCTGACATATTTAACAATTTTTTTTTTTTTTTTTTTTTTTTTTTTTTTCTCTCTTTTTTTTTTTTTTAAAGGTAATTTGTGGGTGGGGCTTATCTCGCCCTTTATTTCATAACACCAAGTTGTATTTCTGGCATAGTTCTTGCATGTCATCTTTTCTACTTTCGCTAAAGAGAAAGTTCTTTTTGTCTCTAATGTCTGGCCAGGTATTGAAGCTTTTACTGATTTCGGCGTAAAATTCAGGATTTTTTTTCTTTTTGACGTCTTTGTATGCCTGTAATGTGTCTGAAAACACCAGGACATACATGTCTTTTCTCTTCAACTTCAGTATGTAAGTTCTCTGTGGATGGTCGAAAACTATCTTTTCTACCTCATGGCTTTCTTGCTGTACCCTTTCCTTTCCTGTCGTGCTGGGTGGTGGTCGACCCTCGGCACCTTTAGTGCAGGCGGGATCTTGTTGTAAATCTTGTACAGCTTCAACTGATGGAGGTAGATCTCTGCATTCGGTTGATGTGGTTTCCGGTAAGTCCTGTACTTCCACGTCTCCCATGTTGGTTGGAGCGGGTGTGCCTATCTCCTCTGGGTTTGATGAAGTTTCATCCGCATCGGACTTCTTCTTCTGGATGAAAGCTTTGAGGCGGCGAGTATTTCTCTCTGTCCGTGCTTTCGATGATTTCTTTTTCTTTGTCGTCTCTCTTTGAGTGGTAACCTTTCCTAATGGCGGCCATCTAACTGTTAGAGTGTACTGTCCATTCCTTCTGGTTAAAGTCCAGTCGGCGGTTGTACTTCCCACCACAGCTAGTACCGATGTAACATCATCGGGTAGAGAAAGAGTATGTTCTTGGCATGATTCACGTGAAGTCATTTCACCATATTACAAGACATCATAAACACGTCCGTCCAGGTGAAAATCTACTCACTCCACTGACATATTTAACAATTATTATTCGATTAGTCAAATGACGTGTCCGCTCTATATCTTGAGAACCGTTATGATTTCAAAGTTTACACTTGATATGTATATAAACCAACACCAGAGGGTGTGTCATAATTTATGTACAACTTCCTAGGTCAAAGGTCAAGGTCAAAAACTTTGGTTTCATTTGACAACCCCATGTCAAATGATAAAGATACAAATTTTTTACCACACATTATTCACAGGGGGGGCCCACAGAGATGGCTCCCATCTCAATGATATCTAGTTATCACAAAAATGATCATCTTGCAATATAAAATAAAAATAATGACACACATTCAAATAAAGCTTCTTATAGATTTACATTTGTCATGTTTGTTCACAGCGGTTTGAGTTAGAATTTGTTGCATTGACACTTTTGTGGGGTATACAATAAATATCTTCTTCTTTTTAATCAATTTGAATTATTCCTTAGGCTTATCAAACCATTTATGACACGTTGACTGGAGACTTACTTGCACAAAATTTTCAAAATTTTGTTACATGAAAGCATGTTCTTCCTTAGCTATTTTTTCATGTTTTTGGTAGGCTGTTCTTCAACTTATATTGGCTACTTCGTGTGGTATTTTTCAAACTTACTATATATTGTCTTGGATATGAGATATCAGTCAATATTATTAAGAATATGTTTTTGTTTTGCTTTAGGGACAGAGGCACCAGATTCTGCTTTAAATGAGGAAAGGAAATATACAAATGAGGATTCAGGGGCCACAGTGATTTATAATCCTAACAGATCATTATCTATAGAACAGCAAAGACAAAGACTTCCAGTGTTTAAAGTATTGACATTACTTGATAAAGCAAATAATATTTCATATCTAATTGCTATTTATTGCAAGATTTGATTTTCATACCACCTATGCTATTCAGCTTTTAAGTTGCAGAAATCTGTACAATAAACATTTTATTTCTTTGATAAATTTAAAGGGAAATTATGGCAACATTTAGTCCAGTACATAATTCAACTTCCACAGACTTTCATAAGTATATTTTATTGTATTTTGCAACTGGATCTTAGGATTGTAGTACCTGCTAAATAGATTTTTGGTAATTTACAGGGTTAAAGTTATACCTAAGCATTCTTCTCTCTGGAACTATATAAACAGTTGATGTAATTAGATTTAAATTGATAAAATTGAAATTAGGAACATGATCTATATGCATTTAATTTTAAATCCTTAGGTAAATGTTGTCTAAACATGCTGATGCCTTCAATCATATCACTTATCAGTATACATATTTGACTTTATTTATTTCTGGACAATCCACAACTCAAAGCCCTGTTAAATATTTAGTGCAAAAAATGCTTTAGTTGCACCTTATGTGCATTCATATACTTGTTAGTTTGAAGCTTAGTTTCAACAAAAAAGTGTATATTAGAATGTTGTCTCATTTTCATCCATCCACTCCCTTTGTGTTGTTGGCCTAATCTGACATTATATATATATAATTATAAGACTGGAAGGAAGGCAGTTAGGAGAAGAACCTTAGTTGCTACGCAATTGTTTTGAATAAATGTATCATATCTCAGTAGTTATTAGAGAAAAATAAGATCAGCAAATAAAACATTGAACTATACATTACCATTTTATTTTTGCAGTTAAGAAATCACATTTTATATTTACTGGAGAAATATCAAACAGTTGTGATTGTTGGTGAAACTGGATGTGGAAAAAGTACACAGATTCCACAGGTAAATCATGTGATACTACATCTTTATGTAAGATTTCTAAATATAAAAATAAGGGGATGTGGTATGATTGCCAGAGTTCAAATCACCTGGATGTAAGCAATTGAGTATGCCATTATAACATTTTTAGCTCACCTGGCCCTTTACCTGGCCCAAAGGGCCAAGTGAGCTTTTCTCATCACTTGGCGTCCGTCGTTGTCTGTTAACTTTTACAAAAATCTTGTCCTCTGAAACTACTGGGCCAAATTTGGCCACAATCTTCATTGGGGTATCTAGTTTAAAAAATGTGTCCGATGACCCTGCCTGCCTTCCAAGATGGTCGACATGGCTAAAATTAAAATGTAGGGGTAAAATGCAAGTTTTTTCTATTATTTTGAAAACTGTTATAAATAGAGAAAATCTGACAGAAAGCAGAAATGTTCAGAATGTGGAGCTCTACCAATTGTCTATATACTTGAAACTTGAAACTTTTTATTTCACTAAAGGCCTCACATGAGGCATGATAGTACAAACAGTACAATATATATATACGTCAACACTGTCAGATGACTTCTTATAGGAGTAATTGCCCTTAAATGACAAATTTTACCATTTTTTTTCATTCTTGGCTATTATCTTGAAAACTAACATAGATAGAGAGAAACTTTAAATTGCAAAAATGATCAGCAAGACAAGTTCTACAATTAAGTCTAACATGGTCGAAATCGTCAGGTGACTCTTATTAGAGTTATTGCCCTTTGATGATGATTTTTACCAATTTTTTGCTTACAAATAAGTCTACATCGTCGAAATTGTCAGGCGACTCCTTTTAGAGTTATTGCCATTTGATGACAATTTTTACCAATTTTTTGCTTATCTAAAAAAACATAATAGATAGATAGAAAATCAAATTTGCAAAAATGATCAGCAAGACAAGATCTACAATCTGGGAACAGTATATCTAACGGGAAATGAATCTGATACGCTTTTCAGTATAAAATTGATAAAATCTCGGACTCCCCGAGACTTCCCGAGATTTACGGATTTTAGTAGCGTCTGACTGAAAAACTATCAGAACTGCTCAACTAATAAACCACATAACTCTACTTGTAAATAAATACAAGTTTTATCATTTAGTAGATATATTTTGTTATATAAAATTACCAAAATAAGTTTGATTTATTTGATGTGAAGTGTTTTACAATAGTTTGGGAATTTGTAAATCATCGCGGCAATGGCCGCCATTTTTTTATTACCTGGTTTGCATTCTGCACAATTCTGTGATGAAATGCTTTCGATTTTAACAAATTTGAAGTGACAGAATACAAGTTTGATACACTAGCATCACTGTAAAACTAGTTTGAATGACATTTTATTGATAATATCAAAAATTATTAGGATAATAGCGAGTCCGTTTTTAACACATGTCCGTTTCTGTATCGTATCTTTATTAACTATGGCACGACGATAAAATCGACTACAATCAGGTAGTGTCAAGTCCCGTCAATATATATGTTCCTGCTACAATTAAGACAAATATGAAGGAAATCGTCCAACGTTTTGCCCCTTTAATGACGATTTTTACCATTTTTTGTTGCGTTTTGCCTTATGCATGTATGATAAACATTATAATAGATGAATAAACACTTTAAATCACAAACCTGATCAGCAAGGTAAGATCTACTAACAAGTCAAACTGTGCTGATATAGTTATTAGACTGTCACTATTTATAGGAGTAATTGCCCTTAAATGAGGATTTTTTTACCCTCTTTTGTGTTTTGAGCAAAAACTAAAGAAGATAGAGAAAAACTAAACAGACTAAATGATCAGCAATACAAGATCAACAAAACAGAGATTTTCGTCATGAATTCTATTCTCATCTACAATGTTGGAGGGTGTCCTTTGTTGAATATGCACATAGACCAAGGTGGGCGACACAGGTTCTTTAGAGCCTCTAGTTATATTCAGATTCTATAGTTGAATCTTACTTTAAGACATTTATACCCATATTCTTCAGGTATATTAAAATAAGGAGATGTTATATGATTTCCAGTGCAACAACTGTCCACCAGAGTTTAAATGATATTTATGTAAGCAACTAGAGGCATAATAGGTGACCAAGGTCACCATATGGCTATAAACAATGAGCAGAACCAATACCTTATAGTAAGCTATAAATAGCCCTGACATGACAAAATCTAAAACAATTAAACCAATTCAACAAAAAAAAAAAACAACAACAAACTGATTTATAATCAAACAAAAAATTAAAAATAAATCAAACAGACAAAAACCACTGAATTACAGGCTCCTGAATCATTTTATGATTTCTGTACATCCAGATACCTCATGTAAATCTTATTATGTGACAACCATAGACCTGTTACATCTTTCTAGAAATTTGATAAAAACATATTGCTGTTTAATTGATTTTTATTTTTGCGGTCGTATATTGGTATGACGTTGGCGTCGTCGTTGTCGTCGTCCGGCGTCGTCCGAAGACACAATGGTTTTCGCACTCTAACTTTAGTTTAAGTGAATGGATCTCTTTGGAATTTTACCATAAGGATCAATACCACAAAAGGAGGGTGGGGATTGATTTTGGGGGTTATGGTACCAACAGTTAAGGAATTAGGGGCCAAAAAGGGGCCAAAAATAAGCATTTTCTAGTTTCCAGACAATAACTGTGGAATGGTGTATGGATCTCTCTGAAATTATACTACAAGTTTCCATACCACAAAGGGATGGTTAGGATTTGCTTTGGGGGGTTATGGCTCAAACCGTTTAGGAATAAGGGGCAAAAAAGGGGGAAAAACAAGGTTGTCCTGGTTAATGGACAAATACTTTAGTACAAAACATAATTTAAAGCAGTGTAAGGGAGATAAATCAAATACATCATTGAAATTATCTCCCTTACACTGCTTTTAAATTATATATAAAGTAATGGTTAATGAACAATTAAGATAATTTAAAACAGTGTAAGGGAGGTAATTCAAATAGAACGTTTTGGTTACTTCCCTTACACTGCTTTTAAATTATGTTTAAAGAAATGCATATTTATAAAGGAAGACCAGTAAAAAATATCAGCAAATGTTGCATCTTTTTTTTTTACAAAAATCCATATGAAAGATTTGACACTATATTTTAAATTCTATTATAAAATAGATTAAGTTAGCACTATGGTAAATTTAAATGGGTAATTATGGTTGCAAATTCCATTGGAAATTTGAATTGAGATTATGACCATATCTTGAGGGAAAGAATTTTTTGGGGAAAAGAAGGGGGGGGGGGGGGGGTAAAAAGAAATTGTGGGAGGTCAATTTTTTCTCATTTCAGATTTCAGAAATAAAGAAAGAATTATTCTTCAAATATTATTTTTTTTTTCAAATTTCAAATATTGAAAAATTTCAAGAAGTAATCTTTAATTGCACAGTATGGCGCATTAGATTTGTAAAATCTTTGACCACATTTATTTATTTGTTATGCCGAATCTAACCGTATATTTAGATTTTTAATTTTGGGTCCAGTTTTCAAATTGGTCTACATTAAGGTCCAAAGGGTCCAAAATTAAACTTTGTTTGATTTTAACAAAAATTGAATATATGGGGTTCTTTGATATGCCGAATCTAAACATGTATTTAGATTTTTGATTTTTGGCCCAGTTTTCAAGTTGGTCCAAATTGGGGTCCAAAATTAAACTTTGTTTGATTTCAACAAAAATTGAATATATGGGGTCCTTTGATATGCTGAATCTAACCATGTATTTAGATTTTTTATTTGTGGACCCCGCTATCAAATTGGTTCATATTGAGGTCAAAAGGGTCCAAAATTAAACTTAGTTTGATTTCATCAAAAATTTAATTATCAGGGTTCTTTGATATGCCAAATCTAACCGTGTATTTAGATTTTTAATTTTGGGTCCTGTTTTTTAAATTGGTCTACATTAAGGTCCAAAGGGTCCAAAATTAAACTTAGTTTGATTTTAACAAAAATTGAATTCTTGGGGTTCTTTGATATGCTGAATCTAAACATGTGTTTAGATTTTTGATTATGGGCCCAGTTTTCAAGTTGGTCCAAGTTGGGGTCCAAAATTAAACTTTGTTTGATTTCAACAAAAATTGAATATATGGGGTTCTTTGATATACTGTATCTAACCATGTATTTGATTTTGGACATTGGACCATAATAGGTAAATTAAAAAAAATCAAGTTCTTAGACCACATTCTTTCTGTGTCTGAAACCTATGCTGTGTCAAATATTTAATCACAATCCAAATTCAGAGCTGAATCAAGCTTGAATGTTGTGTCCATACTTGCCCGAACTGTTCAGGGTTCGACCTCTGCGGTCGTATCAAGCTGCGCCCAGCGAAGCATTTTATTTAAAATGATGATTGTGTTTACTTTCAGTATTTATTAGAAGCAGGATGGGCAGAGAAAGGTTATCTGATTGGAGTTACCCAGCCCAGGAGAGTAGCTGCCGTAACAGTAAGTATTGGGCAGAGAAAGGTTATCTGATTGGAGTTACCCAGCCCAGGAGAGTAGCTGCTGTAACAGTAAGTATTGGGCAGAGAAAGGTTATCTGATTGGAGTTACCCAGCCCAGGAGAGTAGCTGCTGTAACAGTAAGTATTGGGCAGAGAAGGTTATCTGACTGGAGTTACCCAGCCCAGGAGAGTAGCTGCTGTAACAGTAAGTATTGGGCAGAGAAAGGTTATCTGATTGGAGTTACCCAGCCCAGGAGAGTAGCTGCTGTAACAGTAAGTATTGGGCAGAGAAGGTTATCTGACTGGAGTTACCCAGCCCAGGAGAGTAGCTGCTGTAACAGTAAGTATTGGGCAGAGAAAGGTTATCTGATTGGAGTTACCCAGCCCCGGAGAGTACCTGCTGTTACAGTTAGTATTGGCAAGAAAAGGTTATATGATTGGGGTTACCAAGCCCAGGAGGCCAGCTGGTGTTACAGTAAGTATTGGCAAGAAAAGGTTATCTGATTGGAGTTACCCAGCCTAGGAGAGTAGCTGCTGTTACAGTAAGTATTGGCAAGAAAAGGTTATCTGATTGGGTTACCCAGCCCAGGAGAGTAGCTGCTGTTACAGTAAGAATTGGATAGAAATTTTATAGTGTTAATTCATATCTCAAAAGCAATGTTCAAATCTCACTTTGGTCATTTTTACAGTGACTATGTGCACTTGATTGTAAATGTATATGGTAGAGTTTCAGTTACTTACCTAAAGTCAAAGGTTTACCATAGACTTTATAGTTTTTTCCATCTGTAACACTGACTGTTGTAAAGCTGCCCTTTGCAAATAATCTCTCATGTGCACCACAAACCATATTTTATTTGAGCCAATAATACATGTCAATAGTATAGATGAATTATGTCGAGCTTGTCACCTCTGTACTGTGAGCATTGTAGTATTTTAAACCTAAGAGACTATCAGTAATGCTACTAATGTATGAGAATAAGTATGAACTAACTTACAATCCCATGAGTATTCTACAAAATTTCTTTTACAAGCCTCGTATTTGGAATACAACATACATTGAAACTTTAGTTTGCGATTAATGTTACCTGCAAACTAAGTACTGTGAAAGTACTTTTATTCGTGGGGTACCAATTTTTGTGCTTTTTGTGGATGGCTTTATGCACGAATTTAAGTGTCCAATGAAATTTAAGAGCTGTTGTTCAAATTAAGACGTGGAAAGATCCCCATTACTGTAGGTTTTGCTACATGGATACGGGCATATGATCTAGAGAATACATGGAATATCAGCAAACGCACTATGAACTAAATATACAACTTCAGACAGGATTTTACCCCTATTTTTTTTTTTCTTTCAAAAAATTTAAATCCACGAATTTAAGAACCCACGAACATGTAACTTTTGCTCAAACCACAAAAATTGATACCCACGAATAAAAGTACTTCCACAGTATTTGTTTTTGGGTACAAATGAATTATAACCTTGTGGCATAAATAAAATACCGGTAATGCATTTTTTTCAAAAATTAATGCAAATGCAATTCACTCTCTAAAAGTAACATCATATGTGTCAAGTTTTGCAACTTCAAAATTGGGAGATTTTTGTTGATCACTAACCTTGGAAATGTGGTAGAGTATATGGGGCATGAAGTCCGCTGGACACACATTTATTTTTTCTTCATTTAAGTTAGTAATGAGACGCAATTTGTTCTTGACAGGTAGCAAGCAGAGTAGCAGAAGAAAGGGGCTCAATATTAGGGGCTGAAGTAGGCTACACCATTAGATTTGAGGATTGCTCAGAAGAAAAAGTTACCAAAGTTAAGGTATGTCATGCAACTGAAATTTGACAAGATAATAAGAAAAAGACAGAATGCTAGTATTCTTTGCTGTCTATTTTTCATAGTTTGATAAATAGAACAGATAATAAAAAAATCTTAAGGCAATGCTGTTTGTGATTTATGGCTGGTTTGCTGTCTCATATTGTATACTTTATATCTACTTTTGTTGATATTTAAGGTCTTAAATAGCAGTATTATTAAAATAATGAAAATGTTCTATTTTCAGTTTCTAACTGATGGATTGTTGATTAGAGAGATCATGGGAGATCCACTACTGAAAAAGTACAGGTAAAATGACGAAGTGTAGTTTCATATAACATCAGTTTGAAATAAAAGATCATGATAAGTTAAAAACTAGTAAAAAATTTTCTGGTTTGTTCATTTGAAGTTACAATACACCATTCAGAATCATGGGCACAGCCAGTTTATGAAGATGATACAGTATTGAAAATTAAGAGTATGGATATCCTGATCGGTTGTTGTGTGCAGTCAATATTTTGTATAACTAGATGCTCTGTGCACTCTGCCTTATATATTTTCCTAAGCCCTGTATAAGAATTTTTTTCTTTGCTGTGATGAGACACATGTTTTTAAGTGCAGAAATGATAGGCAAGGGAGATAAGTACACACTGTGGTAAGAAAAGTAATGAGAACCCATACTTTTTTTTACTAAAAATTACTGTCCCATTAAGTTTTCTTTAATTCTAGCAAGGTTTTATTCTAAAAATTTACTTTTTGAAGTCTGTATCTTGAAAAAGGTTACTTTTGTTGTCTATGGGAAAACGAATGGCATTTTGCAGTCTTGAATTAGAATTGAATTATCTCCCTTCAGATAGGACTTACTAGAGTGGAACTAATTCATTCTCTATATTAATGGCAGATGTAGCTCAATTATCTTCAGAAGTTGTCTAGTTGTTGTCACGTTAAATGTCTTATTTAGTCACTACTTATGACCTGGATAAATAAGATGAAGTAAAGGTAACCTTATCATTGCCTTCTAGGCAATAAGATATGAAACTTAAGATTGACAGTATGGAAGTTTGTGGACTATTGTTTGTCTTTTTATGTGCCATTCTTTAATTTTAGTCTTCTGTCTTTTGACTGACAATTTTTTTGTCCATTTTGAAACTTCTTTGTTTTTATGCCCCCGCTGTAGCGGTGGGGGCATTAAGTTTTACCCTTGTCCGTCTGTACGTACGTCCGTCCGTACGTCCGAAAATTGGTTTCCGTTCTCTAACTTGAGTTTGCCTCAACCAAATGTTATGAAACTTATACACAATGCTTATTACCACAAAATACAGATCAAGTTTGAATTTTAGTGGTGTCACTTTAACCGTTCTAGAGTTATGCCCCTTTATAAATGGAAAAATTGCAAAAATTTTAGTTTCGATTCTATAACTTAAGTTTGCCTCTACCGAATGTTATGAAACTTATACACAATGCTTATTACCAAAAAACACAGATCGAGTTTGAATTTTGGTGGCGTCGTTGTAACCGTTCTAGAGTTATGTCCCTTTATAAATGGAAAAATTGCAAAATTTTTAGTTTCCGTTCTCTAACTTAAGTTTGCCTCAACCAAATGTTATGAAACTTATACACAATGCTTATTACCACAAAACACAGATCAAGTTTGAATTTTGGTGGCGTCACTTTAACCGTTCTAGAATAATGCACTTTATAAATGGAAAAATTGCAAAATTTTTATTTTCTTCTAAATATCAAGAATTTTTTTTTTATTAAAATTGGAGTTATCTTCCTTTGTCCATGATTAAAGTTGAATCAACTATAATCAAGGCTTTATACAATGCAATGTTTAATTTTGACTTCCACTGATAAAACACAGATCAAGTTGAATTTGGGTAGTGTCACTTTAACCATTATTGAGTTATGCCCCTTTATAAATCGAAAGATTGCAAAATTTTTAGTTTCCATTCTGTAACTTAAGTTTGCCCCAACCAAACATAATGAAACCTAAGATCAAGTACAAATTTTTTGTTTCCATTTTCTAACTTTAGTTTGCCTCATCTAAATGTTCTGAAACTTATACACAATGCTTATTACTACATAATACAGATTAAGTACGAAATTTGGTGGCAACAGTTTTACCATTCTTGAGTTATGTCCCTTTATAAACATAAAAATTGCTGAATTTTTCGTTTCTGTTCTCTAACTTTAGTTTGTCTCAACCAAATGTTATAAAACTAATACACAACCGTTCTAGAGTTATGCGTGTTTACAAATAGAAAAATTGCTGAATTTTTAGTTTCTGTTCTCTACTTAAGTTAGCCTCAACCAAATGTTATAAAACTTATACACAACCGTTCTATAGTTATGCGTGTTTACAAATAGAAAAATTGCTGAATTTTTAGTTTCTGTTCTCTACTTAAGTTAGCCTCAACCAAATGTTATAAAACTTATACACAACCGTTCTAGAGTTATGCGTGTTTACAAATAGAAAAATTGCTGAATTTTTAGTTTCTGTTCTCTACTTAAGTTAGCCTCAACCAAATTTTATGAGCCTTACACACAAAGCTTATTACCACAAAACTCAGATCAAGTTCAAATTTGGGTAGCGTCACTTTTACCATTCTTCAGTTATGTCCCTTTATAACTATATGATATGCAAGCGGGGGCATCATCTGTGTCCACATCTGGACACTATCCACATTTATCTTGGTAACTTTTTTGTCAATTTTAGTTATTTCTGCTTTTATATTATTTTTTTTTTTATTGCAGTGTGATAATGTTAGATGAAGCACATGAGAGGTCATTGAATACTGATATTATCCTTGGACTTCTAAGAAAGGTAACAAAATTGTTTCCCAAGTTATGCCTTTGAAAATGAGTTGGTTAAGTGCCTAAGAAATCAACTAAACAAAGTGTATATTTGTTATATAAGGTGATAAAACCTCTGAGCTGATTTTTAATTTCTGAAGTTTTTTCATACGTTGGTGTTTGTGGGTGTTTTTATATTGTTATTGTTTTAGCTAGGCCTTATCTATTGTATCTCATAACACAACAACAACATGAAAGAGATTTTTGGAATCATCCCTTTCCCAAAAGATGTGGTTGTAGAGACAATTCTTAAGTGGACAACTTCAGTAACTATATCAACCTGATGAATTTGAATCCTCAAAATGATATTATCTGACATTTTATTTCTTCAATGGTAATAGCTTCTCTGATGTTTTTATACGACCGCAAAAAAATTTTTGTGGTCGTATATTGGTATGACGTTGGTGTCGTCGTCGTCGGCGTCGTCCGAAGACACATTGGTTTTCGCACTCTAACTTTAGTTTAAGTGAATGGATCTCTATGAAATTTTACTACAAGGTTCAATACCACAAAAGGAAGGTTGGGATTGATTTTGGGGGTTATAGTACCAACAGTAAAGGAATTAGGGGCCAAAAAGGGGCCAGAAATAAGCATTTTTGTAACTTCCAGACATAACTTGTGTGTTAGTGTATGGATCTCTCTGACATTGTACCACAAGGTTCCATATCACAAAAGGAATGCTGGGATTGATTTTGGGGGTAATTGCCTCAAAATTTTAGGAATTAGGGGCCAAAAAAGGGGCAAAAAACAAGCATTTTTCTAGTTTCATGACAATAACTTGTGTGTAAGTGTATGGATCTTTCTGAAATTGTACTACAAGGTTCCATATCACAAAGGGAAAGCTGGAATTGAGTTTGGGGGTAATTGCCGAAACGTTTAGGAATTGGGGGCCAAAAAGGGGCCAAAAATAAGCATTTTTCTAGTTTCCAGACAATATCTTGTGTTCAAGTGTATGGATCTCTCTGAAATTGTACTGCAAGGTACCATACCACAAAGGGAAGGCTGGGATTGATGATGGGGGTAATTGCCTCAATATTTTAGGAATTAGGGGCCAAAAAGGGGCAAAAAACAAGCATTTTTCTAGTTTCAGGACAATAACTTGTGTGTAAGTGTATGGATCTTTCTGAAATTGTACTACAAGGTTCCATATTACAAAGGGAAAGCTGGGTTCGAGTTTGGGGGTAATTGCCCTAAACGTTTAGGAATTTGGGGCCAAAAAAGGGGCCAAAAAACACATTTTTCTAGTTTCCAGACAATAACTTGTGTTCAAGTGTATGGATCTCTCTGAAATTGTACTGCAAGGTACCATACCACAAAGGGAAGGCTGGGATCGAGTTTGGGTGTGATGAATCATAAGGGGGTTCAAAAAATTTAGGGGGGGGGGGATTTTTTTTTTTTTCCTTTTTTTTTTTTTTTTCCTATTTTTTCTTTTAAAATTTTCCATTTTAAGTTGGTTATTTCTGATTTTTATTTAAAAGCAAATAATAATGATATGGTAGGAGATACACACCAAACAGGATGTGTAAATTATTATATAATAAGTATTGTGCAATAGCAAGAAATTTTCAATTGCACAGTATTGCACAATCGCCAGAAATCTTCAATTGCACAGTATTGCGCAATAGCAAGAAATCTTCAATTGCACAGTATTGCGCAATAGCAAGAAATATCCAATAGCACAATATTGCGCAATAGCAAGAAATTGTCAATTGTACAGTATTGCGCAATAGCAAGAAATATTTAATTGCACAGTATTGTGCAATAGAAGATACTTCGTATAAATTGCTTATTTCTTGACCAATTTCAATGGGGTTTTATTCTTGAATTCTTGGGGTTCTTTAATATGCTGAATCTAACCGTGTATTAAGTTTTTGGATTTTGGGCCCCGTTTTTAAATTGGTCCACATTGAGGTCCAAAGGGTCCAAAATTAAACTTTGTTTGATTTCATCAAAAATTGAATTATTGGGGTTCTTTGATATGCCGAATCTAACCGTGTATTTAGATTCTTAATTTTTGGTTCCGTTTTCAAATTGGTCTACATTAAGGTCCAAAGGGTCCAAAATTAAACTAAGTTTGATTTTAACAAAAATTGAATTCTTAGGGTTCTTTGATATGCTGAATCTAAACATGTATTTAGATTTTTGATTATGGGCCCAGTTTTCAAGTTGGTCCAAATCGGGGTCCAAAATTAAACTTTGTTTGATTTCAACAAAAATTGAATATATGGTGTTCTTTGATATGCTGAATCTAACCATGTATTTAGATTTTTGATTTTTGGGCCCCGTTATCAACTTTGTCCACATTGAGGTCAAAAGGGTCCAAAATTAAACTTTGTTTGATTTCATCAAAAATTGAATTCTTGGGGTTCTTTGATATGGTGAATCTAACCATGTATTTAGATTTTGGATATTGGACCATAATAGGTGAATGTCCAATTTAAAAATTTTAAGTTCTTAGACCACATTCATTCTGTGTCAGAAACCTATGCTGGGTCAAATATTTAATCACAATCCAAATTCAGAGCTGTATCAAGCTTGAATGTTGTGTCCATACTTGCCCCAACTGTTCAGGGTTCGACCTCTGCGGTCGTATCAAGCTGCGCCCTGCGGAGCATTTTATTGATAAAATGACTTGAAGATTTTCAAACAAAAGTTTAAACAATAGCTAATGTGCTGCAATTTTGAATGACCCAAGCTTGGCTTGATATAGATATATTTGATGGCTTTGATATTTGCAGAACATTGTATTGGTTAATATGAAAATATTTTAAAATGCAAATGTTTGCTTTACATCTAGATCTGAATGTCTTGAAAAATGTGTCCAGAAGTTAAAGAGTTATTTACTTCTAGAATCACTAGCTTTTCATTTTCACTTTGATAAGTAATAAATAAAATTTTCAGTGAAACATAGGTTTAGATTAAATTCAGCTAGGTTACATAAACCAAAAAAATAAAATATGATTTACCATGCAATTAAACATATCATCTTTAATACTTAAGATTTTGTACAGCATTGAAGAGATCTGCCATCCCCCTTTAATCAAAAATAGAAAAAAAACAAACAAAACAGCAACAAAAATCAGAAAATTGAAATAATCATGTTGGTTATTTTACTCTTTATTGTTAGAATAAAATTATCTGCTAAATTGTACATGTAGAATACTGTAAATTTAGAAATTATTGTAATGTTTTAGTAAATATGGAAACAGGACTTTCTTCACTTTTATAAAACTTGAAATTTATATTGTTCTGTACATTTTCAATACGGTTTTTAATCACATTCACCAGGGTTTCTGCTTGCGGTTGCCATTTTTCGCATTTTGCAAAAACATAAAAATTGTGGCGATTAATATTCGTAATTTGCAAAAGAAATATAAGGGTTCGACTTTGTCCATTGTTTTCTTTTTTCGGGTTTCTCAGACTTTTTCCCTGATACTCAGACTTTTTCCCTGATCAGACAATACTCGGAATTCACATTGAACTTGTTACGATTTTGATAGAAAATCAATAATCAGCTGATTGTATTTTATACCTATCGGAAACAAAGGATTATAATTTATAAAGGTGTTGATTGTATTGTTTCATGAAATGATGTGGTTAATTGGCTTCACATGTCACTTAAAGGATTTTTTTTACAACTTTGATTGAAAGAATTGTTTTGAAGTGAATACTTTACAACGTTTTAAATAGCGACGCACATGTTTGAAGCATATTTTACCTCTGCTCTTTTTCTTTTAACAATGGTCTTTTAAAAAAAAAATTTTTGTTATGACGAAAAATGTTCAAAAGTAAGAAAAATCTCTGATTTTAAATTTTATCCTATAACTTTTGATAGAAATAATTTTTGAAGAGGGTAATTTACAATTGTTTTAGCAATGCACGTGTTTGAGGCATAGTTTTACGTCCAAACTTTTCTTTTAATGATGTTCCAAGAGGGAAAAGTATTCAAAAATAAGAAAAAACTCTGACTTCAGTCTTTATCCTTTAACTATACGGGAATCACCTTATAAACTATCATAGATGAATCCCTTGTTCCATTGTAGAAGTCAAAAATTATGATTTCATGATCTATATTGCAATTTTACAGTATCTTTTTAAAACTAAATGTTTGTAATTCTTGAGTGTTAATTAATTCAAAAAATATTAAGAATTATAAAAGATACAGTTAGTTTTCTCGTTTGAATTGTTTTACATTTGTCATTTCGGGGCCTTTTATAGCAGACTATGCAGTATGAGTTTTGCTCATTGTTGAAGGTTGTACAGTGACCTATAGTTGGTCACTTCTTTGTCATTTGGTCTCTTGTGAAGAGTTTTCTCATTGGCAATCATGCAACATCTTCATATATTTATAAAACAATGTGATAAAATTGAGAATGGAAATGGGGAATGTGTCAAAGAGACAACAACCCGACCATAGAACAGACAACAGCAGAAGGTCACCAACAGGTCTTCAATGCAGTGAGAAATTCCCGCACCCGGAGGCGTCCTTCAGCTGGCCCCTAAACAAATATATATACTAAAATATAATATAAAAACTGTTTTTTATTTTTTTTGTTAGAAAGAAGGAAAATTTTAAAGGTAAATATATATTTATATTATTGGTGAAAAACAATTGAAAGTAGCAAAAAATATATTGTTTTTGGTGAAAGAGATGGCGAAGAAGAAAATTGATCCAAGGGAAACCCTGTTCACTAATCTTGTGGTTTGGATGGTTGTCAAAGATGGGAAGTGAATAAATTTGCACATTGATTTCAATGTTTACGTTAGTAGAAATATATATTTGTTACATGGTTAATGTGTCATAGTATTAAATAATGTGTAATAAATTATATCACTTACATAATTAGAACATATTTTAAGGAATAAAAAATGCTTACTTTCAGATTCAGAAGAAAAGGACAGACTTGAGAATAATTATTGCGTCAGCCACATTAGATGCTGAGGTATATTGTGAAATTCAATAAATAAAAACCAAATATTCAAAATACAAAGTTTAAACCATCAAAAAATATTCAAAGATATTTTTTTTTTTGGGAAGACTTTTAATAAGTATTAAAATCAATACTTGACTGCACATTTGATTTAACATCATACTGAATATTATACATCTGAGAATTTATAAAATTTAAAGGTCATTTCGTCAATGTGGTTTTAGCAAAGGTTTCTTCTCTAGAGGTTCAAAATTCTCTTCTGCTAGTGTTAAACATGATTAAAGTATAACTAATATATTCATTCACATAGCTGATCAGTTCAATCCAGCTATCCTTTATACAGTAGAAGAACTTTTATTCCTTATGTACCAGTTTCGTGAATTTTGTGGTAAAAGGGGCATTAGCTGTCAAATTCATGTTCACCTATTTGACTCAGATTCTCATATTTGATTTATAACATACTAAAATGTATATCCAAATTATGAAAAGTCTAAAATAAACGATTAACAATGCATGAACTTGATTATAAGTTCAGAAATTATTGCAAGGTTTTTATTATTGCGAATAATGCGACTTGGTGTGTATCGCAATAATAAGAACTCTCATTCTGATATCTGTTACATATGTCTATACACAGATTTTCCTGAAATTGCAATAATTAATCTCGCATTTTTGCCCATTCTTGAAAAATCGCAATATTAAATGCACGCAATAATTTTTGAATTTACAGTAATTAACCATCAAGATGACATCCAAAGGCTGCTGACGGCCATATAACCCGATATAAACATAAATATAAATATAAACAGATATTGACCAAGTGCAATTGAATTTTTCTTAGTCGGTTTGATTTCATATTGTAGGTTAAGAAGTATGTCAGTCATCATTTTTACCTGTATAAGAATCTCGTAGCTAATGCCCCTTCAATATAACTCACACTTTTTAAAACATATTAGTACAATTACTTTTGCAAAATTCATTTTTTGGCATTGATTTATCAATTTGCATAATTTTAAGCCTGAAATTCTTAACCCATGGTTAAATGATTTTTTTCTCAACACCTTGGAAATTAGATCCATGAATGAAAGAGCTTTCTCAACATGTTCTTACCTTGACTATGCCAGTATGGCTTGAGTGATTTTTGTGCAACACATTTTCCCATTTTGTTGCCACATTCTTCTTTGTCCCTATTGTAAGATAGCCACTGAATGCAAAATATCTGTCTGTCTGTTTGTTTTCATGCAAAATGCAATAAAATGATTTATTTTGGTTACAAAATGATGGAATTGGCTATTTATTTGTTATATAACATTTATACTTTAGGAAATGAGAGATTTCTTCAACAATAATGAAACTGGTGATAAAAGGTAAGAGTTACACCAATAATATAAGCAATATCGTTAGGAGTTTGAGATATTCCATCTTTTTGATGTGGTGTACGGATTACAATTTTTGTTCATGTTTGAAAGGTATGTTCTGACCTTCATTCCATTTGCCAGCAAAGTAAGGCCACACTTGTTATTTCTACCTTCAGGGAATTGGTGGGATATTCTTTGCTATTTGATATCAACTTAATAGTGAGATATGTTTGCTGTAGATAGTTAAATTTGAATTAAGTCACATTAAAAGCTCTAGATGTATCACAACATGAATTTTCAAGTACCTCCTTAAAAGGAGGTGAAAGTTTGATACAGTCATTTGGTTGGTTTATCCATATTTTTACTGGTTTGTTATTTGGTCGGTCAATATAACATAATTTCATTTCTTTATCAATTCAAGTACCAGTATTCAGTTTTACATCATCAGCTTAAAGTCAACACCAATAAATGTTAGAACATTTGTACCTGAAAACTTGTCTGATGAATATAGGCAATATGAGAAATAAAGTCAGAAATTAAAACATAAATAATATCACAGGGGAAACAAAGCTACGAAAGTGAGGCTGAACTTTTGAGTTTGATTACCAGATATTTTTAAGAGATACTTTAGTTTGATGCTTATTTGATTAACTGTTAATTTCCTTGAATGTTTTCTTTGTTGGAACAAACTGTTTTAAATATAAACAAAATTTAAGATGTTATACAGAAGATACATTTTCAATCAAGTTTGTTTATAAATCTTATCAATAGTGTTTGTGTAATGTAAATATATCACAAAGCACAAAATAAATGTTTAATTCTAACACCTGTATAGTAGAAAAATACAACTAATGACATTTCAAGAACTTAATTCTCACTTCTGTATGATAGAAATGCACTACAAATCATTAAATTTTGATTTGCTTGAAATAGTTTGATTTATCTCACATTTCAGTTAAAATCAGTACATTTAAACATTAATATATTGATTATATTTTCAGTAAAGATACAGCATCAATTATGACTATAGAAGGCAGAAATTATCCAGTAGATATACATTATTCTTTGGAGTAAGTCTTACATACTATTTAAAATTAAAAAAGTGTTTACACCTAGTAGAATTCTTATGGTTTTGTTTTGTTTGGTTGATTGCAGTCAATTTGACACATATTTGTGATTTTGGGATATTATATTTTGAATCATGTGTCCAACTTTTACCAATTGCGATAATACCCTATAGGATGAAAAACTGTAATGGTCACTGAAGCTATTGATAAACTGAATTTTGGTTGGTTTCCATATGGGCTATTTTTAATCAAATGTCCAACTTTGACCAAACTTCATTTAATTATGCCCCTTTAAATGAATAAGACCCTATAGATTTTTAGGTCAAAGGTCAGTGGTACAGTGCCTATAAATAGACTGAAGTTTCTGGAAAGTTTTGATAAAATATTTTGAGCCATAAATAAGATGTTTACCAATTCTGTTTTGATAATGCCCAAATAAGGTAATGAAGATCCCTATGACTTTGTGACCAGTAGGTCAAAGGTCAAGATCACACCAGCAATTCATAAAGATTGCAACTCTGCTTTTAAATTCATAGTGCTTTTGTAGATAGAAATAAACTATTAACAACACAAAAAAATAGTGAAATAAGATTATAGTTAAATCAAATGAAAATTGCAAGTTGGCTCTTTTAAAAGAACCATTGTCCCTCACAATAAAATATTGACTCAAAGTTAATCAAAGCTAAATTTTTTATTTATAATATGTTACAGGTTTTTTTATTCTTTTTCAGTCCTGTTCCAGATTACCTGAAGTGTACAGTTGAAACAGTTATGAAAGTTCATAATTCAGAAAAAGAGGGCGATGTTTTGGCCTTCCTGACTGGTCAGGTAATAGAAATGATAAAACTCCATTGAAAAATTGTATGTATTGTTGAGCCATCACTTTTTTTCTCTTTTTTTGTGTTTTTGTCCCCTACGTAATGCGTTTCGGGGGCCATGGAAATGCCAGGCTTCAGTCTGTCTGTCTGTCCGTCCGGCATTGTTAGTGCTCTCACAGGTACAATTCTTGCCAGATTTTATAAAACTTATACTATAGGTTAATATCAGCAATATCTCGGACAAGTTCTATAATGGTGGCCTATCGACTTTTTTGGAAAGAGTTATGCCCCTTGGAAATATTAAATATATGGAAAATTGCCTTGTTAGCCCTCTCTCGGGAAAAATTCTTGCCAGATTTTTATAAAACTTATACTATAGGTTAATACCAGCAATATATCAGACAAGTTATATAATGGTGGACTATTGCCTTTTTTAAAAAGAGTTATGACCCTTGGAAATATTAAATTTATGGAAAATGGCCTTGTTAGCGATCTCACAGGTACAATTTTTAGCTCACCTGGCCCAAAAATTGTTAGGGTATCTAGTTTAAAAAATTTGATCGATGACCCTGCCTTCCAACCATCATGGCCAACTTGGTTAAAAATAGAACATAGGGGTAAAATGCAGTTTTTGGTTTATATCTCTGAAACTAAAGCATTTAGAGCAAATCTGACACGTGGCAAAAATGTTCATCAGATTTATATTTATATGCCCTGAAATTTTCAGACAAATCCGACAACCCGTTGTTGGGTTGCTGCCCCTGAGTTAGTAATTTTACAAAAATTTTGCAGTTTTTTGTTATTATCTTAGATATCATTATAATATCTAATATCTAATACTATTAATTATGATTTTAACCTTATTTTAAATGATTTCCAAAGCATCAGTAAATAAGGTGAGCGACACAGGCTCTTGAGAGCCTCTAGTTTTGAAAACCGTTATGAATAGAGAAAATCTGACAAAGCAAAAATGTTCAGAATGTTAAGCTCTACCATCTGTCAATTTAAGTCAATTTTGTCAGACGATTTCTTATAGGAGTTATTGCCCTTAAAAGACAAATTTTACCATTTTTTTTCATTCTTGCCTATCATCTTGAAAACTAACATAGAAAGTGAGAAACTTTGTATTGCAAAAATGATCAGCAAGACAAGTTCTACAAATAAGTCTAATATTTACATTGTATCATAGGTCAAATTTATTTGTTCAGTGTATGTTCAATGGTGTTAATATGTCCTTTGATTGAGTTAAGCTATTTCAGTTGATATTTTATAGTGTGTCTTTCTATGTTGTGATGTTACACTATTGTTTCAGAAAAAGGGTGACGGTTTGGTACAATTAAAACGTTTAAACCCGCTGCAGTTGTTTGCACCTGTCCTAAGTCAGGAATCTGATGTTCAGTAGTTATCGTTTGTTGATGTGGTTCATAAGTGATTCTCGTTTCTTGTTTTTTATATAGATTAGACCGTTGGTTTTCCCGTTTGAATGGTTTTACACTAGTAATTTTGGGGCCCTTTATAGCTTACTGTTCGGTGTGAGCCAAGGCTCCGTGTTGAAGACCGTACGGTGACCTATAATGGTTTACTTTTATAAATTTTGACTTGGAAGGAGAGTTGTCTCATTGGCACTCATACCACATCTTCTTATATCTACTAACAATGTCAAAATCGTCAGCCTACTCTTTATGAGAGTTGTTGCCCTTTGATGATGATTTTTACAATATTTTGGGGGTTTTTGCCTTATTTCTTAAAAATTATAATAGATAGATAGAAACTTAAATAGGCAAAAATGATCAGCAAGACAAGATCTACGATTAAGACACTATAGAAGAAATCTTCCGATCTACTAACAAGTCACATTTTGTTGATAAAGGTAGTAGGCTGTCACACTTTATAGGAGATATAACCCAGCCCCTTAGATAATGATTTTTTTTACCCTCTTTTGTGTTCTGAGCAAAAACTAAAGAATATAGAAAGAAACTAAACAGACTAAATGATCAGCAATACAAGATCAACAAAACAGAGATTTTTCTTATGAATTCTATTCTTGTCTTCAATGTTGGAGAGTGTCCTTTTTTGAATATGCACATAGACCAAGGTGAGCGACACAGGCTCTTTTAAAGCCTCTAGTTTATAAAGCTTATAGTATACTCTAAGTAATGCCCTTGAAGGTCTGTTTGAAATATTTAGTATACAATAAAAAAAACTTTTTTATTTATAAATTAAACGACATTAAAGACAACAACACCCATCAATTACCGCATGGTGATTAATTTATTGTGGTCGACATGTTTCGCCAACAAGCGTGGCGTCTTCAGGACAATATTATACATGAAATCAAACAGTGAAGTACAAATTTTGCGGTTGTGTGGTTCGCCGAACAATAGAGGTTTATAAATTGTTTGAAAGAACAATAAAAAAAAGTGTTTTTTTTTTAATTATTGCCCCTGGATAGATGAAATATGTGCAACGTGGGGGACATTGAAACTCTGTTCTTTAATTTTGTTTGTAATAAAAATTTTCATCATATCAATGAATTTGACTACTTAAGAAAACACACTTCTTAATGTTCATTAAAATTCTGAATGTTCTCTAAAATTAAGTGCTCATTGAAATGATGTATGATTTTCAAGATTTTGTTTGCCAATGCACTTAAATATGACAAATAAATATATCTGTAAATTATAATTCAATTTTATTAAACAGGATGAAGTTGAAGCAGTTGTGAGGATGCTTATGTAAGTAATTTATCTCAAGTTCTCAGAAATATGCAAGTTGAGTAGAAATCCATATACTGTTAATTCAGAAATTATTGCGTGCATTTATTAATGCAATTTTTGAAGACTGAACTAAAATGCGAGATTAAGTTTTGTGATTTCAGGAAAAGCTTCATACAGATAAACGTATCAGATATCAGAATACAAGTTCTTATTATTGCGATACTCACTCAGACACATTACTGGCATCTATAAAAACCTCGCAATAATTTCTGAATTTATAGTACTGTGGATTCATTTATTTTCGTGGGTACCAATTTTCGTGGATTGAAGAAAACTTGCATATTCGTGGATATTTAATTTCGTGGTTTTGACAAAATCTGCATATATTCCTTTAGAAAATTTGTAAATCGTTGAACATTTAAATTCGTGGTTCCCCTGTACCCACGAAATCCACGCAAATTGATATCCAATGAATATTAATGAATCCACAGTAATACTAAATGGCAATTTGGATACACCAACTTCAACAAAGTGATAGCCAACACAGATAATATAGGGTTTTTGTACCTTAATGAGGATTGCTATGTACCTTTTAAAAATTTTGTGATTGTAATTGGTATTGATCAGTGAATGGGCTGTTCATCCCTGTTTATATTATCTGATTATACGAGAAATATGTTGCCTTTGGAATAATTTTGTATTTTATAGCTGTGATGGTTGATGCTTGTTTGCCCACATTTTACACATCCATGACTTTGGGTTACCAAGGGACATATTTTAGATAGATCTAAACAGTATTTTTTCAATTTTCACTTCAAATTAATCTATCTTATTGCAGAGATGAGGCAAAGAAGATACCCAGAGATGGACATAAGATGAAAGTTTTACCTATGTATGGTACATTGCCATCCTCAGAACAGGTTTGTATTATAATAATTACCAGTGAATTAAAAACCTGGAAAAAAAAACTTATGGGTTTGGCTTTTTAAAGATGAAAATAACACTTAAAAAATGAGTGTGACTGACACACTTTTTTGGATTATCCTTCATCAGGAACTCTCAAACCTAAAAAGCCAATGATTCATAAATACTGGAATATTTAATGAGCTATATACTAAAAGGCATCTTAAATAAAATAATAGCCAAAGGTCTATTTTGCCTGAAATAACTGAAGTAGCTTCTAAGACTAAATTTATGTGTTTTATTAAACAAAAATCTCTGATCCCATATTCAGGTGCCAAATTCAAAAAGAAAGCAAATACATATTAAGTTTTCAACATAGATTTTGTTACCACCATCATTTTTATTCAACCTAAATTATTGTATTTATCACAATCATACTGTAGAAATTGAGAACATTACAATTTTGTGTGTATTTTCGCTGAGTGTGTGGTAGTTCCCATACATTGAGTGTTAATCGTATTTTCGCTGTGTGTGTGGTAGTTCCCATACATGGAGTGTTAATTGAAATTGAAGACTGTTAAGAAATGAAAAATGAATTCTGAGTATTTGACATAATTTTGTGAGATATAATTGTTTTTGTTGTGTAGATGCTCACTTTAGAACATGCAACAAATCATACACATAAAATATTAGTGCTGAATTGTAAATAACATTTTGTAGATGAAAGTATTTGAGAGAACTTCTAGAAATATAAGGAAGATAGTGATCGCTACAAATATAGCTGAAGCTTCTATTACAATTAATGGTATTGTATATAGTAAGTATATTGGTACTCTGGGTTTTTTATACGGTGGAACCTTTGTATTCAGAATATCAATAAGACTGCAGATTAGACATGTGTTTGTTTTAACACAGGATAAATTACAGAAGAATTTTTATTTATGTCCTGATATATGTGTGAGAGTTCACATCTGATAGGTTTTCAGTTTATATAGAGGTTTCAATCACTACTAATACATTTAATCAACAAGTGTTTTTATAAGCCCGTTTACGGGACGTATTATGGTATACCTTTGTACGTCCGTCTGTCCGTCTGTCCGTCCGTCGTCAACATGTCGGACATTAACTCAAAAACGCTTTAACCAATTTGCTTAAAACTTTGGTTAATTGTTTATATCTATTGACGTGAGCTCCCTTTCGTTTTTTATAAATTTTAGATTTTACGTTTCCGAGTTATGGGGTTTTATTCATTAAAAAAAGGGGGATTTTCCAGTTTTCGGACAATAACTCAAGAATGCTTTCACCAACTTGCAAGAAATTTTGGTTAATTGTTTATATCTATTGACATGAGCTCCCTTTGGATTTTTATAAATTTTAGATTTTATGTTTCCAAGTTATGGGGTTTTATTCATAAAAAAAGGGGGATTTTCCAGTTTTCGGACCATAACTCAAAAATGCTTTCAGCAGTTATCATGAAACTTTGATGAATTGTTGATATCTATTGATGTAAGCTCCCTTTAGAATTTTATAAATTTTAGATTTTACATTTCCGAATTATGGGGTTTATTCATTAAAAAAGGGGGGATTTTCCAGTTTTCAGACAAAAACTCAAAAATGCTTTCAGCAATTCGTATGAAACTTTGGTGAAGTGTTTATATCTATTGATGTAAGCTCCCTTTAGAATTTTATAAATTTTATTTGTTTATAGTCGGACAACAGATTTACTAAGTATTGTGCAACACCACAGTGTATTGCACAACAGCAAGAAATCTTTAATTGAATATAAATTCAATTCATATAACCAACTTCAAGTTCTTTGACTACATTTATTCAGAAACCTATAATAGATGTATGTCAAATATTTAGTTACAATCCAAATTCAGACCTGTATCAAGCTTGAATATTGTGTCCATTTTTGCCCCAACTGTTCAGGGTTAGACCTCTGCGGGCGTATCCAGCTGCGCTCAGCGAAGCAGTTTATTTAGACTATGAAATACTTCACCACTCATATTTGTCATTTCACACCTCAAAACTCCTTTTCAAATACGCTTTAAGCTGTACATGTAGATTTCATAAAAAAAGGGGGAAATTCTCTCTGAGTTCACTTTCACTTACAGTATTTTCTTTCTTGTTATAGCTGAATTGAAGATTTCAATTGAAATATTTGTTTTAAGTGTCAGAAAATGTTGTGAGTGAGCATTTATTATAAGAAAAAACAGAGGCTGAATGTTGGAGGATTTTAGTCGTTGCTTAGGTATCAATACAATTTTAGTCAGTACAGACATCATTGCCAGTTTCAATTCAGTGTTGATTTGGAAGGAACTTATTTCCTCATACTTATCTGTAAGATATGTGTAGATCAAGTGCATATAAAAATAAGAAGATGTGGTAGGATTGCCAATAAGGCAAAACTCCAGCACATATCTTAATGGAAGCTCAAACCACTGTTGAACTGGTTCTAGGCTATGATGATTTTAAATCTTGAAATTGACTGTTACATTTATTTTTGATAAAAATGCTCTTTTAAAATGTTTAACTTAATTTACGTGAAAGTGCAAATTTAACTTATTGTTTTTGATATTGATCCCTGACTTAAGATTGATTGATTGATAGGTGTTTAACCCCACTTTCAGCACTACTTGCTTTTTAGTGGGGGTTATTTATTTTTTTTCGGTGGAGGAAGCGGAGTGCCCAGAGAAAACCTGGACCTTTAGTAGGAAAACTGACAATCCTAGTCAATTAAGATTGGAGTCACACACACCTGCCATATGCAGGATTTGAACTCACAAACTAAGTGTTGACAAGCTAGTGATACAGTAGTTGAACTACTTAGACAACTCGGCCACCAAGGCCCCCTTCACTTTAGGAACATACAATACAGATTTTGCTTATGTTAAGCTGTTGCACCAAAGTCCCAGGTTAAGGATGTCTTGAGTGGTATGAAACAGTTTACACCCCCCCACCACCACCACCACATTCTTTATGTGGCTGTCCCATGTCATTAGCCTGTATTCAAGTGGTTGATCTTGGTTGCTGTCTCTCATAATTACTCTTTTTAATGTATGCTTAATTCAGGCTGTTAATTATGTCACATTGCCAATGCAATAATATTTTGTTCAGGCTTTCAAACTATGTCACATTGTGTTAGCCTGGGGCCTATTATAGTTTAAGGTATGGGTTTTTCCTCATTTTTAAAGGCTGTATGGTTACTTGCAGTTGTAACCATCCTTGTCCTTTGAACCTTAATGACTAGTTGTCTCATTTGGGTATCATTTCACATCTCATACTTGATCAAAGAAAGACAACTCAAATCTCAAAAATGAGCAGATGCCCCTTTAAAGAAGTATTTTATCATGTATTTTTTCAAACAGCAAATTAAATTAAAGATGCTAGATTACTTCTGTGGAAATCTCTACTAAAACTTTAAAAACTATGTAATGATATTAGGTGTTTTTTCAGACTTTACTTATGCTTCTCAATAATCTGTAAGTTTGTTTTCAGTATTTTTATATCAATTTGTAATTTTTCAGTAATTGATTGTGGTTTTGTGAAGATTAAAGCTTACAATCCAACAACAGGAATAGGTAACAGTTTACTAATACACAAGATATAATATTTTGAATTATTATTACTCAATTTATTTACTGGATTTCTTGCAGTGGTTAAATTTTTTATGTTGAATTCTACCCCTTGAATAGATAGATGCATTTGTTTACCAGAAAATATTGGAAGGAAAGGAAAAATATTTTTTTGAATGAATATAAATTAATTCTCATAATTTCACATATTTTTCATGTAAAAATGCAGTACTTACGGACACATAAACCAACCAGATTAAGCAACACAAAACATTTTCTTGAAGTAGTCATCCCTTGAATTGATAAGGATTGCAATCAGATATGGAGATGTAATAGTGCATGGCAAACAAACACTTTATGAACACTTATGGAAAACAGATTAATATAATAAGCAAAGTATTTATTTGTATGTGGGAAATATTTAGTTGCACATTTAGTTACACATAGTTATAAAGTAACATAAGACACTTTTTGCACATTTCATGATTGTTTTGAAAACATATTTAATTGGTAATGTTGGTGCATGTATACCTGTATGTGAATTTAAAACAAAGTGGTTGACTAATTAATAAAAGTTTGTGTGTGTTTTTTTTAGAATCTCTTGTAATTATCCCAGTATCCCAGGCTTCTGCCAACCAGAGGGCTGGTAGAGCAGGTAGAGTCAGAGCTGGCAAGGCTTATAGGCTTTATACAGGTAAGCTATATCTAATAAAACTCAGAGCTTGCAAAGCTTATAGGCATTATGCAGGTAAGCTTTAGCTAATTAGAAACCTGGGAGATGGCTATTATTTTGGTAACAAGGCCATATATGATATTAAGAACACACACACACACAAACAGTACAGATCAACCTGGCGGATGAATAATACACAAACAGTACAGATCAACCTGGCGGCTGAGTAATTCTTGAAAACAACACATTCACACAGAGAAATTAGCAGAAAATAATCTTTCCTATTTCTACTGTTGCCATGTTGGGATTGTGGTAACTGCAGTTACCACGATCTGTTTAACACAATTGCAGCATTAAATGCTTTATGATGTTAAAAGTTTCTTTACTCCTGTCATTGATCTTTTCTACAAAGGTACTTATTGTTAGATATTCAACTGATTTTTATTTTTCAGAGGAGAGTTTCCAGAAGTTACCTCTAGCTACGGTACCAGAGATGCAAAGATCAGACCTGGCACCAGTTGTTTTGCAGCTGAAGGCACTAGGAATCATTAATATCATCAAGTTTCATTTTCTGTCTGTAAGGAAATTATGTGTATTCAATGAACTTTATTATATTATTCCATGGATTTTTTCTGAGTAAAGTGATGAACTATCAGTTTAAGATTCTTATGAATAATACTCACTTTTTATATGCATATTCTAAACTTCATTCTTTGAATGCATTGTACACAATGGAGAGGGTGTAATTTTTGGGCCAAATATTAAGTCATAAAATTAACTTTACTTAATTTGCAAAATAAAAAGTTGAATTTGTAGACTTTGATGAAACATTGCAGTTTTGGTTCAAATTATACCCATTTCATTAGTTTTAAAACCATAAGATTTACATTCATTATGAAAAAAAGTAAAATTATGCAATGTTGTGACAATTTGATGCCTAAATGCTTAGGACTGTTCAATTAAAACATACATGGTACACAGGGAGGGCATGTTGAAAATATGTTAACCACCTTAGTCATCATAGAAGCAATTTTAGTGACCATCGTAGATTTTTTCACACCCACTCGTTGTTGCTTCCCCTAGGTTTGCGTGTATGTTTTTTATGGAACATTCCTTAGCAATAATGTAGAGAACAAAAGTTATCTATTCACAGTCAAAAAGTGATGTTGGGTGACGCATGAGGTATATTTTAACTATGCCATATTTTTTATGCAAATCTGAAATACTCTTCCTTGAGACACAGTAAATTTTTGTCAACAAGGCATCACTAATATTTACATTATGGGAAAGCTCTTCATCCAAAGTTTAGAATAATTGATATATGCAGCTCCTTGTTGAAGCATGTTTATATAGGACCAAGAGCAAAGACTGGTATACTCATAGATAGCATATTGTAGTAGGATAGATTGATAATTTCTTGCTAGGGACTTAGTTTATTGTTATTGTGTGAAGTACCATATTAAAGACAAGGCTCAGTGTATCAGCCAGTTACAAAGCAGAGCTGATAAATGTAAAAACATGTTCTCCCCTTAATTTTTACTTGGAATATTATTGGTTAATTCTATAAATACCAGCCAGCCATCAGTGGAAAATGTCTTAAGAAATAAATTTGGTGATGTTGATGACCATTTTGATCACATTCAAAGTTTTTATGATAAAAATGTTTGAAGTAAATATTTAACTCTTTAAAAGTGACATTTTTGGACTGTTAAAAAGTTGGAAGTTTTGGTAAATAATTTTTTCTAAGAGTCCACACAATGATAAAACTGTTTAACTAGTTTGATAAAATGATTAATTTACCATTTTATTATAGCCACCACCTGCACAGAATATGGTCAGAGGTCTGGAGTTATTATATGCATTAGATGGTAAGGTTTATTACTATCTATAGGGAAAGGCAGATATTGGATGTATGTGCAGGAGATAAATCTTATAACAGAGTTCTATATACAAAAGGAATGGTTTTATTGTTTTTCTTCATCTAAATGTTTATTGGTGGTCTTTTAACAAATGAGATTATACAAGATCAAGCTGGTCATACTATCACTATCAAATCCTTTTTCAACCATTTCTGGTAGTTTAGCTTTTTCAGGATATAAAACTATAAAACCCAACAATTTAAAGAAAGAAAATTTATAATAGAATTTGAACATGTATGTTTAATACCATCTTCTTGCATGGCCTTTGGTAGTTTTGGTTTTCTTTGAAAGCTCTCTTTTATTTGATGCTTCAAATACCTTTTATACATTTTTAACTTTTAAAATTTTGAACATCAGCATACCTAAAAAGTTTCATGCAGCGTAATTGATACCTATTTTTATGCCCCAACTACAATAGTAAAGGGGCATTATGTTTTTCAGCCTGTACGTCCGTTCGTTCGTCTGTCCCACTTCAGGTTAATTTTTTGGGTCACGGTAATTTTTGATGAAGTTGAAGTCCAATCAACTTGAAACTTAGTACACATGTTCCCTATGATATCATCTTTCTAATTTTAATGCCAATTTAGAGTTTTGACCCCCAATTTCACAGCCCACTGAACATAGAAAATGATAGTGCGATTGGGGTATCCATGTACTATGGACACATTCTTGTTACACATTTTTTTTACTTCATTACTGTGTAAATCAACAGTGTGTGTACCAATGTTCTTTCAGCTGGTCAATTCTATTTTACTTTCAATTCAGAGTTGTCTGAAAAATTGTTGGGAATTGAAACCCAAATAGTCCAATAAAATACAGGTAATCTATGGTAAAGTCAGTTGATTCAATCTGTTTACCCGAGCAATTGCAGTTTTAACAGGGATGATTGTTGTTTTTTATAAGATCTAAATGGATTTACTGGCAATAAATTAGTTAACACATGAATGGCAAATAATTTAATATGCATGAAAAAGCACTTGTTCATGAAACATTCTGTTAATTTCCACTTAATTCTGTTCACAGTATTGGGATAAAGTAAGGAAAGTATGTTGGAATTTTTAAAACTTTAGTTGTTTTATTAAATTGAGCATAATTATTTTGCATGCAATGTTTTGCATAATACATGAAAACTTCATCCTTTTTTTAATCAAATATTTGTATTCTTTGTGCAAATCATTTGATACAATTTATTTTAAAACCCTCAAATAAAATATAATGAGAAAAAAAATATACCAAGTGAGAGTTCTTTGGAAATACATGGGTAGTAATTGTTTAATTGTTGCACATTTTCCTTTACTTCAAATTGTATTGAGATATATGAACTTTTTGTTTTGGCATTGTTAAAATGATTCAGTTCATGTTTGTATTTAGATTTTTTTTTGGAGAGGTCTAATTGTTGGTATTGTTTATATATCTTCAGAAGATCTTTCTTCTTTCATGGCAAAAAATTACAGATTTTACTTTAAAAAGTACAATTATCAACCACAAGATGTGGTCAAGTTATATTTTCACTGATAACAATTGTCTCCTGTTAAGCTTTGTGCTGTTGAAAAACAATTGTGTATCGTACTTTAGTTTATTTATTTGTTGCTTTCAGTTCATGTTTTGAGATACTGTTATGTATTTATAAACATGTTCTAGAGTTTCTTCCTAATAAAGAAATACCTGTATAAATTTTCTGGTGCTTTGATATTAAATATTAATGGCTTTTTATAACATGTACTTATATAAACATTTCACCAGAAAATCTTACATTTAAGTAGACCATGTTGAACTATTGAATGGTGTGTTTCCAGAGATTACTTTCTCCTTCCTTCCTTTACAGCTATAGATGAAGACTGTAACTTGACCTCTCCACTGGGTTTACAAATGGCAGAATTTCCACTCACACCAATGTTTTCTAAAATGTTGCTTGAGTCTGGTAAGTTAATAGACTACACATCACATATTCTTCTGTCACCCGCAGTTGAATTCAAGTTATATTGATATGTATAAAGGTGCATTGACCATAGTTATAGAATAACTAATTGAAGAATTAAAATGTAGAAAAAATATTCCATGAGTGACCGAACAACAAATTAATTAACGAATGCGTGTAGCACATCAGTTAATTATCAGTGTTGTTCTGTCACGTGTTGAATATTTTTTTTCTATATTTGAACTCTTCAATTAGTTATTCTTTTTATTACATTGAAAACTTGCTTTTTGATGGAATTAAAGTAGAAAATGTAAGGAACTATATCTTTTTCTACCCATTCACAATTTGTTTAATGTGACGTCATCGACAACGTCGTGACAACACCTATTGTTGTATGACGTCAGAGGAGTGAAATAACCGAGTTTTTTTCACATGTGAAATTATTGTTTTTTATTTCACTGGGAAATCATGGCAGTTCATTGCAACCAATGTAATAATTGATTTTATTTCTAAATAGGTGTCTGATAATTCAAAATTTTTGTTCACATTTATTTTTATGATTGTTGAACAATGTACACAAATGTGAGATTTTCGGAAATACTGCATACCAATTATGCTTTCAAAACTCATACTGCATGTTTTTGTTTTTGCAAAATTCTGTCGCAACTTTCACAATAATAAAAACATCTAAAAGATATCTTTAGTTTTCAGTAGCTCTATCTAACCCACATCTGGATTTCCAGGCACCTAAATAGACTATTTGACAAATATTTCGGTGCATGTGGACATGATTTTAATTTTTGCTATATTATTATATAAAACTACTAGTTGTTGAACTAATACTGTTTGAATCTGAACAATTTTTTTTTACAATACAAAATTTGAACAAAATAATATTATTTATGTAATCAGTATTTGCATAATTTTTGGCTAGGTTGATCCAAAACTGGCTTATAGTATGGTGGTGTCAGGTGGGTGTGGGTGGGCAGGCGTTTTTTAGGGAAAAGTGGGTGCCTAATTTGTGTAGTAAAATTCTCCTACAATTTTCCATCCAGATCCCTGAAACTTCACAGGAAGATTTCACACATGTTGAAGTTATAATGAAATTGTTTGAGGATTTTGTTCTCATTTTTCCAGACTTGGAAACTCAGTCTTTTTTCAGCAAAATTTATGAAAGAGTGTACAAGTTTTCTGTAATCCACTCATCCTACAGCAATAAACCCAGATCCCTGAAACTTCAAAGGAAGATTGCACATACATTGAAGTAATGCACTTGCTATTGGTGGAATTGTTTGAGGAATTTTTACTTTTTATATTTTTTATACGACCAAATTTTTGCGGTCGTATATTGGTATGACGTCTGCGTCGTAGTCGTTGTCGAAATTTTACCTTAATGTTCAATACCACAAAAGGAAGGTTGGGATTGATTTTGGGGGTTATGGTACCAACAGTTAAGGAATTAGGGGCCAAAAAGGGGCCAAAAATAAGCATTTTTGTAACTTCCAGACAATAACTTGTGTGTTAGTGTATGGATCTCTCTGACATTGTACCACAAGGTTCCATATCACAAAGGGAATGCTGGGATTGATTTTGGGGGTTATTGCCTCAACTTTTTAGGAATTAGGGGCCAAAAAAGGGGCAAAAAACAAGCATTTCTCTAGTTTCATGACAATAACTTGTGTGTAAGTGTATGGATCTTTCTGAAATTGTACTACAAGGTTCCATATCACAAAGGGAAAGCTGGAATTAAATTTGGGGGTAATTGCCCAAAACGTTTAGGAATTAGGGGCCAAAAAGGGGCCAAAAATAAGCATTTTTCTAGTTTCCAGACAATAACTTGTGTTCAAGTGTATGCATCTCTCTGAAATTGTACTGCAAGGTACCATACCACAAAGGGAAGGCTGGGATTGAGTTTGGGGGTGATGAATCATAAGGGGGTTCAAAAAATTGGGGGGGTGGATTTTTTTTTTCTATTTTAAGACTTTTATGATGTATTTGAATTGGTAATTATGGTTGCAAACTCCATTGGAAATTTGAATTGAGATTATGACCATATCTTGAGGGAAAGATTTTTTTTTTTGGAAAAGGGGGTGGGGGGGAGGTGAAAAAAAAATTAGGAGGGGGGAGGGGGGTAAAAAGGAAATTGTGGGGGCAATTTCTTTTTTCATTTCAGTATAAATTCAAATCATATAACCAATTCTAAGTTCTTTGACTACAGTTATTCGGTGTCAAAAACCTATTATGTGTCAAATATTTAATCACAATCTAAATTCAGACCTGTATCAAGCGCGAATATTGTGTCCATTTTTGCCCCAACTGTTCAGGGTTGGACCTCTGCGGTCGTTTTCAGCTGCGCTCAGCGAAGCATTTTATTAATATTTAATGTTCAGTATAGAGCATTCTCCATTGTTTAAAAACATTCTTAGCAACCCAGCCAATTGAGTGATCTATTTTTTGTACAATATATATATTCTTTTCCACTTTTCAAGTCTAAAATACATATTTCCCACTTTTAAGTACTGCTATCAGTTTTGTTATTCATCAAGTACAGGAAGTTCAATAGTTTTATCTTGTAAAACTCTTAAAGAAAGAGGTAAAAACAGTAATTAGGCATCCCATTATTGAAACTATGATGATTTTCTAATTATCCTGTTAAATGTACCTTGACTAGGGTTAGACTTTAAAAGGAAGAAGCCAAGGTCATTTTGAAATTGTTGTTGACAGAATACATGTTACCTCAAGAAAATACTTTTGATCGATATTTTAACAATATACTTGACAGGTGATCAGAGAGATCTTCAAAAACATTACTTATCCATTTTATTTTTATTTCCATTACTTGAAACTTGCACTTGCTCAGCCATGTATAAAAGAGAGCAATACGTGTGGGAGACTTCTGTAGTGTAAACAGTCTACAAAATACCACACATAAAACAAAAAACTAAGGTTAATGTCAAGGTCCTCCCTGAAGGGTAAGAAGATCCTGCTTCACATGTGGTACCCCTTGTGTGGCTCATGTCAAGTAAAAATTTGGTAATAAGAAAAGAGGACAGAATTGTGGCTATGACAGTTGGAAATATCCGTAGTCAGTGTAAAAATCTCCGGAAAAATACCTTAAAAATTTTTTTTTTTTTAAATCTTTATTAACAATTCAAATATTAATATTTTTGGCAATAGATAAATTGTCATTTGATTTAAAATGAAAAAATGTGAATATAAAATTTCAGCTTTCAAGCATTACGACAGAATATTTTTGGTTCATTCAGTTCATGTTATAATCTGTATTTTCTCTCCCAGAGGTTCACACGCATGAAAAAAGGTTTATGCATGGGCTAACTAAGACTGTTTGTTTAAGTGATTTCTTGTTTTATATTTTCAGGTAATTTTGGTTGTTCAGAAGAAGCAATAACAGTGGCTGCCATGACACAAATACAAAATGTCTTTGTTACTCCCTCTGGCAATAAATCTTCTGCTGTAAGTCAATGGTTTTCAAGTCCAAATTGATAAAAAGTTTGTCTGGCCCATTGAATGTTATTCTTAAATTTAAAAATTGAATAAATGATGAATCAGGGGTTAACCTTCGTAGTATCAGAGCTAAATAAGAATTCTGTGATGTAAAGTTTGATGTCAGGGATAGATTTTGATTACTTGATCATACATGAGATTTGTATATCTTATGAAGAATGTTCCAGCCATCTTAGTTTATATCATTTACCAAAATCACAAAGCTTTATGTTACAGTAATGCTTAAAGTAACAGGTTAAATTCTAAATAAGTGTATTTTTAGTGTGGATCTACATGTCAAATTATACAATTAATACACATATAAAATCATTGCAGTTTATGCTTCGCTAATTTAGCACATGCTTACTTAATTCAGGTTACATAAGCTCTGGAATTATTATAAAAGTTGTCCTTCATCTTAACACCTTGCAAAAGAATCCCAGGGTAGAGATTTATTATAGGATGAAACACATTTTTTAAACACAGTGTAAACTGAACAGATAACCTGAAATAACACAAACTGAATAAAAGTCCTAGGGTTAGGAAAGTAGTTTCCGCAACATGTTCAATTGAAGTGTTGACCAAGGATACAAATTCTAACAGTCCAATCATATTCAAGTATTTGTAGATATGCAAATCATAATAAAAAAATAACGATAGCATGTTTTAAATTTCCTTTGTAGGCCAGGTCAAGAAGGAAATTTGCCGTAGAAGAGGGTGACCATGTGACCTTAATTAATGTGTTTAATTCATTCATCAAGGTAAATAATGGCGTTTGTTTATTTGATTTTACATGAAGCTTCTCTTTACAATTTTACATGAAGCTCCACCTTACAATTTTACATAAAGCTCCTCTTTACAATTTTACATGAAGCTCCTCTTTACATTGTAAATGTATGACAAATGATACATTTCTCAATTATTTGCTGTTTAATTTTGGTGAATTTGTGGTTTTTCAAATATTCTGTAACATAGGAGTTTTCTTTTACATTTTTAAACAATTGCTGTGATTTTGAGAAGAAAATACCATATAGGGGCTTCAAAAGAATTACATAAACTCCAAGCAATGGAAGTAATATAAACCACCCTATATCTCTACCTTCTATCTGTCTTAAAAATCTGGTTAGACATTTTTTCAACTTCTTTGACTATTTTATAACATGGATCACTGCTTTTTTTCTGGTTGGCAATGCACTAGTGGTTTATACTTCAACTAAATTTAAAATGTATGTGGGAGGGTAGGAAGGGACTTTCAAAATATCCCTACAACCAAGAACCATTTTTTAGATAATTTTGCATAATGGTAATAGACACATACTGAAAAAAGACCTTGACCCACATTCAATAATTAAACTTTCCTTCCTACCCTCCCACATACATTTTACAGATAGTAGGAGGGCACAATGTTTTCTAGTCTGTGTCAATCCCATCTTGTGTCTGTTCTGCCGTTCCTTATAAAGTTTAAGAGTATGGTAAAGGTAGCTTTCCATTCAGTTCTCGTCACAACAACTAGAAACCTAGTACACATAATGATGTAATGATATGAAATTTTATAATTATATACCAAATTAAGGTTTTGACACCAATTTCACGGTTCATTAAACATTGAGATGTGATGGAGTTGAATCAGTTCATTCTCAGGTTGAATTTTTATGGTTACTGTAGTTTACAATGAAATTGTGGTCTCATCAACTTGAAACATAGTACAAATGTTCATAATGATGTAAACTTCTAAAACTATATGCAAAAGTACTGTTTTGACCCCAATTTTACAGTTCACAGAACATTGAAATATAGTGTGAACTGGGCATGGTATCCTATTGACACATATTCCTGATAGATATTTGTTTGGGAGTAAATTTAATATTGCTCAAGTTCTCAAGAACTTAGAACACCTGATATTTTTAAAACAGCTCTTGATGAGATTAGAATAGAATTTACCACTTAAATATGGAAAGACTCATCAAAATAAAAATATGTGGTTTGATTGCCAATGAGGCAATAGGTCACCATACAGCCTTCAACAATCAGCAAAACCCATACTGTATAGCAAGATGGTTATGTAACATTTATCAAATAACTGATAATTATTTCCCACTGGTGTCACATGCTACTGTTTACAATTTAGTTTTTTGAAGCTTTGCATATTGTTGACACAAATAGTAAATATGTGCATTTGTTTCTATGAGACAGTTTAAAATTCCTATCTGATTACTAGACTTTATAACAGATATTTTTCATCAGAAAGATTTAACATAAATAAATATAGTATGATTGCATGTCATTAGTGCTTTTTTCAGTTTTTACACCACCTCAATATGATAACCAATATTTTACAAGGCTTTAATTTTATTCTGATTTTATAAAGTGCAATGCTAAAATATAGTAGATGTTGAAACTAAAATTGCTCAGATGAAACTGGGGAAAGTGCATAGACAATGTTTCCTGAAGTATGCTGTTTTAAGTAAGCACATAAGCAGAGTTGACAGAGGCCTATTCATGCTGGGATGTAGCTGGTTTGGATCCCCCAAATTAGAAAAATATATTTTTTGATGTAGAAAAACATTTAAAAAATCAATAGGGTCATACTACCTTTGACCTCAAAATCTTGTATCCACCCCAATTGATTTCAATTAATACCTTACTTGTGTGTGTTTTAATAGTTCTCGATAAAATATGAATTCTACAGAGTTACAATAAAACTGGTTAACAAGTGTATTATATTGTTTGTAATATTGTTTAAAATATTTACCTACACTATAGAGGTAATTTTATAGCAGGTCTTCAGCAAGCATCATGATGAAGAACAGCAAAAAAACTGTGCTTCATTTAATATATTGTTTCATTGCATTTCATGAGATCTTTCTCTCATATACATGAGGGTCTGGATGGGTATATCTTCATTTCTGTATTCTTTAATTTTCTTGGCCATTTCTCTCTTTTCCCTATTTTTTTTTACTGATCATTATCTATTCTTTATATTGAAGCATCCTGTTATAATATATTCTATATTTTTTGCCTATTTCTCTATTCCTTTTTTTGGGGGGCTCTTTAATTTTCTATTTTTTGCCTATTACTCTCTATTCTGTAAACCCCAGCCATACCCTCATGCATCCATCCCAATATCCTTACATTTTTTATTTGGTATTTGGAAACATTAAGTTCAAAATTGGTAGTAGGGCTGCATTTTATATTTAATCTTAGTATACAGTTTTTTGCCTCGCCTTCACAGAGTCAAAAAGCGAGACATAGGTATGCTGTTTCAGGTGTCGGCAGCGGCAGCGTCAACAATGTATTAGTTTGTGATTAGGTCTGGTTTATGGTGAACCACTAGTGGTAGGTCAATGATATTTTGTATGCAGTTGTATTAGCATTGGAACATCTCATTTCCATGGAGATTATTTGGCCTTCCCCCCTCAGTCATGGTTTTTTGACTTTGAAACTTTTACTAAGTTTACATTTATTAGTTTGTGATTAGGTCAGTTTATGGGGAACCACTAGTGTTAGGTCAATGATATTTGGTATGCAGTTGTATAAGCATTGGCATATCTCATTGCCATGGAGATTATTTGGCTCCACCCCCTCAGTCATGGTATATTGACTTTGAAACTTTTGCTTAGTTTACATGTATTAGTTTGTGATTAGGTCAGTTTATTTGGAACCACTAGTGGTATGTCAATGATATTTGGTATGCAGTTGAATAAGAATTGGCACATCTCATTTCCATGGAGATTATTTGGCCTTCCCCCCTCAGTCATGGTTTTTTGACTTTGAAACTTTTGCTAAGTTTACATTTATTAGTTTGTGATTAGGTCAGTTTATGGGGAACCACTAGTGTTAGGTCAATGATATTTGGTATGCAGTTGTATAAGCATTGGCATATCTCATTGCCATGGAGATTATTTGGCTCCGCCCCCTCAGTCATGGTCTATTGACTTTGAAACTTTTGCTTAGTTTACATGTATTAGTTTGTGATTAGGTCAGTTTATGGGGAACCACTAGTGGTATGTCAATGATATTTGGTATGCAGTTGAATAAGAATTGGCATATCTCATTTCCATGGAGATTATTTGGCTCCGCTCCCTCAGTCATGGTCTATTGACTTTGAAACTTTTGCTTAGTTTACATTTATTAGTTTGTGATTAGGTCAGTTAATGGTGAACAACTAGTGGTACGTCAATGATATTTGGTATGCAGTTGTATAAACATTGGCATATATCATTTCCATGGAGATTATTTGGCTCCACCCCCTCAAACTTTTGCTTAGTTTACATGTATTAGTTTGTGATTAGGTCAGTTTATGGGGAACCATTAATGGTAGGTCAATGATATTTGGTATGCAATTGTATAAGCATTGGCATATCTCATTTCCAGGGAGATTATTTGGCTCTGCTCCCTCAGTCATGGTCTATTGACTTTGGAACTTTTGCTTAGTTTACATGTATTAGTTTGTGATTAGGTCAGTTTATGGGGAACCACTAGTGTTAGGTCAATGATATTTGGTATGCAGTTGTATAAGCATTGGCATATCTCATTGCCATGGAGATTATTTGGCTCCGCCTCCTCAGTCATGGTCTATTGACTTTGAAACTTTTGCTTAGTTTACATGTATTAGTTTGTGATTAGGTCAGTTTATGGGGAACCACTAGTGGTATGTCAATGATATTTGGTATGCAGTTGAATAAGAATTGGCATATCTCATTTCCATGGAGATTATTTGGCTCTGCTCCCTCAGCCATGGTCTATTGACTTTTAAACTTTTGCTTAGTTTACATGTATTAGTTTGTGATTAGGCCAGTTTATGGGGAACCACTAATGGTAGGTCAATGATATTTGGTATGCAAATGTATAAGCATTGGCATATCTCATTTCCAGGGAGATTATTTGGCTCTGTTCCCTCATCCATGGTCTATTGACTTTGGAACTTTTGCTTAGTTTACATGTATTAGTTTGTGATTAGGTCAGTTTATGGGGAACCACTAGTGGTAGGTCAGTGATATTTGGTATGCAGTTGTATAAGCATTGGCATATCTCATTTTCATCATGGAGATTATTTAGCTTTGCCCCCTCAGGCAGGGTCTATTGACTTTGAACTTTTTGCTTAGTTTACATGTATTAGTTTGTGATTAGTTCAGTTTAAGATGAACCGCTAATGTTAAGTCAATGATATTTGGTATGCAAATTTATTGGCATTTGCAAGTTTTGTTTCCATGGAGATTATATAGCCCCACCCCCTCATCATGGTTCATTGACTTTGAAACTTTTACATAGTTTACAAGTTAATGTTTGTGTTTAGGTTTGTTTAAAGGGCTTATGATAAGTCAATGGTATTTGGTATTAGCATTGGCACATATCATTTCCATGGAGATTGTTTAACCATGTACCTTCAGTCATGTTTATTGACTTTGAATATTTGCATAACTTACATGTTAAAGTATTGCCATTTTAATTTCAACATTTGCATTATCAAAATTACAAAAAGGTGAGACATATCTCTGTGTTAACAGTTTATTATTAACTAAAGCATATACCATGTGGTAATGTCACAGACTTCAATATCATGTGAAAACCAGTATTCATTTTAAAGCATGTGGCACCATCAACACATGGTAAACAATAGGAAAAAATAATCAGTACAATAGATTATTCTCTTTAGTTATTTATTTATAATCATTCTATTTAGTTATTTATTGATAATCATTCTATTTAGATATTTTCTATTACAGTAATATAAAATTAAGGAGATGTGTTGTGATTGCTAATGAGACAACAATCCACTAGAGACCAAAGGACGAGGACGTAAACGACTTTAAGGCACTATATGACCTTCAACAATGAGAAAAATTCATACTGAGTTTTGATTTATATGTAATATGTTATATTTCTTCATATTTAAAGTGAATATAAGAATTGAATGTCTTTATTGTAATCTTAAAGAGATTAAAAAGGCAAGAAACATAGCACATTTTTAAGAAAAAAATGCATACATGCACATACAATGAATACCTTGCATTCATATGGTTTAAAACTTTCAATATAGGCATTCAATTTTTGAAATCGGTATAGGATTCTTAACGTGATTTGTATTTAGGACTGTGCTTGACTGGTACTCGTACTGTGGATTCAATTATTTTCGTGGATTGAGGAAAACTTGTATTTTCGTGGATATTTGATTTCAAGGTTTTGCCTATCTGTGCATACAAAGCCTATAGAAAATTTGTAATTAGTTGAACATTTAAATTTGTGGTTCACTTATATCCACGAAACCCAGGAATATTGGTATCAAACGAAAAAAAGAAATCCTCAGTACTTTGTTCAAGTTTTTAAATAGGATTTTACTCAAATCTGTAAAACCTGATGAAATATTAAACAATTTATAAATGTTCTTCAGTATAACAAGAGTTCCAGATGGTGCCATGAGTATTTCCTTAACTATAAAGGATTATGTAGAGCTGTAGAGATTAGACATCAGTTATCCAGAATCCTGAAAAAGTTTAATGTACCACTGGTCTCTTGTGGAGGTATGTGAAACATAGTGTATTGGTAAATATCATGAATTTCTTTCACAGGGTAAGAGTTATACATATTCATGGAATCTGTTTAGCTCTGTTAGCTGAGAAAACTAACAATGTACCTATATTTTTTTTAAGTATAAAATACTTACAAAATTCATCAGAATTGGTAGAAAAATCTGTCAATGGAAAGAGGAGAGCCCTATTTATATTAAGTTCAGAGATCAGAAGTTTGGCTTGGTTTCAGGATACAGAAGATAGTGATGAATTTGATGAGGATAAAAGAATTAATTACAAAAAATGACTTACTGCTTCTCAAGGTTAGAGGTCAATAAAATGTTACACTTTATTTTTTAGATATTTATAGTTTCACAATGAAAATCACTATGATCCCTCAGTATGTTTTCTTTCTGTTATATATAAGTAAATCTGTATATAAAGTTCACTCTTGGACCCAGAGCAAACTGACCTAAGAGATGTGATCGTTTAACTGAGGTTCAGAATGCATAGAGTGGGGCAATAATAGGGTGACCTGACAAGACAGATATTGCTTATATAGTAATGTTTGACTGTATTTCAAAGTATGAAAAAAGGAACCCAATGATCTTTTATTTTGCCCTCATATATCAATCAGATTGCAGGTGAGTATTTAATCTGTAGCTCTCTAGTTATCATTCATTTCCTAAAAATGCACAGATAGCTTTTTTTTCAAGAATCCGGAAATACATCAATTCGCTTTAGCTGTTGTGACATGAATGATAATTTTTTTGTGTAAACTTCAGGTGTTGCAGAAATTTGTTTTGACACAATAGATAATATTTCTGACAACAAATTTCTGCATCTTTTAATCAGTTGAGAAATAGACCTTAGGTCATATAGGGTGTATTCTTAATTTGAAAGTTTTGTAAATTGTATTAAATTCCAAAGATGTTCTTTTTCTTAGCACAAAAATATGTTATCTTCAAATTGAAGAAGTAGCAAATCAACAAGACAAGTTTTGTTTTTGCAGAAAGTAAGACACATAGCCAAAGTTAACCTTTTCTTGGTTCTTACAAGTGCATCTGTATTATCTGGAACGTACATGCAGATTCAAATGTAATACAGAATATTGTTGTCCTGATGTGAAATGATTACAGAATACCGTTGAGTTCACATTTTGATTAAAATTCTGTACATCAATACAGAGAATCTTGATCTATGTTTAATTTGGTTTTGATATCTGTTTGTTGCTGTTGATTTATTGATTGTTGCTTGTTTAATGTCCAGTGGCAAATATATCATTTATTTTCAGGATGAGAACAGATAATTAATTCTAATACAATAAATAAGTTTTGTAAAGTTGGTTGACCAGGATGAAAGTGTGGGAAATTTGGACTGCCACTGGAAATTAAAAGTCATGTTTGATTAAGACTTAGACCAAGCTTTTAACCAGATTTTGACTGCCTTTTTCCCTTAAAAAAACCTCAAATCTCTGAGATTTTTTTCCATGGAAATCGATAGCAGGTGATTTTTTAAATATTTTATGTAAGTTGTTGTCAGGTTCAGGGTTGGTTAGATATTAAAGGAAAATTAAAGTTGCATTTGTTAATATAAAATTAGAATAGATACTTGTGAACTTTCATATTCTTCCCTAAAGTACCAAACAATAAATTGAAACACTGAATAAACTTGAAATAGGAAACCAAATTATTTGTAGGAAACAAGTTAATTGTAATAAATGGCAATAATTTATTAATTTGTTCTGTAACTTCATCACTCATATGCAGATGATAGCCAGAGTTTAACAGTTTTAAATGAATTATTGAATTACAACATCATTTTGAGAAAATTATGTTTTGCAACAGTTTACAGTTGATAAATCTGGTTGACATTCATCAGAAACCCTGCAAGGTATCACTCAATGAAATCTGTCGTCAATTTCCCTATTAAAATAAACAAGAGTGTGGGTATTAGGTATAAATTAATTAGATATTATGTAAATGAAGTGCAGATGAAGGACAATTAACTCCAGTTGTTAAGTGTGAAATGTACATTAATTTTGCATTGTGTGAGTTGGCGGAGGCCCGAGTGATAAGGAAAGTTCAATGGAACATGGAATAAGAAAAGATTATAGATTGTATGATGGGTGATCTTGTTGTAAAAGGTCAATCGAAACTTCTAATGATGATTTTAGCTGTAGATTTATCTTTCAAATTAATTTCGGTGCAATACATTATATAACCGAGATTTCGTTGCCAGTTTTTAAGATGATATAGAAGAGGATGTTAGGTACATAAGATTTTCTGAGAAGATTGCATGCTAACATAAAGTTTTGTCCATTTTTTGTAGGACATTTGTGGATCACATTAAAAAAAAAACAATCTACTTGGTTGTGTTGACTTCTATATGTCTTCATGTTCTGTTTGTGTTGTAGGGTTGCTGTAAAATTGATGTATACCTTAAATCTTTTTCATCAATAATTAAAATTACAGATATTCCATGGCAAAAATAGTTGCATAGTATTTCCTTTCATTACGATGTAGTGAGTGTACAGTAAATTGAAATGTCTCTTTTGCTGCTATAATTTCTCCTAATGATAGTTTTTGACATTTATGATCACTATGATGGACGGCCATCACACACCTGTAATCCATTATTTATTAAAGGCATATTTACTACAGTAAGTTTTAAGTACTTTTTACTTAACATTCCTTATCTAATGAGAGGAATTTGTCTGTAGATATTACATCAATAATTCTGTAACATTTTTAAAAAGTTTTATGACCAGTGTAAATTATGATTAGATTAGATCATTGTGACCTACTTAATTAGTGTTACTTAAATAAGGGAAATGTATGTAACATGAATGTACTAACGCATTGTCCTGAGGTATAATAATTGATATTGTTTTTCCCAAAACCCATGAGTCTCCTTATGACTATACACTGTAGATATTTAACTAATATGATTGTTGATCAAGAAGAGATATCTGGTTTGACTCAATTTGATTTCATAGGGATTAATTTTCGTGGTTTCCAGTATGAAAAAGTAATATTCTTTGTAGGTTAAGATTTAATTGGATTTTAATTTTAATTTCAAAAACCAAACAAAAATTTCTGCTCTTACAGTACAATGTATATATAGTTAGACGAAACAGTATGTTATTGTAGGCCTGTGTATGGTATTTACCAATCATTACTTAGATATGAAGCTGTTATTCTCACATGTCTATATCAATATGCTTATAACTAGGATAAATACTCCTTCAACTAATATTTCATAACAAGTATAGTTAGAGGTATATAATTTTGCGTAAATAAAAATAGTCGTGGAGTTTGTGGAGTTCAATCTTTAGTTTTCTGTGTGGTCTGTTCTAGATTGTTGTTAGTGATTGTGTTGCACCTTTCATATCTTCTTCCTGTTTTATAACAAACTATGTACTTTTCTTCATAAAGGAATTAATCAAGATTTGGTTTGAAGAGAAAAAGTCTTTCCCCAATATAGATTAGCACAGGGCTTGGTGACTTCACGTATTTATTGTTAAAGTCAGACACTTCTGTGTGATGAAGGATTTGATTTCCAACTTGTTACGTTAGATATTTAAGAGAAAATGACAACATATGAATATAGAATCATTTTGGGAATTATACAATTTCTGTAAATGTGCAATTCATCAGCAGTGATAAAAAGGAATATACTGTTTGTAGAATTAATCTTTATTATGCCAGACTATATGATATAAACACTTCATGACATTTTTGGTTAATACCCACTGGTACATATAACAACTGTTAATGTAATTATTCTTGTGTGCTGAAATTAGACAAATAAATCTGACATGCAATAGAATTAATGAGAATTCAAATTATTGAAATGAATAAATAAATTGCAATACATCATTCAAGATTAAATAATATATATTGATATTGAAGTAGTATTAATGAGTCCAAGTGTAACAACCTCTTTATTAGATCATAGCAGAATAATCCCTGTAACTTTATGTACCTTTACTACCTCCCTGCAGGAGAGTAAATTGTTCTTCATGCTTGAGGGATTTTCTATGTGAAATGATGCGCCCAATTACTTTTCAATCAACTGAAACACTAATGCAATAGACATCTGTCAGTCATTCTTGTTTACATATCTTTTTTAAAATGAATTTAAAAGGATTGCTCTTCAAATAAATGTATTTAGAATGGACAATTGTTGTTTTCCAAGATCACAGTGTTTGAGTAATTATTAACTTAAGAACGGGTATTGAACTGCAGCTAGCAAAAGTACATTATTCAACTTTAACTTAATACTTATTTCAAACATTGAACAAATAATGTTTGTAACATTACTAAACCTTCCCCCTCCCCTCCCCCCCAATTAAAAATCAAAGTACTGAAGTACTGAACATCAGATGACTGCAAGTTCTTGTGGATGGTCACAAGCACTTGTCTCAGAAAAAAAAATCACATCTCTATACCTGAAAGTGAGATTAATGTACAGATATAATTTTTTTTTCTTAGACAAGTTCGTGCGTGGATGATAAATCAATGAAAGGAAATTCAACCTAACCGTAATAACTATGATATTGAAGTGATACAAATCAGTATACACTGGTTTGTTGTTATATATTATATTAATATTTGTATATTACAGTTACATGTATATATAATTTTCATCCATTTGTATATCATTCTACTCTGCTATATTAATAATAGTGCAGTGCAAGTGCATGGTGGACACTCTTCTGTAATAATTTGATTTTTCTAATAGATTGGATTGAGTAGCCATTCATATTTTCCCGCCAAACATTCAATCTCCCATGCAGAGTTATGGGTCCTAGAGAGAGTGAGGACCAATAACTCTGCATGGGAGATTGCAAACGTTCTTGAGATATTCTTCCTCATGCGTTAACACACATTTTCTGTACGTTTGCATAGATATTAAAGATTTTTTACTTATATATATATTTCTAACATTTTCATATTATTAATTTATGTTCTAAAAAAATTATTTTTAGGAGTATCCATTGAAAAAAT